TGTCTGTGTGTGTGTTAAAATTTATGTAACACTTTGATTGACTTTCTGCAGTAGGCTTCCTAGCCTCATGCCAAACTCCCCTCTTTTCTGGGGCTACGGACCGGCTAGGATACAGGACTTCAGGTGAACATAGAGAAGGTGGAGGTGATGAATATAATCAACCAACAGCAACTGATGATCAGTTCCAAACCAGGACGAAACAGCTGTCCAGTACATTCAGGTTTTCCGATGGTTTTGTGACCAATGTCAGCTCATGATGAAATCCTGTAACCAACCGAATCCCTACAAACCAACACTTAAATATCGATGGGATGCTCACTAGCAACTTGCACTATTCAAGTAGGTAGTTACCTGGGGTTCTAGTGAGAAGTCGTGACCAGTAGGATGCAGAAGGTCGGGTGTGAGGACAAATACTCGTTGAAGACATTGGCTAGCGGTTGCGCTATATCGTGAATTGACAGAAGCTAGAATTCATGGACTGGTCATTGGATCGGGTCCCAGTGGCTTAATTGTATACGAGCTCGCCTTGTAACCGGAAGGTCCTGGGTTTAAATTGTGGCGGTGAGTGCTTACTACTGAAGAATCCCAAGCTATGACGAAACAGCTGTCCAGTACTCCCAGGTTTTCCGATGGTTCTCTGACCAATGTCAGCTCATGATGAAATCCTGTTATCAGCGGGAGAGATCTGACAGAGGTTTCTTTCCTTCACTTATCTACGAAGCATCATTTCAACCACACACACACATGGCATGGATGAAGATGTCGAAACAGGCCAGAATCAGAAAAGCAAGAGTACAGCTTCATCACTCTGAAATCAATTTGGAAATCCCCTGCCCTCTGACTCATCGCAAAGAACGAGGTTCGAATTTTCAACACGAATGTTGAGTCACTCAGTTTGTCAGTTGACCTATATGAGTCAGATATTTGGCCAGTGCGTTACGGAAAGGATTTCCAGTAGGCTTCAGTGGATATCTGCCGCCTTCGCTGGCTCCATATTGAAGATCGAATGGCCTGCTCCAAAGAATAAACAACAAGGAACTCTGAAGTGGAATAAATCAAGCAGGAACCTACTGCTCAACAAATATGCAAAATAATAATTTGCTCTATTCCAAAACAGTACTTGTGATACAGAATGAAATTGTCAGCATTTCACTACAGTATTGCATCCAGTTAGCACATTAGCAATAAATAAAGCAGAAACGAATGCATGTCAACGACACGATAATAACTTGATAATTGCATGTGTTTTGCCTCTTCTTAACAATACCAAAATTGCTAAGGGATTCCTAGAAGCCAGCGATTAATAAACACATTACTATAGACCAAGTTTTGATGATATTAGATCATTGGAAGCGATTGGCAGGAGCCCTTGCTTTACCTAGGTTTTTTTTTAATAACAATAATTTGCTTTATTCCAAAATGGTACTTGTGATACAGAATGGAATTCTCAGCATTTCACTACATACAGTATTGAATCCAGTTAGTACATTATCAATTAATAAAATTCAACATAGATTAAGGGTAATCTCAGTTAGTTTTGACAGCAATACATTGGCATGTCGGTAGCAAAGCCGAAATTGAACAGAGTGTTTGAAGGTGTTAGAAAAGTAGATGCCAGAATATTTACTGGCGTAAGCGGTAACAAAAATGTCAAGATATACAGAGAATGAGAGAACGAAGAAGAATGTTTTAAATAGAGTTTGTAAGGAAGAAAGAAACAAAGCAGCACATAACAACAAAAAAGAAAAGGAAAGAAAGAAAACGTTGTACCTATAAATGATATGGGTTGGAAAGACGAGATCCAGTTGTTCTACTGACTATTTAATAAGTTATAGGTATCACGCCTAATGCTTTCTTTATCGCACAAAACATGAGCCAAGTAGGGTATGGTTGAGTTTTTGTGCTTACTAGTGCGAGCATATAGTTTTCTATATAGGCTTCTGGTTTTGCCCTATGAGATACAAGGGGAGAGTTGTGAATGAAGAGTGTGGTGTGAGTTAGATAGAATGCATTTAGCCCATTTTTCACATGAGTCCAAGTGCCTGTCGACCAGAATATTAAGAAGTTGGTTAAGTGGCACGTAAAAGTAAATGGGTATGGATTGCGCACACCTTGAGGATGATCGCCATGTATAGGCGAATGATAGAAATCAGCATAAGACTGGATACTGGAAAATATGACATTGACTATACCCAAGTTTCACGACAAACGAAGCCTTTGAATGAGCATTCTAAAAATATATAGGTCTTTACCAACCAATAAATTTCGCCCTTGAAACTCATCTGACTACAAACATCTAAGATGTCCGTCGAGCGTAAGGAGTATCTAATGAAGACAGCACCCTGACAGGAGAATAACACAAGAATCCAATGCACGTGGCCTTAGGAAAGAAAGTCACCAGGACAAATATTCTCTCTTGTTTTTTTACGTTTAATGTTCAATGAGGTGTGGTGTGTGTGTGTGTCTGACAAGGTTTATAAGTAGTATATAGATACAGACATAAATATGTAGATCATCTGCAAGGGTATCGAATGATGAAGAGATAGACTTAATGGCGAAGAGGAGAAATAAAAGGTAACTGTGAAATAACACGGAAAATTTGAAAGAAAGACAAGACTGCATAATACAGAAGATATGTGTAAATTTTGATTTTAATATGTGTTATGACCGAAACTATCACCTAGGTAGACTATAAGCGAAGCCTAACTTAACGCACTGGCTAACCTGTCCTAATCGGACGACAACAACAAGAATAAGACTGTCGGGCCGCAACGGCAGAAGAAGAAGACTGGACGTTGATAAGAGAGCTTTAATTGTCCCAAACAACAGTCAAAAAAATGATGGCAGCGCTTGCCTTATATATATATGTTTAAAATGACCTTGAGAAACGCTTATGTCATTGATAAAATAAGGCAGTGAGCAACCGGAAGGATTTCAAAGGTCATAAGTAGCGTGCCTCTATATGTACACTCAGCTGAAAATCAATAAATCCGTTGCCAAATACTCTTGTGTCTTGCTATTACGATGGCACTGTGGCGACTTCTACTGATGAGATTTGTCAGTAGTATATAAAGAGACATTCATTGGAATAAAAACATCAAATAGCAGTGAAATACATCGATCTCGGAGAAGGCAAATGATACAGCGTTGTGGAGATACATGGGAGACGTGAAATCAACACAATATAAAGTCCAGTAGTATCACAACGTGAAGATTTGTGCAAATGGTGCGTTGAAGATAAGGTTTACATTAATTTGGTTATATAGAGACACCAGGTCTATTTTCTCAAGCTGAGTCATAAGTTATGTCTTTATGCTTCTGTAACAATGAAATATGATAACGACGTCTCGAAAGTCTTGTGTATGCACCACAATTTCATTCGGAAAGCATAAATACTTAGATCTAAGTATGCCATCTACTTGATACAATTAAAGACCGTTAACAAATCAAACAAACTAGTGTTGATATTGTAGTGAGAACAGTCTGATAGTCAAAATTGGTAGACACCAATTTACGTCATTGTTTACGTCCCAAATCGGAGTCATGAGAAAAGAACAAAGACTAACTCAATAACCAATCACAGCAGACTTTGCGTGGGTGGATACGATTCGCAGATATGTGGCCTGATCTTCAAAGAGATGATATCATTTATAAGATGATAGATCAACTTCTAATGAGAAAACAACCAACGAGAAGACTCTGTTTCTCTGCTAAAAGTAACGAATAATAATGTACATATTTACAATTGATAGTGTTCTCTGAGCTAGTTGGCATAGCTGCGGAGCTTTCGTCGTCCTTCTGGACAACATTCCCCTTCAGCGAAATTTTTAGCATAAAGTGAAATCATTTAAATTTCTTCATGAATGATATAATTGCGTCTCGCGGTAACCATCTTTACATATGCATTGACCGTTTTCTATTGACTTGGATTTTAAACTTTCTCGTCACATGATTTACTTTTTATTAGTTGGTATATTTGGTTGACATTAACGTATTTGGGAATTACATATTCGTTTGAGTACCAGGCTTCTAGGAATTCCCTGACTGCACTTTTGGTGTTTCCTCTGTTCAAGATTTCCCCTTAAAAAAATAAAAATCTGTAAATATCTGTTGATTTCCTTAGTAAAGGATCTGTTGCTTGACCCATGTCTACTATCGTTACAATACCAGTACCTGGAATAAGATTAGGTTCTATGGGCTGAGTTTAGCCGGAAGTATTGCTGATAAGCTCAGTGCGAAAGAAACTATTTGAAATGGTTGGTTTCCAGCCTTTCATAACCATCGGTAGTAAATACCATCTTATATCAAATATGTCACTCAAATACACCTTAAATCGAGGTTTCATCACGAACGTATACTAGCCAGAAACGTTTCACATATCATGAATCTCTGGGTGATTGTTTTATTTCGCTTCAGTTCTATTCACTACTACAGTTTCCGTATATTATAAGAGTTTGAAACTATACGGGTTAGATTTTGAAGCTACGAGGTGATCACTCAAACTCTTCTCCCAATAGATGGAATAAACTAGAGATTTTGGAGGAGTAACACAAGTGTTCTTTAGATAATATGTATATTTTTGTTAATTGAAGAGAATGGAATCCAGGATGCGCATTTCGTCCAATTTGGGACTCGTCATCCGACATGTCAACCTGAGACCGAGCACTTCGATCCAATTAATCGACGGGAAAATCTAAAATGCAATGCAACAATTAATATGACCCGTTGCACGAGAGTTGCTCAGTTCTCGTGGCCCAAGTGGTCTAGTGGATAACGCTTTGGCGTCTGAAACTATGGGTTACTGGGTTCGAGCCTCGATGAGAACATCATCACTCAATGAGAAATACAGTTACATCCAGATGACAAGTCCCGGATAGGACGAAACGCGCTTTATTCTGGATTCCACTAGGAAGTCACCATCCACCAACTAAAAATGTGAATACTTCATCTTTTTTAAATAGTAAACAACAACAAATGATTTTATTATATTATTTATTATTCAGAGATGTAAGAAAATAATAACACACAAATGTTCCAATGTATATCTCAGTTCAGTATCATTTTCACCTAGACAAAAAAACATTTCGCCTAAAGGAAGACTAGTAAAATATGAATGTCGTCAAAATCAAAGTGGTTATTAAATAAGACTGTAATTTCCTTCACCGTTATAAGTACCAACAATGATATGATTACTGTCGTTGATTTTTAAGTAATGATTCAGTGCATATCTATAACGATAACTTGGATGATATATAAGGCCGATTAATTCACCACTGCTTGAACAACACGTTAAATGCTTAGATAAATCCCAATCACTTAAATGTTGTTGTTTTGCCTTTTGTTGAGCCATTTGTTCATCGTTTTCCTAAAAATAATTAAATTATATTTACATTAGGATACTATACTACTGAAATTATGAATAGGTAGCTCAAATTAATTCATTAATAAATACTGTAGTTGAACTGAACAAAGAAAATTCTAGGCAGTTAAGATACTGATTAATAGTGGAGCTCCAAAGGCATGTTCGATTTTAATAGGAACTCTCCACAGAGATATGACTGTATTCTAATCAGTTTTGGATGAAACATGCATTTTGTATTATACTGCAAGTCATTACCAGGCATAATTTCTGAAAAATGTCATCATCGATAACGTTTTAGTAACTGTGTAAACTGCTAAGATGCTAATATAATTTAAATAACTTAATTTGGTGGGTCAGTGCACTGAATCAGACAATTTTTCACCATACATGTATACATTTTTCTTTATTCTTTTACGTTCCCAGTGGAACACGTGGCCTCAAGCTAGAGGCTTGAAGTTTCTGTAGCACTGGTGATTATTTTTACAGGATAGGGTTGCTAGCCTCATATGCCAAACCTTCCTTCTTTACAAGTCTTACTACTGGTTAAGCGAGATAAAGGAGTGCGTCTGTGGCAGTGGATCAAACCTCGGATCACATGAGGCGTGGTCAGTGAGCACTCTACCAATGTTTTGATGTGGTTGTGTTCTCTTAGCTGGATAGTTAATTTGCGAAGCTCTCATCACCCCACTACTGGGCAACATCTTCAGCGAATACTTCAGTTTGAAGTGAGCTCTTAGATTTCCCACAAGTTTGTTAATCATCTCTTTTGGAATAGATATCCATAGAATTTCATCAAAAGACATATACCCCCGAGTCAACCTATCAAACCAAAAGCCCCCAAGGAAAGCACAAAGAAAATCACCCTAAAGTATATAAAGGACATCTTAGAGATCACTGCAAGACTATTCAAACTTTGAGGATTGATGTCACACACAAACCAACAAAATCACTTCACTCAATTCTATGTCAACCAAGAGAGTCAACAACGAAAGAAGATAAAACCAACATCATCTACAAAATAAATTATAACAACTGTGAAAAACACTACATTGGCCGAAGTGGACGTCCCCTTCGTTTTCGTATCCACGACCATAAGATATGATATTCACTCCCTCATATTACTACATACAGACAACCACAAACATCAGTTCGACTGGGACAACCAACGTTCAGATATTAGACAGAGGAAACACTAAAAATACTGGATTGTTATCAGTTTGGGAAATATTAAAACCAGCATGAGTACTGGACAGCTGTTTTGTCCTGGTTTGGGTTTCATCATCAGTACGCAGCCAGTGGCTAAATGGTCTACCAGTCTGACTTATAATTCAAGGCGATGATGAGTCTCTGACTAGACTGACAAAACAGCTGCCAAACAGTACTCCCTGTCGCTGGTTTTCAATGATTATCTAACTGATATCAATCCGTGATCGAAATGCAAAATAAAAAACTCTGAACAAGCAAAACTGATCTTCGGCCAGGTGTTATTTCAGGGGATGTAGTCTACCTTGACACAAAATTCGTATTCATACACGTTGAAATCAAAATTCAGACCGAATGATTCAATAAAGTAACTAAGATTAAGTACCGAAATTTCGGTTAACAGAAAAACATTGTTTTCTTATTTTCCAGTCCTTTCAAGGTCTTAAATTATTTTACTTGAATACTTAATCACATGGCGGTTACTCGGAATTCAGTTTTAATGGACAGAAGACCAGTAGTTCAGCGAAGAGTCTCTTTTCGGTGAATTCATTTTGCATAGCTGTACAATCGTAAATATATATGGTTGTTTTGTATGTGTGTGCACATTAAATTTGTCAAACGAAAATACAATTAGTAAGTTCAGATGAATTGGATGTTGATATAAGAGGATAGTAACAAAAGTGATGATTTGTCACAAACGGTTGTTAAAGAAAAGTTACGTGATGGCGTGAATAGTTTGATGAAAGAATTGTGCTCAAGGTGTACATGGAAACAAAATAATATACAGAATCACACATGGGTTTTAAGTAGAAAAATAAGCATACAAACAAAAGTTAATTCAAATCAACGGAGTTGTTACCATGAGAGTAAAAGTGGTTGAATAATTTTCTTTAGTATGCACAGTTCTTGTTCCTCCAACTGAATGGCTAGGGCTTCTGCAATGCAAAGAAGACCGAATCGTACTGTCTTTAGAAGGTTGTTCTTCACTTTGTAGATTACTTTGAAGGAGGAGGCGTTTGTTGAGATGGGATAACCAGTGTTGACGAGATGTTCGATTATTGCACTCCTTATACGGCCATTACTTCCTTTCTGCAGCCACGCTGGATGGTGTTCTTTGACCCTTTTTGGCAAGATGCGCGTTGAACGACCAATCTACCTGGCTCCAGAGCAACAGGTGAACTGATATATACACATAGAAGTGGTCAGGTGCTGGATCTTGTCCTTTGGGCTTCTGTAGACCAGCGGGCGACTGGAGAACACTACTCTCAATGTTGCCGCAGGGAAAGTTCTTCCTAAAGAGGTGGAAATTCTCCTTCTAAGGACGTCACTGAGTAGGTCTCCTTTGAAGTCGAGGTTCATATAAAGTATCTTTTTGGCACGGATGCTGTCTCTTGCTTTTCGATTTTTATATATATCAACATCCAATTCACCTGAACTTACTCCTCTTTGACAATCGTTCCTGACAACTCATCACTTGCGTTACTGTTCTCTTACATAAACATCCAGTTCATCTGAACTTACTAATTGTATTTTCGTTTGGCAAATATAATGTACACACACATACAAAACAACCATATATATTTTGCGATTGTATAGCTATGAAAATGAATTTACCGTCGAAAAGAGACTCTTCGACAAACTACTGGTCTTCTGTCCATTAATGTTCGAATGGTAATTTTTCATGAATTCAGTTTACACATTTACGCCTCAACCACTTTAATTACTACAGACAAAGTTGAATCGTACCATTCAAATAAGAATCATCAAATTGATTATTGAATATGTCGATGTTATTCAAATAAATACATCGTGCAGTATTCAAGAAAATATTCAAGTAAAGAGTGTCGTAACCCGAACCACTATTCGCGAACATAACATTCAGTCGTCTATGTATTGATAAACGTTGACGGAACTGATGATCAATCATTCAGAGAGTAAAATGATATCCAGCTTGAAAACCATCTCAGGTTTCTATGAATAACCAGCGAAAAGAATCGCTTGATGCCTAACAGGATTAAAGCGAATGACAGTGTTAATCTGACTGGCAAAACTAGTTAGTAACTAATGCCTAGTTCTAGTCTAGACTTAATCCAGTGCTTTGTTTGCTGCAGACTGAATCTTGATGTGGTTGTGTTGTCTGAACTAACTGGATAGTTAATTTGCAAAGCTATCATTGCCCTATTGGGCAACATCTTCAGTGCATACTTCAATTTGTTGAAGTGAGCTTTTAGATTTATTTCTCCACGAGTTTATTCATCATCTCTCCTGACAGGTGACCTTGGACGTGACTGGTTGTTTTTGTATGTTTTCACACCTTCTAGGTTACTTGTATTGGAACTGACCGTTTCTTTGACTTGAACTTTGACCCTTCGTGTGTGAAGTTTCTTTCTTATCGGTTAATAAAGGATATCCAAAAGAATGGATATCCACGGAATTTCATCAAGAGACATATACCCCCAAGCCAACCTACTAAAGCAAAAGCCACCAAGTAAAACACAAAGAAAACCGCCTTGCCATATATAAAGGATATCTCAGAAATCACTACAAGACTCTTCAAACCTTTAGGAATTGACGTCGTACACAAACCAACAAAGTCGCTTCACTCAATTCTGTGTCAACCAAAAGACTCAACAACAAAAGAAGATAAAACCAACATCGTCTACAAAATAAGTTATAACAACTGTGAAAAACACTACATTGGCCGAAGTGGACGTCCCCTTCGTCTTCGTATCCATGAGCATAAACTAGCCGTCAAAAGACATGATATCCACTCCCTCGCTCATATCACTTCATACAGACAACCACGGACATCAATTCGACTAGGACAACCAACGTTCAGATATTAGACAGAGGAAACACCATCAATGCTAGAGAATTTTTAGAAGCTTGGCATTCCACTGAATCATCAATCAATAGACACATAGAGATAGACAAAATTTATCAACCGATAAGAAAGAAACCTCACACTTGAAAGGGTCAAAGTTCGGGTCAAAGAAACAATCAGTTCCAATACAAGTAGCCTTGAAGGTGTGAAAACACACAAAACACAAACAACAACAACAATCACGTCCAAGGTCACCAGGAGAGATGATCAATAAACTCGTGGAGAAATCTGAAAGCTCACTTCAACAAATTGAAGTATGCGCTGAAGATGTTGCCTGGTGATGGGGCAATGAAAGCTTCGCAAATTAACCATCCAGTTAGCTCAGAGAACACAACCACATCAAGATCATCCACCCGAGATACAAATCTTCTCTTTCATATCTAGACTGAATTCTATTAGTCAAGTTCACAATGTAGTCACCATGTCAATAGATGACATCATCATCGCCATGGTGCACCACATAGTTAGAAGTAAGCCTTTATTGATCTAAGTTTCACGCTAGCTGGCACTCATACCAGTCAGTGAGTCAATAAGTAAGGTGTGTCTTCAACCACCTTGAAGGAACAGCTCATGTCCCTTCTTCTGAGATTCGAACTCGCATCACCTAGCTACGTTACCACTAAGCTATTTGTGCTAGGGATTGACCAGCTGTAAGATTGTATTGGATACTTCCATTGGAAACTGTTATTGTAAGTAGTGTAATGTGTCTAGTCGTTTGGTTGGTGCCGATTTGAATTCTATCGGTCAAGTTTGACAATGTTAATGACAATGGCGATGTTATATGCTAAAGAAATGACCACATCGCTCAATGATTAGTTTTCGTGAATGTCATATAGAAGAAAATCTTTAAAAAAAGTAAGCTATGAGAAACAGACAAGTCTATATATAGTTGAATAATGTAAATGGTCATTGTTAGATGACCAGTCAGCTTATTTTATAATCTCATACATTTGAACTCAATCGATTATTAAGGTATGTCTTGCTGATAAGTGCCTACTAGCACGAAACCAAGGTCAAGCAAGGCTTCCTGCCAATGGCCTCTAACCATCTAATATCATCAAATCAATGTGCACTGTAATCTCGAGCTACCTAGAATGGTTGCCACATTGCAAACCTCACTGATGATAGAATTCAGTCTGCACCAATGAGAGGACTAGACACATCACACTAGTTACTAGTGTCCAATCAAAATATCCACTACGGTCCTACAGTAGGTCAATCGCGAGCTAGCCCGAATAGCTAGCTCAGTAGTAACTTCTCTGACTGCAGCACTGGGTGGGTGATGCGACGTCGAATCTCAAAATGGACGTGAGTTGTTGCTTCAAGGTTGCAGATACGCCTTGCTGACTGGTGAGTTCCAACTAACACGAAACCTAGGTTAAGCAGGGCTTCCTGTGACCTATTGCCTACAACTATCTAATATCATCAAAGGTATGCCGTTATTCTTCTTCACGCTGATGTTAAGAAACGAAAGGTGATGCGTACTCACTTGTTTATTTCCTCCAAGTTTTGGTAACACCCTTGTAGGACTTCGTCGATCCCGTTCTGCTTGAAGTTCTGTAAGTGACAGAAGAAAATGCGTGTTTGTTTTCTTTAAACGTATTGAAAGTTTTATGAGAATTACATACTTCAGAGGTATTAGAACAATAATAATATAGTTCTGTTATGTACTAGTTTTCGCCGTTGCCAAATTATTGTTATGTACTGGTCGAGAATTTAATAGTCCTGACGCAAGAAAGACGGAATTCAAAAGACTACTAGGTTTGCGATGATACTTCTATTTTCCAAAACACAAGGAGAATCAATGTGTCACACAAGAGTGTGAGAGCAAAATATATATGAATGTCTGAACAAGTGTGTGAACTCAAGTGTGTGAGCGAATATTCAAAATGAACAAATCAATAGACAGTCTTAACATGATTGGCTAATTATAATGGAATATCGATCCATATATACATAGCAAAATATATCAGACTGTCAAACAAACACACATATTATATGGATATTTATATCAAGTTCTAATAACTGGCTGTGTTGACTTATCAATTTTCAAAGATATGCTAATTTATTGAAATGATAGTGACCACAGCACAGCACAATACCAATTTAGTTGAGTTCTTCAGAATACCAACTACACGAACCTCTTTGATATAAGAAACGAACTTGTGCACTGTGCGTTGCTTGACTATAATTCCATTATGGGTAAAATTTATTTTGATAAAGTCACACAGTGTTATACACTAAGTAATATTTACTGATGACCACAATTTTTTCGAGAAGAATTTATTACCGCTCAGAATCATATCTCAAGGCACTGCTCACACAACTTTCTAACTTCGTTTATATCATTCCGTCATTATTTTTCATTGATTGATTTGATTGGTGATAGTATTTTCCATATTTCCAGTATGAGTGATGAGTCATTCCTATTGCATGTGTTGGGTGTAGACTCGATGAACAAGCATTCAGTAATCAACCTTTCTCTTCACCTGTCCGTATTACGTTTCAGAATTTTAACCTTCTGTTACCCTTTGTGTGGTTGTGTGTCAGTGCATGCAGTGCAATTGTGGAGTTTTTTGCCAAAATTACTTACCTTCTTGGGGTCCGTCAATCTAACCTTAGCTATATTCTTATGTTCTAACTACCCTCTGACTACCCTCAATCTACAGGTGTGATTGACCTATGTAGTTGAACACACTCACTATAATTGAAACGTACTTCGTCAACTATATTATTTTGCCTAATCGGGTCAACTGACAGGGTCCTTCAACTTACAGAGCTTGTCCTACCTGATTGAGTTTGTAGAGGTTTGAATGCCACCCTAATTCCTGCTTTGCTGAGAATCCTACGTAGAGTCTCAGATCATTATTATTATTATTTCCTTTAATTCCTAGAGGAACATGGGACTTCAGCCGCGCGTCTCCACTGCATTCGGTTCTCTGCTAGATTTTTCACCTGGCTCCATGCTTTCATCTCCTCTTCATATGACCTCCTCCGAGTCACCCTTGGACGACCAACTCACCGCCTCCCTTTCGGGTTCTACTCGAGGGCTTGAGAGTCTCAGATGTTCCCTGCTTATATGGTAAAACTGTTGATACCTTCTATTCTTTCTTATTTATGTTATCATTACTAGTTGCACAATTAGTTCTTATTTTGCTTTTGACCTTTTTCGATCTTCCTAATGAATTTTATAGGATAGTTGGTTATTTAACACCAACCAGCTATTCTTCTATCTGTTTCATTTCACCACTTAGGTCTTTTTTGCACAACTTAGTGTCATTGATCGATGTGTTATACACTTAACTAGGCCTGCCTTCACAGATAGATAACGACGGATGAGATGAATTAAAGCCTAAGTATATATCAGCAGAATGCGGTGGCTTTTTATAAACGTTAGTGTGTAGTTTACCTTCTTTTATTCCTTTTTATTTAACGGCCTAACATCATAACTAATTCCCCCTGTTCATTTTCTGATTCAAATGTGAATTTTATTCCCTTTACTATTGAGTTAATGTGTGTGTGTGAAGAGGCTAGAGATGTGCTGTGTTTTTTAACACTGTGAAAGTATCATCCACATACTTCCACCCTATCTTTTGAGTAGGATTAAATGTATTAAGAACAATGATTAGTGAACAATTTCATGTTACACCAGTTACTATTAAAAACATCGAATTATAATTATTTTTGTAAAAAAAAATTTTCCCTATGATTTACCTTTTTACAGGAAGAAGAGTATGCATTTAATCGTCAACGGGATCAGTCATTCTAATCTTAGATGAATGCTTAATATGCTGATAATCTCACTACTCCTGATCTACTGGTCACATTGACTTATGCAGTTGACCACACTCATATTCATTGCAAGGTATTCTAGTAAAATTATATTATTTTGTCTAATTGGGTCAACCGACGGAATCCTTTGACCTGCAGAGCTTGTCCTATCTGAGTGAGTTTGTAGGTTTAAATGCCAGCACCCTAATTTCTGACTTCTTGAGTATCCTACTTACGTAGGGTAGCAGATATCCCTCCCTTATATGGCAATACTACTGTAGATGCCTTATATTCTTTCTTAAATAATGCCGTCATTATTAGTTTCACCATTATTTGTATTTTTCTTTTGGCCTTTAATGTTCTTCCTAATGAACTTTATAAGATAGTTATTTAACACCAAAGCCTCTTCTATCTGTTCTTAGTTCATCATTTAGGTCTTTTCTTGTGCTGCTTAGTGCTACTTCTCGGTTTGTTAAACACTTAACTAAGCCTGCCTTAACAGATAACGAACGGATGAGATGAATCAAAGAGGTCTAAATATCTATTAGAATGAGTTGCTTTTTTATAAACACTAGTGTGCAGTTTGCCTTCTTCTATTCGTTTTATTTTACAATCTAACATCACAGCTAATTCTCCTTGTTCATTTTCTGATTCAAATGTGAAAGTTTATTTCATTTACTAGTGAGTTTATATGCGTCAAGAAGCCAGAGATATGTACAGTTTTTAACACTATAATATATGGAAAATACTATCACCAATCAAATCAATCAATGGAAAATAATGACAGAATTATATAAACGAAGTTAGGCAGTTGTGTGAGCAGTGCCTTGAGATACGATTCTGAGCGGTAATAAATTCTGCTCGAAAAAATTGTGGTCATCAGTAAACATTACTTAGTGTATAACACTGTGTGACTTTATCGAAATAAAATTTTCACCATAATGGAATTATACATAGACGTCTATCAGGGCGGAAAGTTCATGGTTATAGTCATCAGAGGTAGTAAGTATACAACAACACTGCGCGTCGTTGGCACAGCTGTTAGGAACCTCACCGACCATGCACATGTTTCGGGGTTCCATCCCCTACTGGCGCACACCTGATTTCAATAGTGATATGTATCCACATGGTGTGTGTTTTGTTTTGACAGTCTGTTATATTTTGCTATGTGTATATGGATCGATTTTCCATTATAACTGACATTGTGCCTTTGTCTGTCCACTAACTAAATAAACAATGTATGACCTTGTTATCACATGACATTACAACCAATCATGGTAAGACGTTATCTTACTGGTTCATGTGTATTAGCCATTTTCATATACACTCTTGCTTTATCACTCTTGTTCACAAACATTTCGTACATTACGTACCATTTCACTCACACACTTGTGTGACATTTATTTTTCTTGTCTGGAAAAAATACAAGTATCATCGTAAACCTGGTGGTTTTCTGATTTCCGTCTTTCCGCGTCAGGACTATTACCTACTCGACGAGTGCATAACAGTAATTGGCGACGGGGAAAACTCGAATAACTCACTCAGCAGCAGTACACAACAAATAGTCAGCCTGCGAATTTGGACTACCGATATCGCATGCTGAAAAAATTCCTTAGCTGTACCAAAAATACTGTCTGGTTTCAAGCTATAATCAAAATTTAATTAATTGATTAATTAATTAAGAGAATGATTTTTGTATTTGTCGTGACAAATCGTATCTGTACACTAACCTGGAGATAGATAACATTCATTTTTATGCCTTATTGTCCATGATTTTAATTTACAGACTTTTGAACAGAAGTAAACACTTCGACAACGTGAACACAGTACCAAACGTATGCCAGCTGATCGTCCGCACTCATAACAGAATGAGTATGAAATACAACTGAAACAATAATCAAAAAGAAGAATAGAAAGTTTAAAATCTGTTACATGCAAAACAATTATGAAATTATATCATACTGAAAGGATTTATTAAATTGAAATCCAGAATCATGATCATGAGTTTCCAGTCTTTGTATAAGTAGATCCTATAGATGTCTATCAAAAAGAACAAGTAGACGGCATAATGGTGCATACTTTCTGACTAATTTATTAGGGTAATCATTAAGTTTCCCTGACAAATTAGCTAGAATGTATGTAGAGAAATGTAAAAATAAAATAAATAAAAACAGCAGTGATAGTGTAACAACAGAAGACAAGGGCCAGGCAACAGATCGTTTTTATTATGAAAATCAACACGTATTTATATATATTTCACATACATTATTATAGCTTATGCAAGTAGACAAGCGCAGTCATCTGATTGGTTGTTTATCAGAAGTTAGGCAGACAAACGCAGGCTTCTGATTGGTTGTTTCGGGATTCCTCGACAAATAGAGTTCTTTATCTGCGAATCATATTTTGCCACGTTAACTTTGCTGTGATTGGTTGCTGAATCAGCCTTGCTCATATTTTCTCACGGCCACCTCTCACCACAATAGTGATAGTAATAATAATAATATTATTACTAATGACGACATGCATTGTCAAATATGCTCAAGATAATGACAACACCAACAATAAGGAATCTAAATCATCAGTAGTAATTCCACACAAGGAAGGAACCTCAGAAATCATCTTACGCAGAATTCTTAACAAGGCGGGCAATAATAAAAGTGGCTGGCATTCAAACCGCCCACAAACTCAATTAGAAACAAGCATTGTCAGCTAAAACAAAACAATTTAATTTGTCTAATAATTTTCAAGTCAAATACATACGTCAAAGTAGTAGAACAGGTGCAGTCAATCAGACTAGTGGAGCATAAAAACCTGGCAGTAAATTCTAGATTAGTTGACCAGAATAAGATAACAAGAAATCTAGGGAATAGTTCAGCCCTAGATAGCACTACATGCAATTACACACAACCATACAACAGGATGGATGGGATAAGATGAAAGTTTTAAAATCTTAAATATAACAACAGGGTATAGGGAGAGATTGATAATATCGGAAGCTATGTTTATCGAATCAACTGCAAATACGTGTAATAGGAATGATTCGACACCTATCCTCCTACATATTTGGAAAATTCTACTGCGTATTGATATCAGTAAGAGAACCATTTAAAACCAGGGAGTACTGATATCAATCCATGGTCAACTCGTAAAAACATAACTAACCCTTACAAACCAAACTATAGAAAATTAATCTGATGCTCACTAGTGAGTAACTTGCTACAGGATGGAGTTTCCTGGAGTAACTTCTAGTGAGAAGTCGTGACCAGTGAGGTCCAATTAGATGTCACGTGTGCGGATGGATGTCTCACCAACGACAATGGTTGGAGCCACGCTAAATCACAAATTGGTAGAAGTTAGAATTCATGCACTGACCGTTGAATCGGGTCCCAATGGCTGAATGGTATACGCGCCAGCTTGCCTTGTAGCCAGAAGGTCCTGGGGTTCGAATCCCAGTGGGTGTGTACCGATTATTCCCAAACTAGGATGAAACAGCAGCTGTCCAGTACTCCCTGGTTTTTACTGGTTCTATAACTGATATCAATCCGTGATCAACTCGTGAGAACATAACAAACCCTTACAAACCAAACTATAGAAAGTTCTACTATCCCAAAGACGACAAATAGGAGAAGACAAAGAAAACTATAAAACTCAAAGTTCAAAGTCGTGTGATTAAAAGTGATATGATTATGGACAATAAATTTTGTTCGAAACCTCGAAATCCAGTGAACAGTAATACTGTTTCACGGACTGTGTAATATATCTAATAAACAAACTAATAAAGGATTTCATACACTACCACAGTGCCCACTTTTTGCACATATACTAATAGCATAGAATCCATTTTCTACATAAGGCGAGAACATAGGCGGAATTGTTCACTCATTCCTGTAAAGTGTGTCTATCAAATGACTTTTGAGAGAACTATCATAATGTCAGCAATTTCTTTCCAATTAACTTCAGCAAAACATTTTTAGTCCTAGGCACAGATGGTTTGATAACTATCTACTCGTTTACCTGTCTATTTACTTATCACCATTATACCACAGGATAAATAAACATGGCGATGATATCACCAATGAGTACAGCTGAATTATAACGATAGTCTCACTAGTAAAATATTCCCATTTAGTATCACATGTAATTGTGTCCTGTAAGCATAATGGAACCATTGACTGTGAGCTTGGCACACATTTTGTACAGTAATGAACATACACACGTCGGTGGCACGACGGTAGATTGCTCACCGACCACGTTGGTCGTCCGGGTTTTGATCCCCAGTCGACGCACTTCTTTACCTTGCTAAACCAATATTAAGACTGATAAGGAGGGAAAGTTGGAAATGAGACTAGCAACCTCATCTCGTAAAAATAAATACCGCTAAAACTGAAACCTCAAAGCTCTAGCTTGTGCGTCGGTGGCACAGTGGTTAGGACTCTTGCCGACCATGCACATGGTCCGGGGTTCGAGCCCACGCCAACGCACACCTGATATCTATGGTCGGCCTGCGAAATTTGGGCTACCGATATCCATGCTGAAAATTCCATACTTGTACCAAAAATACGGTGTGGAATCAAGCTGTAGTCAAAAATAAAAAATAAAATAAATTGAAGCTTTATGCCCCATGGGTGGGGGGAAGTAAAGGAATTTTTAAAAAGGAGTTTCTTAGTTAACCTTCTCCATCTTGGAACAAAGTGACATTGAATATACGGCAAAGTTCCACGTTTAAGCACCACTAACTACTAATGGAGTCCGATCGCACCAATGATCTTAAAACGCCTGCTGAGCAAACACGTTAGCGAAACCTGGCAAATAATGTTGTCATAATCAATAAAATATGCTCATCGAATTGTTATGTTATTAAATGGGATATCTGGCAAGTTTCAGCTTAGGTATGAAAGAGATTCCGTTATGCTTTAATGCTTCAAAAGTCAAGTTAAAGTTAGATTAACCTATTAAAGGTGATATCAGGGTTAGTTCGAGTTAGATTACAGTTAGTTTAGGAATATTTTCTCGTTAGGGTTAGATTCGGTGAAGATCAGGGTTATTGCCAGGATTAGCAGACCTAAATAATTACATGCATAGAATATGTGGTTAAATTACTCTGTTGATATAAGAATAGGACATATGCACTGTGGTAGAGCGTAATTCCATTGTGCGTAAAGTTTGTTTTGATAAAGTTTCGCAGTGTTATACAGTAATATTTACTGGTGACGTTTCGAGCGCGATTTATTGCTCAGTAAATATTACTGTATAACACTATGAAACTTCATCAAAAAAATTTTTACCCTCAATGAAATTATAGCCTGTTGATACACCAACCTATATTTGATAGATACTTTAATCACTTGTGAAAGGCATCATCTGTGACACTTTCTAGTTTTTATGCATTATATATGCATAAATATATGCATTCCATACACAAAAATGTCTCCTCCTTGTGATTGGTGTATTCAAGGCCATTGGCTGATTGGCAACGTTAGTGGTGCTTAAAGTTTAACATTGACATTGAAAATACCTCTGAATATCAAGATAACTAATCCTACTTTACATGTTTTAGTCCAGAGAAAATTCCACTATGTTTCTGATATGTGGTCAAAGGATTGTTGAACACTTAGAAGCCTAGACAGCTACACTTCTTATCACCTAGAATCCGTTAGGTAGTTCAAAGCTGCCATAAGGAAGCAACCGTCAGGGATGCCGGGCGGGGGGTGGGGGGCGTTCAGTGAATCTGAGTTTCATTCTGATTAGCACTCATCGGCAAGGTATATCGGCAATCTGTGCCACAATCAGAGATGTTACTGCTGACCTATTCCAACTTGTGATTTATCTCTTGTATCACTGTAATACATACTCTGTACTGCCTAGGGAGAGCCCATGCACACGGAACCTTGGTTTAATACTTTTTTACAACATTTCCAAGACAGTTAACATTAATTCATTGTGCACCGCCAATCCACATCATTTACTAGTTACTGGAGGATAACCGATGTCATATATGTAGTCCAAAGGGATCACTGAAGTCTAACATCCCAGTTTTCAGTGTGTTCATTAAGCTTCACAACTATTATCACGGTGTCAAGCTTTCACACCAGTAAAAATGACCAGACACAAGACACTGACTGCTTCCTGGTGACCAACCACTTTACATCCGAAAAAACTGAGCTGCAAACAAATGATCAATAATTTGTAAATTCTAACAATAAACTACATCCTGTGTCATTGTCATGAAAGTGTGAACAAAGTGCAATTTAGGAAAGCTGAAGAAAAATACAGTAAAAGATTAATGCCAACTGATATAGATGGTTAGCTAGTCAACTGGTTCATTCAAAAAGGGGATGACAAAAAAAAGAAGTTGAAAAAAAGGCACACTTAATTCAGGGGAAAGGGTTCAATATAGCGATGTATGTATACTAACCTTTTTTGTCTTAGATAAGTTGGAGATTGTTGAGAACGTTTCGGAAAGGCTGTGGGAGAAAATTAATGAAAAATAAACAAAAGAGATGAGTGAATTTTATCTTCTCATCAATTTTCAGTAATCATCATGAATGAAGTTATATGATATTAATGTTAAGTTTTATTATTATTATTATTATTTCCTTTAATTCCTAGAGGAACATAGGGCTTCAGCCAAGCGTCTCCACTGTGTTCGGTTCTCTGCCAGCGTCTTCACTCCGCTCCAAATCTGCCCACATGCTTTCATCTCCTCTTCACATGACCTCCTCCAAGTCACCTCACCCTCGCACTGACGACCAACTCGCCGCTTCTCTTTCGGCCTGGTTCCACTCGAGCAATAGCTTGTCTAGTGATGTCACTTGATGGTTTCCTCAGAGTATGGCCAGCCAATCTATCTCCATTTCTTCCTGCCTATTTGTTGTACAATCGGTTCCTGGTTGGTTCGCTCCCAGAGATCCCTGTTTCTGATCTTTTCTGGCCGGCCATCTGATCCTGAGTATTGAGCGAAGACAACTATTAATGAAGGTCTGTAGTTTGTTTGAGATGCTCTTTATGACGCGCTGGCCAAGTCTCTGATCCGTATAGTGAGTAGCACTGACTGACTTCATATTGGAGTTGAAAATCCGGATGTTATTTTTGATGCTGAGTGCTGTTGACCTCTACACAGACTTGAGAGTAATGAAAGCTTGTGTTGCTTCCCCGTTGATCCTTGCTTTGATATCCTCGTCAGTTCAGTGCATCCGTAGTTGAAACCATGCTTCGCATATAGGTTGGTTTGTAAAGATGGTTTTTTTTTTCAGGTTCCTCCTATTTGTGCTGATTGTTGTCTGTTGTTGTTTCTGTTGATGTTGGTGTTGGCCAGGAATCATCATCACCTCTATTTTCGCTATGTTCACCTGAAGGAAGTGTTGTCTTCTCTGAATGCTTGTTCTGCCAACTTGTTGCTTTCCACTTGCAAATCTTCCAGTTTGTAGGAAATCAGACATATATCATCGGCGATGTAAAATTGTCGATGGGACCCCGTAGTAGCGAAATAGTTGCCAAATCACCTCTCGATTGACACTGAACTGTCGAAGGCCTCCTCAAAGTCGATGAAGCTGAGATGGATAGATGACTGCCATTCCAAGCTTTGTTCAATGATGATCCGTAGAGTGGCGATTTGATCAATACATGATTTGTTTCTCCTGAATCCAGCCTGTTCCGGTCGAAGTTTTTCATTTGGGGCTTGTTAGATTCACTCCAGGATGATGTGGCTTAGTATTTTGCTTGGGATGGACAGGAGCATAATTCAGCACCAGTTTTTTGCATTGACATAAGTCTTCTTTCTTTGGTAGGTCATTAACTGAAGGAACTCATATCTCTTCTGAGACGCGAACCAGCATCACTCGAACCACCCAGTGCGGACTAGACAAAATTAACTAGTATCCAATCAAAGTATCCGATACAGTCAGTCCTACAGGAGATCAATCGTGAACCTGAATAGCTCAGTGGTAACATCACTTACTACAGCATTGGCTGGGTGATGCGGATTCGAATCCCAGAAGAAATGTAACTTGCTTCAAGGTGGCTAATACGCCTTGCTGACTGGTGAGTGCCAACTGGCACGAAAACTTGATGAAGTAAGGCTTCATGCCGAAAAATTACAAAATAATTGAGCAGAGAATATAATTTTCGATAATTTCCTCCTCTTCTGGCTCTACAATTATATACATGTGTGTTTATATACACAGAATATTCTAGAATAGTACTCATTAACAATATTGGTGTCTTTTAAACAACGTCTATTTGTAAAGTAAGATCAATGGAATTGCATTTCATTAAAGATGCTCAAATTATAATAATAATAAAGATATAGAAGCAAATAGAATATCAACTAAAATTAGGAAAATTTCCACAACCAATCGAGGATCATTCGAACCTAGATGGCCTAGGTGAGGATAGTGTCCTGAAAAGGCTTCAATCTTACAAATTCACTTCCTTGGAGAAAACATCAGCGAGATACTAACACAAGGTCTTAGAAATGCAGTAATAAGAGCATTCCTTGCTGTGGAATCACGCTGTGTCTTCAAAACCGCCCACCCCTATTTCGCTTCCGCGAGTAAAAGATGAACTGTTCAATTTCGCCTCTTCAGCATGTATCTACCAATTCAACTGTTCCTATGGAATGAGACAGTTACATAGGCCGAACAATTAGACGTGTTCCTCATCGGATTTCCAAACATCACCCTCCGTGGTTAATTAAGTAAAGGAGAAACAAAATCTATTCACATAGCGCTATTCTATCTCATCTTGTGGATGCAAAACACATGAGTGATGTTGACAAGGCGGCTTTCAAAGTCACTTACCGCATACCTACGAATCTCAATTTCGCCTTAAGAATTAAATTACTGAATATTGCTGAGGCGGTGGGGATCCACATTAAGAAGCCTAATTTATGTGTCCAAAAGAAGAAGTTATTCCAGACATTGTCCTTACCTTAGCCATCTAGGTTTGAATGATCCTCAATTTTTTGTAGAAATTTCCTTGGTTACAATTGATATTCTATTTGCTATTATATTTTTACCATTATTATAATTTAGGCATCTTTAGTGAAGTGTAATTCCATTGATTTTACTTTAAAAATCAATGTTATTTAAAAAAACACTAATATTGTTATTGACTACTAATCTAGAATATTCTATGTATAAAAAACCATTTCGTTGACAGGTCATACTGAGACCTAAAACTATACAGTGGGTTATTATCTGTTTGCAGTACAGAATCCGATTTACATTTCGAACATTTAACAAAAGGTCCATATCTAAAGGGAACAAATGCTTTCAACAGTGCTATTGTCAGGTATATCCTTGACACAGGACATGAGATGGAAATCGCAAGATCGTTCAAAATTATCAATTTGCAAAACAGTTCAGTTCTTCTTAAGTTTGCTGAAGCAATCTACATCAAGTGCTGAGAATTCTATTCTGTATTATAAGTACTGTTTTTGGAATAAGGTAAATTATTATTATTAATAATATTACTGTTATTAAAAAAAACCCGATTTATGCAAATTCAGAAAGAAGCAGTTATCAGTCTTTCTTTGACCTGCCTAGTAAGTGAATATATGTTTTCACCTCTCTTTCATCTGATTACGTAGTATTAAGAGTTTCCTTTGTGTATGATCATTATTGTTCGAGATGAAGTGTTGATTACTATTATATATATTATTGTATGCATATATTGATTGGTTGATTTTTGAACTCTGTTCAAGCATGTTGAAATTGTTTCTGTAATAATAATGTAATAATAACTTTGACCTGTGATCAGATGATGAGAAGCCAAAGAAATAAACAATGGTATCGTTTATTCTGCACAAATCACTGTTGTTCTCACCTTATTCAAATTCATTAATGGGAATAAATGTATAAAATGACGAATGTTTAAGTCAGTAATAATAGTGATTAAATCAAAGTGCAGATTTCTTCTTTGAGAAAGAACACTCCGTTTTCCAGAGAAAAATAAAAGAAGAACGCTAAATTACACTTACAGAGTTTAGCTTGATTTTCATGTGTTCCAGTATTTACCTGTTGAACAGCCTTCACATCACCATCGCCATCCCTATCATAATCATCAGTGAATGTATCCAGTGAATAGGCGTAACGTCTTAAACGATCAGCTAAATAAGCTAAAATTTGCATACGACTATTGTAAGTCTCTTTTTCAATTTCATTCAATGCATGATAAGGTGTTTTAGTGACACGTAGATCTTTTGCATAGTCCATATATGTGAAATCAATCACATTGCCTGTAAAGTAATTTTCAAAAATAATCCATGAGTCGTTAAAATAAACACTTTGAAAACCAATGAAATTTTATGCTAAAATGGTTTAACTACTTATTATAGTCACAGTAGTATACAGGCGTATGGTGATAATGATATATTCCCTTTTGTTTGAATAGTTTGCATATTTTTATACGAACACTTCCTGCCAAACGGAAACTTTCGTCAATATATAACATGCAATTCAGAACAACCAAACAGGAAGATGATTAACACTTGAGTAGATCAGTAGTAAGTGAAACGCACACTTATAAAGATCGGTCATCATAATTATATACAACATCAAACCATAATTTGGAGAGAAGTACGATATTTTTGACACAATATCGTCATATTTAAGTGTTAGTTTATAGGGATTTGACTGATTGGTTACAGGATTTCATCATGAGCTGACATCAGTTAGAGAACCACTGAAAAACCACCTGGGAGTACTCGACAGCCAGCTGCTTCGTCCTAGTTTGGGACTCTTCATCAGTAGCCACCCACCAGGGTTCGAACTCAGGACCTTCTGATTACAAGGTGAGCACGTAGACCATTCAGCAGCCACTGGGACCCAATCCAATGGCCAGCCAGCTAGCCCATGAATTCTAACTTCTGCCAATTCACGACATAGCGCGACCCCTAGCCAATGTCTTCGGCGAGTATTTGTCCTCAAACCCGACCTGCTGCACCCAACTGGTGACGACTTCTCACTGCAATCCCAGCTAACTACTTACCTGAATAGGGCAAGTCACTAGTTGGTTGGTTTTTAGGGATTTGATTGGTTAGAGGAGTTCATCATGAGCTGACATTGGTTAGAGAACCATTGGAAAACTAGGATAAAACAGCTGTCCAGTACTACCAGGTTTTCCAATGGTTCTCTAACCAATGTCATCTCATGATGAAATCCTGTAATCGTCATATTTATTTGTCGATTATAACAAAAAGATTAAAAGAAAAATGAAACAATCCTCTTAGACGACTTCATGGTAAAACTGTGGAAAACGTATTTGCATGCGTCAAAAAAAATATATTACGGTATTTCGTTTTCTCCAGCGAGGAAATAGATTTTTTCAACGCTTTCATCTTCAAGCTGTACAGTCATACTTATATAATGTTTATCCAAATGTGATAAACGCTCTTCTTATGCAGTTGAATTACATTTGGTATTTACCAGCCGAAATATGATTCAGAAATGCGTCAAGGATAAACTACGCCTTACGTTCACCTCTATGTGCATATACTCATTCATATGCTTGTGTGATTGGGCGGTGTAAGCGCGTTCGCCACGAACACGTAGCTGAACATTACCCGGCTTGATTAGTGCTAGGTAGGCATAGGATAATGAAGTCTGCCATTTCTGAACACCTTGTGTAGTTGCTTCCCACGTGACCTAGCCTTCCAAGCTATTTACTGGACTAAAACCAACCACTCCAAATGTTTACTTTTACTCCTGTCTGTCTGTTTTCGACATAGAACTTTGCACCGATGTGTACCAGTTCAAGTCGACACACTCCCTCCTTGTACCACACAAAGCAACAGAAGAAAGTAGAAGAAATGTATAATATAGATAGTAAACAAAGATGTGGGACAAAGAAACAGTAATGACGAAGAACAATATAGTTTCATTGGAAATCATAAGTCACAAGGAGTAGACGCATCTACGCCAGCCACTGATAACGAAGATTTTGAGCAATATCACCAATTGTTTTCAACCATTGGTTTTTACCGTCCCGAGGCCCCAACTACAAAGTCAGGAAGTCTACACCTTCATACATGGTTGGCTTAAACTAATTGTTGTGGATTTCATTGACTGGTGCCATGTTTTGGTTTGACCACCGCTAGGTCTTTTCCAGCCTGACCCTATGTCAGCTAACATTGCCCGTTGACGAGGAAGGCGATGAGTAGGCATACGTAACACATGTCCTAACCATTTCGGTCGATGTGATATGACAGCCTCGTCGACTGACTTCTCCTCCCTACCTAGCACTCAACCGATGCCTAAACTCAATATTGCTCACCTTATTATATCAATTCACACCGGAGATAGAGCGCAGTCACCTATGATCGAAGACAGCCAATCTTTTCATGTCTTCCAATCTCAATGGCCAGGTCTCACAGCCATAAAAGAGGACGGAGCGGAGTGCCGAGTAGTACACCCGCCCTTTGGTCAATAACCGGATATCACGTCTACTAAGCCAGAGACGGTGTAAACTGGCATATGTGAAACTAGCCTTCTGTATCCGTGCTGAGATTTCGTCCACTTATGCAAAGCCAGAGCTCTAGCTATACATGGACAGAAACCTAAACTGGGTGTTCAAGAAAGTTTTCTTGAACCGCTTTCTTTACTTTTGTCATAGTAACGTCCTTTTATTTTATTCTTTATTACCACTTGAATTCATCATTCCACTTCACTTCATCTTCGCGTTTTTCTTCTTGTCACTGTCGTAATAGCGGGAGGTAGAAAAAAGCTGTGAAACAGGAACCACTGGGTAAGAATGTCACTCTAAATAAGAACTCAACAGTGAGCATCAATGTTCTTATTTGAGACTTCGAGTTATGTGATGAGCACATTATCATTCGGTCATTTAGTCAGAATACAGTACACCATGAATGCTAACTTTTGTCAAGTGAGATAAGGTAAATGAAAATCCCAAAAACAGTTACTTGAGAAAGTAAATAATCAATAAAAGATATAAAAAAGGCATAGTTCGGTCAGAGAGTATCAAATAATCGTGATAAGATTGACAAGATAAAAGCGGAATAAAATTAACTTGAAAAGCATTAAAAGAAGATCATGGAATTTCGCAGATAGGTTCTGAAAACATTTCAACTGTACTCAGGTGAAAATAACCGTAGATTGTCTCAAGATGTTTAATGTATTCCACTGAAAAATCAGACTCTATAAAGCATTGCCAAAATGACGATCTCTGTAAAATTACATTCATCTTTGGTAAAAAAATCCGACAGTCGCCTTATGTTGTCTTTCAAAAGGAACTGCTTATGAATGGCATAGAAGCATATGGAATGACAGATACTCACAAAAGTGAGAAAACATGATGAGTTACTCTTTCAAATACTGTTAACTAAGCAATAGTTATATGATGTGAGATGTAAGCTAACAAATTATACAGTTCATTTGATGCAGTCATGTAGGAGTTATTGTTTATTACTTCAAGTATTGGTTTGTAGGGATTTTATTGATTGGTTACATGACCATTGGGAAACCACCTGAGAGTACTGGACAGCTGTTTCGCCAGCATAGTTTGGGACTCTTCTACATCAGTACGCACCCACGCTGGGAGGGGGGTTCGAATCTAGGGCCTTCTGGTTACAAGACTAGTGAGCCGTAGACCATTCAGTAGCCACTGGGATCCTATCCAATGGCCAGCCAGCCGACACATGAATTCTGACCTCTGCCAAGTCACAACATAAGGCGACCACTTCACATTGTCTTTGGTGAGTATTCGTCCTCACACTCGATATGCTGCACCAGTATTTCATCCGTTTCAGTAACTTTACATTTTGAAATTATAACGAGTATTTACTTTGGATTTATTCTAAAACCAGTCACTAGAAGGCTGATGACCATTGGAAATTTGTTTAATGAAAAAGAGAAGACGTTCAGCGAAGAGACTCTTTTCGGTGGAGAATTTATTCACATACCTGTACAATTGCATTTATATATAGTTATTTTTGTCTGTATGTGTGTACATGAGGTTTATCAAGTTTATATAATTAATCAGGTAATACAAGAATGATCTAATATAGAAACAAGGTTAGTTAAACAGCAAATAAAGTAAGATAGAGTTAGTAAGTTAGATGACGCAATATGATTGACTAAAATGTTTCAACTTAGGTCATGGTAGCAACAAAGGTAATTACAGGTGGGGGCTGAGTAGAGGTAGGGTAGAGAATAATGCCATTTAAATTAGGACAAAAACTGAGCAAACAAAATGGATGACGTAACATAAATGACTAGAAATCGAGCGTTAGTCAAGTCAGTAACATTGGTAATGAAGTGTAGAAATTAAATCGGATGGGGCTAGAGAACAGGAATGCTGAAAATGCAAAATATTACAATTGAGAAGACAAAATAATACTAATGAAGAGATAGAAAGAAGTAGAATTTACCTGTGGGTATTAAAACAGATAACGTCTATTGAAAGTGTAGTGTGTGATTGAACGAACTTCTTCTGTATGCAGAGTTCAGAACTTAGCAAGTGAATTGCCATTGCTTCTGCAGTTTGAAGATATTCGACTCGTACACTTTTAGAAAGACTGCTTCGTATTCTATAAACGACTTTGAAGTTTGTTTGGGGTGTAGCTTAGTGTCCGTAATCTATCAGATGTTCTAAGATTGAGCTGTGGGGGCATCGCTTTTTTTCCTTTGTAAAACCATGCTGGTAAATGCTCGGTGATATGTCTGGATAGCGAACGCTGCATAAGGCCGGCATACCTGGCTCCACACGAGCAGCTGAATTGGTAGATACACATTGATGAGGCCAGCAGTGGTAACTGCCACGTTCATACGAATCACAGGTTTCGTAGAGGAAGTTAATCGTAGTTCAGATGAGAAGAAGGTTTTCTTAAGTGAACGCGACAGTAGATTTTTCAGTTTGCACAGATAAATCTCAATTGAACTGAAGGTTCACGTAGAGGAGGTTTTTCTGGACACTAAGCTTGGGTGGCTTTTGGGGTCTAGGATTCATGGATTTTGCAATAAATCGTTCTGGATAACAATTCTCTTGAGACCGTCCAGTTCGTCTTCCATGGTATCTGGGGTGTAAATTCTGCGAACTCTGTTGCTAAGTGAACGGATCAGGTTTCGTTTGGTGTATAGGGGTATCCAACTGTCAAAGCTAGTAAGCTGTCCGTTCCATGGCGACTCTCTGTAAATAGATCTTTTCAGTGTTCCATCTTGTTAGTTGAATGTCAAGAAAGGATATTTTGGAGTTAGACTCTTTCTCTAACGTGAACTGAATTGCAAGGTGGCAGTTGTTAAAGGAATTTAAGATGTCGTCTAGATTTTCTTCATTGTTGATGATAATAAAAGTGTTGTTGACGTACCTCTTGTTTAATGCTATTGATGATTATGTATTAATGACCGAATTTCGAATCATTCTCATTGCTGTAAACATTTAGGAGACGGATCATATAACCTGATATAGTTAACATTCTCTATTATCATGAAACTCCAACTAGTTGGCTTTATTGATCACAAATTCGAACTCAGACTATAAGAAATCCATCTCAAATCCAAAATACCAATAAACGTTTAGTTGTAATTAATGATTATGGATAGCTGATCATTTATGATACTATACGGTAGTTCTTAATTACTGCGAAATGATAGAACTCAAGAATTGAAGACCACTGAGTAGCGAACTATTTGCCGCAAAATGTAAAAGACTTAAAACTGATCATTTATGAGAATATGAGTTGTTATTATTATTATTATTATTCCCTTGCGTTCCAAGTGGAACATAGTGCTGGCTTCAACAACACATCTCCACTTCCTTCTATTTTCTACCGTCCTCTTCAGCTGCGTCCACAACTGATCAAACTCTCTCTCTCTGTCATCTCTTCCTCACACGATCTCTTCCATGTCACCCTTGCACTGACATCCCAATCGCCGCTTCCCATTTGGATTCCACCTGAGCGATGATCTGCAGCGCGATGTCATTCGGTGGCCTTCTCAGTGTATGCCCCCGATCAATCTTCACTTCCTCCCACATATTTATTGAGCAATCGGCTCTCGCCTGTTAGCTTTCTCCCATAGTTTCACTTGTCACTTATTCTTTCTGGCTGGCTGGCCACTTGATGTTCAGTATGGAGCCAACAAGGTGGGCAGCTGTAGACAAACTGGCTTCAGGTTGATGAAGTTGTATCTTGCCTTTCTGATTCTGAATTTGACATCTTCGTCTGTTCCGACTGCCTGTATTTGAAACAATGCTTCCTGGCTAGATAAGTGAAGGAAGCAACCTCATTAAATCTCTCCCGTCGCTGGTGATTGGTGCTGGTTTTTTGTTGCTGGTGATTGGTTATTTGCATCCTCCCACGTCTTCTCTGTGTTCACATGTTGTCCTGTTTTCGTTGCCAGCCTCTTTAGCCAGTTTGTTAGTTTTCGCTTGCTAGTATTCGAGTTTGTATGACATTAGACATACGTCATCGACGCGCGCAAAATCCAAATCTTCTAGAGTCTTCTTATCAGTCGCGTCCAGCGTATCCCTGACACTTCGGCCCCAATAGTCCAACGCATAATCCAGTAAAAGATTCTGAGTCGATACTACCAGAGAAACGATTCGTGATAAACTCTGTTTCGTTACGAATACAACATCATTAATGTAAAAAAACATATCGAAAACATATACATATATATATATACATGTACATGTACTAGCTTACCCAAAGTTTCTTTTGGTTTTAATAAAGTAAACCTATTGAAACATTGAACACCACCTTTGTTTATCAAGCGTTTGATTAATTCTAAACGTGAATCAACAGATCGCCTAAATTCAAATAAACTTGAACATGCAACACATAAAGCAGATCCGTAGCCACATCCTAACGGCTGGTTGATATTTGTATTCGGATGATTAATTAAAACATTGATACACTAGAAATTAGAGGAAAAAAAGATAGAAATATATATATAGACAGATAGAATGTAAAGTCAGTGGCGACTTCAGTGACTACAAATTTGACACCGGTTATGCCTAAGGGTCTAATACAGTTCTACAGGTGGTCATTCGTCAAGTGGAACAGCTCAACGGTAACATCGCTGAATGCAGCACTAAAGTAGACATTTTCAAATGCCTGAGAATGGAGATTATTTCTTTCGAGTTTCCAGGTACGCCTTGCTAACGAGTGTGAATGAACACACAGCCTAGATTAAGAGGTTTCTATTGACTACCAGTAACCACGTAATATCAGGCTGTCTGTTGTGTATAGAGAGTCTATTGAGTCTCTGGGTCATGTGGATCCGTTTATCGACCTAATTATCAGGTCAGAAGATTGTATAAATTGGTGGTTCAAGAGTTATTAGCTGAATACCTTCACCAACTACACATTTAACACATATACACACAGATTGTTCAACGGGTCATTATATTCATTTTTTTTAGCTTCGTACCCTTGAAATACAAACGGAATCTCATAAAGTGATTGGTTCACAGAGTAAGAGCAACCTGCTCGGATGAATGTCTTGATGAAGAAATCAACAATATTAAAGGGTTGATGAGTGAAAATGGTTATCCAGAGAAGTTTATTCATAAGAATATGAATCTAAAATCAAAGCAGCCTGAGGTACCAACAGTTCCTAAAAAAGCCTTATTCTCACAAGTTCAGTTCCTTGGAGAAAACATCAGCGAGATACTAACATAACGCCTTAGAAATACGGTGAAAAGAGCATTCCCTGCTGCTGCTACTGCTGAATTACGCTGTGTCTTCAAAACACCCACCCGTATTTTATATTCGGGAGGAAAAGATAAACTGTCTAATTTCTCCTCTTCCATATGTATCGCCCAATTTAACTGCTCCTGTGAATTGAGCCAGTTACATAGGTCGACTGCGTGGTTGAGTAAAACGGAGAAACAAAATCCATTCACATAGCGCTATTCTGTCTCATCTCGAGGATACAGAACACAAGATTGATGTTAACGAGACGGCTTTCAAAGTCATCTACAGCATACCAACAAATCTCAACTTCACCTTAAGAATTCGATTACTAAATAGTGCTGGGGCTGTTGGGATCCACATTAAGAAGCCTAATTTATGTGACTAAAAGAAGCTATCTCAGAGATTCTCCTTACCTTGGCCATTTAGGTTAGAATTATCATCAAGTTTTTGTAGAAATTCCCTCAATTTTAGTTGTCCTCTATTTGCTATAATATTTTTATGCTTATTATAATTTAAGCATCTTTAATGAACTGTAATTCCATTGTGATCTTACTTAACAAATCGATATTATTTGAGAAACACAACAATATTGTTATTGACTACTAATCTAGAATATTCTGTATATATAAGCATACATATTTTTAATTTTTTTTTAATTTTTGATTACAGCTTGATTCCACACTGTATTTTTGGTACAAGTGTGGAATTTTCAGCGTGGATATCGGTAGCCCAAAATTCGCAGGCCGACCATAGATATCAGGTGTGCGTCAGCGGGTGCTCGAACCTCGGACCATGTGCATGGTCGGCAAGAGTCCTAACCACTGTGCCACCGACGCACAACTGTAGAGCCAGAAGAGGAGGAAATTATCGAGAAGGATATTCTTTGCTGGCTCAATTATTTTGTGCCTTATAGATGTCGGAATGAATATTTACGCCATATTAATAATAATAATAATAATAATCACTTTATTCCAAACAATAGTAATAATAATTATACAGAATGGAATTTTCAGCGTTTTTAAAACACAATGGAAAAATTTAACTCTTTAAAATAAATATATCTACATACATTAAATTTACATAAGTAATAATAATGAAGCCACAAAAAGTTCAGTGTTGATGGGAGCATAATGAATTATAAATAGATAATATTACAGATAATAGGTGTAATAATGATAATAATAATAATAATCTCTGCTTATACTTTGCAGTCCAGTTGTCGATTTTAAAGTTTATATGTTCTTTACTAACATTTGACTCTCTTTTCACATAAAACCCGTGCTAAATATGGTGGTATGTTAGGAATTTTATACTTAGTAGCCGTACGAGTATAAATTCTTATGCAGTTTCTTCTGGTTTCACCCCCGAAGATATACAAGGAAAACGGTAGGAATAAGTGGAGACGATGTTCGGTGGTATCAGACAGGTTAAATTTAGCAAAACGGCTTAAAAGAATTGAAGCGTCTATTGACAATAATGTCAGTAAGTTGAGTCAAAGACTCACCACTAACTCTACGTAGAGCCTTCAAAGCTCTACGTAATGTGATACAGTCATTTTTTGAGTTTTCCAGGGAAGAATAAGGGCGAACAAGAGAGAAAATGAAGGGACAGAATGCATGGATCAACAATAAATTGTAGGAGAAGAGGTTGAGTTATGATGCCAGAAAGTCTCAAGTTCTTTATGTGTAACAAGGCAAGTGTAAAATTTTCTTAGAAATCAACAGGATGTGAGACGACCAACAGAGATTCGAAGAAGCACGGATGTCGAGATGAGAGATATTCGATTTACTGCCTATTATACAGTGCCGTCAGTATTAAAGGAATCATACAATTGAATCAGTCAGTTCACTGAAGTCTTGTTCGCATTTGAAATTAAAAACAATAATATAACATTTTTGTGGATTCAGTTTGAGAACATTTAGGTGAGATGACCTTTTGTTAACTTGAGATAAGAACAATCCAAATTGGAAACTCCTGGGACAGAAATGGTTAGATCATCGGCATATCTTGATGAATGAAGTAAGCGTTGAAAGAACACAGAAGGCCATGTGAAAAGAAGGCAAAAAGAAATGGAGACAGTACAGCATCTCGAGGCACACCAGTTTCCGTTAGCATCAAAGTAGAGCCCTTTCGTTTTAATAAAACACTATGCTGTTTTCTACCTGAAAAACAAGAAGACAGACACCTTGTGACCCAAACCTCAGTACATGCTGAGATCAGCTTGCTGAATATAAGTGCCCTAGAAATAGAATCAAAAGCAATAGTGTAGTTTAGAAAAGAGGCTCAAACATACTTGTGCCTTTACCAAGGCTCGAAGCAATATTGTGTGGAGTACTACATTTGTAAGCAAACTGCTTAGGACTATTAGAAGATTCCAAAAAGGGCCTAAGAACATGCAAGAGAAGTTTCTTTGTAGTTTTCAAAAAATAAAGACGTGACTATGACTGACGGAAACTTTAGACCTGATGCAGAAGATAATTCTGGTACATGCACCACCTTTATTTCTTTGCCTGTTAAATGATGCATTAAAGATCTGTGTAACAGGATGACACAAAATGTCAGCACACTAGTGGTTTAACGATAGAAGATAATTGCCAGGCAACAGATTGTTTATTGAGAAAATCAAGAGATGTTTATAGATTTTTATGCACATTATTATTCGTTAATATTAGCGGAGAGGTATCGTCTTCTGATTGGTTGTTTGCCTTCCGAAGGTTATTCTGTCATCTCTTTTGTGGCAGTTTCTTTGAAGGTCACACCATATATCTGCTAATCGTATCCGCCCACGCAAAATTTGCTGTAATTGGTTGTTGAGTTCCTCAATGTAAATCTTTGTTTTGCAATTGATAGTGTTCTCTGAGCTCCTTGGTTTAATTGCGGAGCTTTCATCGTCTTTCTGGATGACATCTTCAGCGCAGTATTTAGGATAAAGTGAAATGATTTAAATTTCTTCATGAGTCTCCCGGTAACCATCTTTAGATATTTATTGACCGTTTTCTATTGATTGGGATTTTAAACTTTCTGATCACCTGATTTACTTCTTATTAGTTGGTATATTTCATCTATATTAACGTGTTTATTAATTGCGTTTTCATTTGAGTACCAGGCTTCTAGGAATTCTCTGGCACATTTGGTGTTTCCTCTGTTTAAGATTTTGACATTATCCCAATTAAATTGATGTCCATGATCGTCTGAATGTATTGATACTAAAGAATTTATATCATGTCTTTTCACGGCTGATTTGTGTTCCTGGATTCTTATTCGAAGGGGACGCCCACTTTGGCCGATGTAATGTTTGTTACAGCTCACACAATTTATTTTGTAAATGGTGTTAATTTTATCTCCCTTTTCTATCGGATCTTTTGGTTTGCATAAGATGGAATTAAGCGATTCAGCTGGTTTGTGTGCTACATCTATATCAAACGGTTTCATTATTCTAGTCGTTATTTCAGAGATGTTCTTGTTCTTGTTTTTTTCATGATCCCGATTCGGAACATTACCATTCACGTGAATTGTTGTCTACAATTTTGTCTTGCAGACAGCTCTCACCATAGTAGTAGTAGTAGTAGTGGCAGGTTCAAATACTTTTGTCGCTGATTATTATTATTGCTATGTTTTCTTAAAGACATAACGGATGAAAATAATTTTACTATACACTGACAACTTACAGGATCATTACCAGTTGCAATTGCAATACTCAATGCTGAGTGACCATTGCATAGCAAGTTTGGATCAGCTCCATGCTCTAAAAGGCACTTTGCAATGATAGCTGAATTCTTTGAAGAGCGATGAAAAAGAAAGAAAAAAACTATGTGTAGCACTTCATTCTCTTGAAGGTAAAAAGAGCTTAAACATAAAATTAATCGAATCAAAATTTTAATTCAGATTATTATTTCAAGCAGAGACCATGTCGTGTAGAAAACTACTGGAAACTAAGGGAAACTGAATAATTAGTCGAGTTCAGTTTCATTTCTGTGAGGCAAGGAATTTCTGGCCAACACCAACAGCAACAACAACAACGGACAACAATCAGTCAGCATAAATGGGAGGAATCTGAAAGAAGCAACCTCCTTCACCTACCTACCTGAGAAGCATCGTGTCATGTACAGGCGGACGGAACTGATGAGGATATCAAAGCGAGGATCAACAGGAGATAAGAAAAGCTTTCATTTCTCTCAAGCCTATGTGGAGATCGATAGCACTTAGTATGAAAAATAAGATCCGGATTTTCAGCTCCACTGCTACTATATGGATCAGAGACTTGGCGCGTCGTGAAGAGCATCTCAAACAAACTTCAAACTTCATTAACAGCTGTCTTCGCTCAATACTCAAGATCAGATCGCCGGCCAGAAAAGATCGGCAACAAGGTGGGATCCCTGGCAATGAGCCAACCAGGAACCGATTTTGAAACAAATAGGCAGGAAGAAATGGAGATGGATTGGCTGGCCATACTCTGAGGAAACCATCAAGTGGCATCACTAGACAAACCATTGCTCAAGTGGAATCCAAAAGGGAAGCGGCGAGTTGGTCGTCAGTGTGGGGGGTGAATTGGAGGAGGTCATGTGAAGAGGAGATGAAAGCATGTGGGCAGACTTGGAGCGGGGTGAAAAAGTTGGCAGAAAACAGAAGGCAATGGAGGTGTGCAGCTGAAGCCCTATGTTCCTCCAGGAATTAAAGGATATAATAATAATAATAAAGACTTTCCGATATCTGTCAGGCCCATCACTATTTAACTCTGAGCTTCTCAATTAAGAACAATTTTTAGACTGATATAAAAGAATTCAAGGTAAAGATATAGAAAGTCTCTGGGAGAAGCTCAGTTTGTTGTTTCCTAATGAATCAAAGTCCAAGATATGTTATCATTTGTGAATCTAACGTAAACTTTTTCCTGGCGAAGTATGAATGCTAGTACTCTAGTAAATTAATTGATTCATTTGTTATAATGCACCAGAGATTAATATTACCATAGTAAGGTTATGAAGGATATGTAGGAGAAAGTGGAGATGGTTTAGGCATTTGTTAAAGGGGCTGTTGAATGTCATCGCGTGCAAAGTGCAGGCGGAAGTGAGTCGTCAGTGTGAGGGTGACATGGAAGAGGTTGTGCGAGGAGGAGATGAGAGATTAGGGGCAGGCATGGATACAGCGACAGATGACACCATCAAACAGAACAAAGTGAGACGTGTTGTTGAAGCCTTAATTAATAATAATAAAGGATATGAAGAAATTAAATTTATCCAAGTCAACATTTCTTTATATCCTTCACGTTCTCAGTGGAACATAGGGCTTCAAGCTAGTGGCTTGAAGTTTCTGTAGCAGTGGTGATTATTTTTACAGGATGGGGTTGCTAGCCTAACCTTTCCTCTTTACCAGGATTATTTCTGGCTTAGCGAGGTTAAGGAGTGCGTCTGTGGCCGGGGATCGAACCCCGGACCATGTGCAGGGTCGGTGAGAGTCCCAATCGCTGTGTCACCGACGCCCAGTCAACATTTACGAATATCTAATCCCAAGAATGATGGTGAATCTTAGCCATGAATTCTGCAATTTGTAAATGATTGATCTGTCAATCAAACAGTCCTTAGTCATAAATTGTGATGGTCATACTGACAAAAGTCAAATGGCATAAACTCACCTAGTGAATACAGGCAATTTCTGATTCCACTACCATCAAGGTGAACACCTCGAAAATCAAATGCACCTAACATTTAGAGGTTGAGAATTTCATCTATTTAGTGCAAAGTATTTGACTAAAAGCATCCAAAGAATGTCATTTTTTGGGCAAGTTTAAAAATCTTAATTGAATTTAAGATTTTCCCGTCGGTTGAATGGACCGAAGTGCTCGGTCTCAGGTTGACATGTCGGCTTCTTGCGCAGATGCTTCGACGATGTCTTGGCACTTAATTAGAGGTTAATTGGTGGATGGTGACTAGCAGTGGAATCCAAGATGCGTCCTATTCGGACCTCGTCATCTGGATTTGCCTGCATTCCCTAGTGAGTGATGATGTTCCCACCGAGGCTCGAACCCAGTACCCATAATTTCAAGAGGTGGCTCTCGTGGTTTGGTGGATGACTCTTCGGTGTTTGAAACTATGGGCACTGGATTCGAGTCTAGGTGGGAACATCATCACTCACTAGGGAATGCAGTTAAATCCAGATGACGAGGTCCAAATAGGACGAAATGCGCATCCTGGATTCCATTGCTAGTTATTACCCACCAATTAAATGTTTGGTAGTCATTTATAGAGGAATTGACCTATCATCTGCTTGAATCACTGGGCCACTTAACACAATACATCCGCATATTTTCTCTAATTTTTTATTGTCTTAACCGTTTAATTATTATGTATGTTCTTGCGTCGAAAAATGCACTCATGCATATTTTCAATTGACTTTCAGACTACCGGTGAGCATTTCGGGTTAATGAAGGGAAAATTATATAGTTCTATTATGGGTAAAATTTATTCTGATAAAGTCACACAGTGTTATATATTAAGTAATATTTACTGATGACCACAATTTTTTCGAGCAGAATTTATTGCCGCTCAGAATCATATCTCAAGGCAATACTTACATAACTTTCTAACTTCGTTTATATAATTCTATCATTTTCCATCGCTTTATTTGATTTGAGTGATGAGTCATTCTTATTGCATGTGCTGGGTGTAGACTCGATGAACAAGGATTCAGCAATCAACCTTTTTAGAATTTTAAACTTCTCCCACCCTATAGTGTGGTTGTGTGTTAATGCATGCAGTGAAATCGCGGAGCTTTTTTCTAAATTACTTATCTTCACGGGTGGGATCAATCATTCTTACCTTAGCTAAATTCTTATGTTCCGACAATTTAACTACTCCCAACCTACTAGTTTGACCTATGTAGTTGACCTTACAATCATTACGGGCATTTGGTAAATTATATTATTTTCTCTAATTAGGTGGGAATCCTACGTAGGGTCTCAGATGTCCCCCCCCTTACATGGTATATCTGTAGATGCCTTATATTCTCTCTTATTTATGTTATCATTATTAGTTTCACCATTATTTATCTTTTTCTTTTGGCCTTTTTCGATCTTCCTAATGAATTTTAAAGGACAGTTATTCAACACTAACTCCTCTTCTAGCTGTTTTTAGTTCATCATTTAGGTCTTTTCTTGTGCTACTTAGTGCTACTGCTCGGTTTGTTAAACACTTAACTAAGCCTGCCTTCACAGACAGTTAACGGATGAGGTGATGAATTGAAGTCTAAGTATCTATTAGAATGAGTTGGTTTTCTGTACACAGTAGTGTGCAGTTTACCTCCTTCTGTTCGTTTTATTTTACAATCTAATTATCCTTGTTCATTTTTAGCTTTAAATGTGAATTTTATTCCCTTTACTAGTGAGTTTATATGTGTCAAGAAGCTAGAGAGAGATATGCAGTGTTTTTAACACTGTGAAAGCGTCATCCACATATCTTCACCACATAATCTTTGGAATAGCATTAAATGCATTAAGAGCACTATTTTCCCAGCTGTCCATAAAGATAAGGGATAAGGGATACTGGTAATCACATAGCTACACCATCTGTTTGTTTAATTCCATTATGGGTAGAATTTGTTTTGATAAAGTTTCACAGTGTTATACAGTTATGCTTACTGATGACGTTTCGAGCCTAATCTATTGCTCATAATCATATCAAGGCATTTAAAGATAGTAGATGTGAGGCATTACTGAATTCCTAAAATAATTTTCTCAATGGACAGCTTAGTCCTATGAGTGATTTCAGAATCTCCAGATCCTGGATCTGGACATTTGTTCAGAATAAAGCTATTTATTTACTTATTGTAATTTTTATCATCAGTACCCCATCACACATACAATCAGTAGCCGAAAACTTTCATCTAGATAAATTATCGAAAAACTCAAAAATTGAGAAACACTTTCTGCTGCCATTTATACGTTCTTTAGTGAAGTGAACGACATAAATACAGGGGGCAAATTCTGTGGCTGATAAGGTTGTCTGAGAACAACTCACCGTGTATCGACAGAAGACAACAACCAGGCAACAGATCGTTTATTGAGAAAAGCAACGTCTTCTGATTGGTTGTTTTCTTGCTCAAGGTTATTCTGTCATCTCTTTGTTGCCGTTCTTTAGAAAGTCAGGCCACATATCTGCGAATCGCATCCGCCCACGCTAAGTCTGCTGTGATTGGTTGGTGAGTTCCTCAATGTTAAGCTTTGTTATTGTTTTCTCTTATGACCCGAATTTAGAATGTAAATATTGACGTAAATTGTTGTCTACAATTTTGGCTTGCAGACAGCTGTCACCACAACTGCAGTCAGTAATTTTCACTGAAACGATCTGTTTTCTCAAAGAAACTATAATTCATACACAAACACACACACACACGTCACAGACAAGGTGCTTTACGCAAATAAACAAGACAATATTTCGGTGTATAAACTACGTTTAACTGACTAATGAACAATACCGATTAGTATGAATAATTTCCAGTGATTGCCATCACCACCACCACCACAAACTGTGAATCTCACTCAACAAAATTTTTTAGAAAAAAACAACAAATAGATCAACAAATATTTTACCAGTTGGTCATATTCTCGTGAACAAACTAATTGCAATGGTGTTCTGCCTTCATAGATTTTCTTCTCAGTCGGTGTTGTCCTCTCTGAATTCATCCCCTTGAAATACATTGAACGAAAAAATAAATAAATAAAAAATAAAATGAACTGGAATGCTTTCCATTGAATTAGTTGCGTTCTCTAAGGAGCTGATTGATTTAACTGTTAAGCTTTTGTTGTCCCTCTGTCTAGACAACATCACTTCAGCACAGGTTTGAGTATGAAGTAAAATCATTTGAATTCTCCGTGAATGATGATATAATTATATCTCCTGACAACGACTGTCATGATCGGTTGTTACACTACTTCTCTATTGGTCATTTTAATTGACTTGGAATTTGAACTTTCTTGTCGTGTGATTTGCTTTTTATTAGCTGGTAAATTTGATCTATTTTGATTGGACACTAATAACAAGTGTGATGTGTCTAGTCCTCTATTTGGTGCAGACTGACCTCTATCAGTCGGTGGGGTTGTAAGATAACCACCATTCCACTAGGTAGTTCGCCATCACGGTGCACATTGATTTGATGATATTAGACGGTTGGAGACAATAGGCAGGAGAAAGCCACACGAGTTCCTTCAAGGTTGAAGATACGCCCTGCTGACTGACTGGTTCGAGTGCCCCCTAGCTTTTCCTGGGCTACTGAAAAAGGACTATACCTCATTATGCAGGATGTTAAAGGTTGTCAACAGAGTAAGCAACGTCCCACTTAACTAGCTTGTTAATATTCTGGTTGACAGACACATGGACTCATGTGAAAAATGGGCTAAATCCATTCTATCTAACCCACACCACCTTCTTCATTCACTCCCCCCCCTTGTATCTCATCAGGCAGGCAAAACCAGAAGCCTATATAGAAAAGTATATGCTAACACTATTGAGTACAAAAACTCAACCATACCCTACTGAGCTCATGTTCTGTGCGATAAAGAAAGTATTAGGCGTGAAACTTATAACTTATTAAATAGTCAGTAGAACAAGTGGATCTCGTCTTTCCAACTCATATCATTTATAGGTACAACGTTTTTCATTATTTCCTTTCGTCTTTTCTTATGTGCTGTTTTGTTTCTCTCTTCTTCACAAACTCTATTTAAAACATTCTTCATCGTTCTTTAACACTCTGTATATGTCGACCCTTTTGTGACCGCTTACGCCAGTAAATATGCTACCATTACTATGTACTTTTTCTAACACCTTCAAACACTCTGTTCAATTTTTGGCTTTTCTACCGACATGCCAATATGTTGTTGTCGTAATGAACTGAGATTACCTTAATCTATGTTGGATTTTATTTATTGCTAATGTACTAACTGGATGCAATACTGTATGTAGTGAAATGCTGAGAATTCCATTCTGTATCACAAGTACTGTTTTGGAATAAAGCAAATTATTGTTATTAAAAAAACCTAGGTAAAGCAAGGGCTCGTGCCAATCGCTTCCAATGATCTAATATCATCAAAACTTGGTCTATAGTAATGTGTTTATTAATCGCTGGCTTCTAGGAATCCCTTAGCAATTTTGGTATTGTTAAGAAGAGGCAAAACGCATGCAATTATCAAGTTATTATCATGTCGTTGACATGCATTCGTTTCTGCTTTCTGATTGGACGCTTGCACAATTCCAAACTTTCAACCGGAATGGTTGATTTCCAGTCTACCTTATTTTTGTATAAATACAGTCACTTTTGTCATCATAAATGATTCTGGTTTTACCGCTGATTATCGCGTGTTCTGCTTTACCAGTTAAGTGGGCACTAGTCAGTAGTTAAGCAGTTACCTCGAGACAAATATCTAGCATTATAACAGGTATTGTTTAAATTATCCTAATCAAATTGATGTCCATAATTATCTAAACATGCACTGATACGAAAGAATACATATCATGTCTTTTTACTGTCAATTAGTGTTCTTGGATTCAAATTCGAAGTGGACGCCCACTTTGATCGATTTGATTTCTACTGACACGAATCTGGTGCTGAGGTAATATGGAGGTACATCGTGAATCGCCAGAGTTCAAGATTCGTGAGTCAAACCCTTTTCCTCAGTGATTGAATGGCCAATCAACTCTCCCCTCATAAACTCAAGGTTCCGGGTTCAATCACTAGTCCAGTCATTGATAAACACCTTACTGAAGAATCCAAAATATGGACAAAGCAACTCTTTAGTGCTCGTTGGTTTCCAGAGATTCTCTGTATGATATCGATTTGTGATGAAATCTATATCGAAATTAACTAAAATCTACACAAACACACACACACACATACACACTCAAGATCACAACATGAAATGTTATAACTCTACCAACTAAAATCAAATGAACTGAAAGTGGCAAGGAAAATGCATATTATTATGTATACCGTTTCTAGATAAGTGGTCAGATTAACAAAATTACAACATTCATTCAAAACTCAAAAATATTTTCCTGCATAACATGTAATGCTGTGAACATAATGAGTGGATATATTGTAAGACCAAGTGTTTTAAAAACTAAAATAATATGATCCATCTGTCCAACTTACATGAAGTTGAGCAAAGAAACGTTAAACTGAAAGTGTAATACGCGGACAATATAATGGAATTATTTTATTTGATAATAACACGGAGTAATACAGTAATACTTATTTACTGATGTTTCGAGTAGAATTTATTGGTCGTAAGTATATCACAGTACTCACATAACTCTCAGATCTTACTTGTATATATATATATAGTTTTACTATTTCCTATCCTATATTTTTACTGGTAATAGTATTTTACAAGGCTTCCTACTATCTCCAATGTTTTTTTGATTGCTGTAGACTGGATAAAACGACAGACAGACAGCGGTGTGGAGCGAGGAAACAGGTATAGAATCGACCCACACAAAAAACTGGGGGATCTGGATTCCGCAGATGATATATGTCTGGTTTTCCACAAACTGGAAGATGTGCAAGTGAAAAGCAACAAGTTGACTGAAGAAGCATCCAGAGAAGATAGGACTTCAGGTGAAGAAGATTACGGGCCAACAAAAGCAGCAACAACAACAGAGAATAATCAGTCAGCATAAATAGAAGAAATCTGAAAGAAGCAACCCCCTTCACCTACCTACCTACCTACTTACCTTCATGGGTAGCATCGTTTCAACTACAGGCGAACGGAACTGATGAGAATATCAAAGTGAGGATCATCGGAAAACCGAGGCAAGCTTTCATTTCTCTCAAGTCTGTGTGGAGATCAACAGTACTCAGCATGAAATATAAGATTCGAATTTTCAACTTCAATGCAAAGTCAATGCTGCTTACTATACGGATCAGAGACTTGGACAGCGCTTCATAAAGAGCATCTCAAACAAACTACAGACCTTCATCAACAGCTGTCTTCGCTCAATACTCAAGATCAGATGGCCGGCCAGAAAAGATCAGCAACAGGGATCTCTAGCAATGAGCGAACCAACCCAGTAGGAACCGATTGTGCACCAAATAAGCAGGAAGAAATGGAGGTGGATTGACTGGCCATACTCTGAGGAAATCATCAAGTGACATCGCCAGACAAGCCCTCGAGTGAAACTTGAATGGGAAGTGGTGAGTTGGTCGTCAGTGCGAGGGTGGGGTGACTTGGAGGAGGTCATGAGAAGAGGAGATGAAAGCATGTGGGGAGACTTGAAGCCAGATGAAAACTTTAGCAGAGATTCGAACGCAATGGGGACGTTTGTCTGAAGCCCTATGTTCCTCTAGGAACTAAAGGAAGCACTAATAATAGTATTTTATAATTTTCTAGTATTGCTGCTGATATAAATCCTATGAAGGAGGAATCATTCGTCGAATTCTTCTTCCACTCATCTACATTATCTTTCAGGAATGTAGCCCTCTCCCACCTCATTGTGTGACTGTGTTCACCCGCTGACTTCTCCAAGTTAGTCGTCTTTTTGTGGACCTTATTATTCTACACTTAGCTACAATTAGCTCCTGTGTTCGGATAACCTGGCTGATCCTACGCTATTTAACTGATCTATGTAGTTGACTTCAAAGTCATGGAAGTGCATTTTCAAAGAGGTTATTATATTTCGTAGAGTTAGATGTATCCTGTAGCCTTTAGACTTTATCTTCGAAAGGCGTAAAATTTGCAGCGCCCAGTCCAGCGTTTGATTTTCGACTACAAGCTAGATTCGCAGATAGTACAAGAAAATTAAATTACGCCTACAATCATCAGTTTGTTTAACTAGGTCCAGGAAGGTCAACTGTTTGATTACAGTATAAATAATCGATGATCAATTGGAGTTACGAAAACATGCATATGCGGAGGAGACTTGACAAGACAAATACCCCTATGGGAAGATTGTGATTGTGAGGTAAATTAGAGGAAAGAATCAGAAATATAAATGGATAAAAGAACACCACAATCGATAGGTATCTTTCTGACAACTTTGTCATTTTTATTCGTCCTCAATTATGATTAACTTTTCGAAGTCAGTGGTAACGTCAGGATGGCTAGCTGTGACAGTTTAACATCTCCGGAAAAAAAATTGTGAAGACAAGAGGTCGATTGGTGAGCATCTTACTCCTAAGAATAAGAATTAAAATAAAAGTAAAAACGAAGCTTTTATAAACATCAAACCAGATTTTGTAATAAAGGTTTTTCTTGTATTTCCCAATGAATGAGTGAAAAACAAAACGATATTGTCGTTGTTTTTATTGACGTTTCGCTATTTAATGCTGCTGCTAACAGCTTTATCAAAGTATTATTAAACCGAGATTTACAACAGAGGTAACAGTGTAACGACAGAAGATAAGAGCTAGGCAACAGATCGTTTATTAAGGGAAATCAACACATATTTATAGATTTTCATGTACATATTAGAGATTATTGTTAGCAGAAAAACACAGACTTCTAATTGGTTGTTTCTCACTGAAAGTTAATCTTTCATTTCTTTGTGGCAGTTTCTTGAATAACCTATCATCTATATGCTAACTGTATCTGCCTACGCAAAGTCTGTTGTGTTTGGTTGTTGATTCCGTCTTTGTTCTTATTTTTCTCACGACCGATATTGGGGACGTAAACATTGACGTAAATTACTGTCTACCGATTTGGCTAGCAGCCAGCTCTCATCACAATAGTACATCTGCTATGGCATCATAACAAAGTTTACTAACTTGATCATCGTTTGTCAGTATGAGGTCATTTTTGCGCTTTCGAATTGGCCAATTAGTGAAGATAACAAAACCAAGTGTACACTGCTGGATTTGATAGGTGTGTAAAATTATAAAAGTAGTGTGTGTTTACATAGTGAACTTGCTAATCACCTTTGTGTTGATTTTGTCACTTCACGGGGGAGGAGAGGGAGGTGTTGTAACTAGGTCAGATTCTGTTTTAATCTGTCATTCCTATTCAGACAATTTGGATTCCACTTGACCGTGTGAAGTGCTTCTGATGATATTAAGTGTCCTTTGTGATTCCTAAAATTTTTCTGGATGATGAATTCAATATTGTCAAAATCAATTTTTTGGCGTGATTTTATAGCGTAGCGTGTAGACGACGAGCTATGGCTGATGATTTTTCAAGCTTTTCTAGTTCAACTGGATTTCTCGGTGGTCGCTGCTTTCATAATTTTACACACTTATCAAATTCAACAATCATCTACACCTGATTTTGTTGTCTTTACCAACTGACCGATTCGGTTATGAAAAATGCCCCCATATCGAGGGACGATGATTAAATTGTTATATATAAGCTGAGTGGATTTTGTAAATTCTGGTTTAATACTACTTCGATAAAGCTATTAGCAGCAATATTGAATAGCGAAACGTCAGTGAAAACAACGACAATATCGTTTTGTTTTTCACTCATTCATTGAGAAATACAAGAAAACCTTTATTATGTAATGAATATCATATACCCAATGCCCAAATGTTTTTTCAAACTGCTAAATGTGAACTTGGTTTGGACATATATAAATCAAACCAATTACTTTGTGCACACGTTAAAACCTCTTCTACGGTATAAAATCGGTGATGCGCAGAAAATATTCAATTTTTTCGTTGAGTTTCCTTAAGAGACAAAGTTTTCAGTTATCTAACCTCTTAAATTTCACATATGGATCCCCTGCACATACCAGCAGTGTAACCTCAGATTACCTACAAATGGATACGCATTAAACCAGTCAGTCAGTCGTGAAAGCTCTACTTTTAGATGAATCGAAAACTTCAGACAACACTGAAAAAAGAGGAAAGACTTTAGCTAACAGTTAACTCATACTTATACATTTTGAGAAATCCACAGATGCATACTTGATCATTCAAATATTGATTTGGTATGGATTTTGGTTGACTGATTGGTTGGAGGGTTTCCTCGTGAGCTGATATCATTTAGAGAACCATTGGAAAACCACCTGGAAGTACTGGACAGCCAGCTGTTTCGTTCTAGTGGTTGTGACTCTTCAGCATCACGTACCCACCACAGGAGGTTCGAACCAATGACCTTCTGGTTACAAGGCGAGCTCATAGACCATTCAGTAGCCACTGGGACCCAATACAATGACCAGTCAGTCCATGAATTCCAACTTCTACCAGTTCATGACATAGAGCAACCACTTCGAAATATCTTCTTCTATGAGTTACTGCTTCACTTTCAACCTGCTGCACCCTAGTGGTCACGGCTTCTCACCAGAAAACCAGATAACTACCTATCTGAACAGGGCCAGTGGCTAGTGAGCATCAGATCAATTTTCGAGTATTCGTTTTTGTAGGGATTTTGCTTGATTGATTGACTGATTGGAGGATTTCACCGTGAGCTGACATTGGTTAGAGAACCACTGGAAAACCAGCTGGGAGTACTGGACAGTTGTTTCGTCCTAGTCATACTTTGATCTGTCCAGTAACGAAAACATTACCTCAAAATCAACTGAACCATTCACTAAGCTAAATAATCATTATGAAAATAACTCAACTAATCAACCAGTCTACGGTATACCCCAAACATTAATCAACCTTATTCAACAGCTGTAAGACAACGGCACATGTCAAGTCATCCACAACGGAAAACTCAGCGAGGCGTTCGGAGTAAACACAGGAGTCAGACAAGAGTGGTTATTATCACCAGTGATATTCCTGATTGTGGTGGGGACTGAATTATGCGTCATACAGTGACCAACGAGAAGACAGGGATATCCTGGACTCACCGACGCGAAGAACCTAGAAGACCTGGATTTCGCGCGTGGATAATTTATATTTGATGTCACACAAAATCGAAGACTTATAAGCGAAAACCGACAAACTGGTCAAAGAAGCAGCCAGAGAAGACAGGATTCCAGGTGAACATAGACAAGACGGAGGTTATGAAGATAACCAACCAACAAAAACAACAACAGTAGCAACATCCATCGCCAATCATCATCAACGAGAGGGATTTGAAAGAGGTTACTTCATTCATTCGTTTATCTAGGGAGCATTGTCTCAGCTACACGCAGTCGGAACGGACGAGGATGTCAAATCGAGTGAGAATCGGGAAGGCGAGAAACACATTCATCAACCTGAAACAGCCAATCTGGAAATCTTCATCACTCAGCCAGCATCAACAACAAAATTCGGTAGGATTTTCAATACAAACAACGTCAATTCAGTCATTTCTTCTATACGGATCGGATTAGAAACTTGGCGGGCGGGTCACAAAGAATGTTTCCAAAAGGCTGGCCATTTCAGACCTTTATCAACAACTAACTGTCTCCGCTGACTCTATACTGAATGAAAATCAGATGGCCGGGCCGGAAAGAATCACTAACAAGAAACTATGCGAACAAACAAAACAAAACAAGAACCAATCGCCAACCAACAAATATGCAGGAGAAAGTGGGGATGGAATAGACACTCGCTGATGAGGAGGCATCGCACTGGGTGACATGGCGCGCGTCAAGCCATTGGTCGAGTGGATCCCGAAAGGGAAGCAGGTGGCGAGTGGGACGTCCAAGGGTGGGTGACATGGAGGAGATCGTGTGAAGAGAAGTTGAAACAGTATGAACTAACATGGATGGAGGTGAAAAGTACAGCAGAGGGAAGACAAAAGCAAGTGGAGACGTACAGTTGAATCCCTATGCTCCACTAGGGAACCCAAGGGAACAATAATAATAATTAACCAGTCTTAATCAACTTCACTTTGCACAAAACTCTGTTGACGAAGAAAACCTCTGAAAAAGACAAAAAAATTTTAAATAAAATCTGCATATCTTTTTATGGAATGAAAGTATAAGGAAAAAAGTTTGATTGAAAGATACTCACATCCACAGAAGCACATTTTAGAAATACATATGTACGCATAATCTATTAAAACTCTGAAGAAAACAATATAAATAAGAATCATAAAAGTTATAATTATACATACACTAGAATTGCCTGATTGTATTCCAGCATTGTATTGATTTTTTAATTTAAAACTATCATCCAATGTCGCCTGTTGATTTGGATCAGCTTTACCATCACGAAGTAGAATCTCAGTTAGGTGTACACCCATTTCGTCGGGTACAAGTACTGCATAGTGTAAAACAGTTAAACCATCTAAACTTGGCGTTAATGGGGCTTCATCTTCATCAATACAAATCCCCTGTGAAATTGGACTGTCTGATTTAAGAGGATTCTAGAAAATGGGAAAGCAAGCAAACCAACACAGGGAATTATTACTAGGCGAAAACCTCACTTATTTGAAAGATTTATTACTATTATGAACTGACAACTTCCATTTCACGTTTGAAGGTGAACATTTTCGATAAGTGGATGGAGTTGTTAAGAAGGAGTCCATTAAAACCTTTATTAGCGGACGTTTACATGTCTTATGTTGAGAACTTGTGTCTTCATTTAATTTCTAAACTGACCTTCTATAGGAGATATGTGTAGGTGATATCATTTTGATATGTGATAATCATGAAGATGCGAGTAGTCTATTAGACAGTCTTATCTCTGTACAGAATCATATTAGTCTTGCATGCTAGGAAGAAAGTCGCAACTAGCTTGTATTTTTAGACATACTTCTGAGTCGAAGAGATGATGGTTCAGTAAGATGATGAATCTACAGAAAGCCCACTTGGACAGCGCGATACCTTAGTTTTGACAGTTTATGTCTATTAAAGTATAAGAGAGGCTTGGTAAAATTTCTTTTTAAGAGGATTCAACGTATTTGCACAGCTGATGTTAAAGACAAAGAAAGTGGAATATTGACGAATACTCTTGTTGAAAACGTATATCGTTTAAAATTTTTAAAGAGGTGTAGAAGTCAATTGGTCTTCAAAACTCACAATCTATACAGCCCCTAAGAAAAATGTCTTCATCAAATTACCATACAATACGGAAATCAACAGTAGGATTTTGAGACAAAGGCTGAATTCGATCATCCGTATAACCTAATACGCAGTCCGGTTTGTAATTATCGAAAAAGCCAAAAATATGCTCCACTGCAAACCTCAAAAGTGCACAAGTGATTATGTCACATCCCACATTATTTACCAATTCTCGTGTGTATGTATGTGTGGACACACATATATAGGGAGGAGTAATCGTGTTTTGCATGTGAGGGTGGGAGAGCGAACATATCCCGAAATGGTTAGAAAAACAAGTGAATTGTGAAAAACCAATAGATGCAGGTGCCGACTTCGTCTATACCCAAATATCTAATCGATATGAACCATAAGACCGATGTCAACTCAGCCTTTAAGGTCATTTATAAAAATGGTTTAGGGCGCTTTCTGAAATACGCCGAGGCTATAGCTATTCATAAACTTGAGCTCACCCTCCCCCCTTTGTTTTCAAAAACGTTTGTTATTAGTCTTAATCTACCTTGGTAATCCTTGCGTTGACTGGATTGCCAAACGTTGTGTTAATCATTCTTAAATCCTTTTTTTTCTCACTTTGTTTAATTTAATTGCCCTTAATTTTTCTCATATATATCGACTTGATGAGTGAATGTGTGAGGGATCAGATTATTTGAAATGTATAGCGCAAATACATCACATTCTTTTTCAGATAATCTCCGTCTTCTAATAAGACTATCCAAATTTATAAATGGGAACTAACTGTTTTTAAACTGTTTTAAACTAACTGTTTTAACTGCAATCAAGATGCTTAAAGCTGGGAAAACACAAGGACCAGATGGAATCCCAGCAGAAGCTTTGAAAGTAGACCCAGAGACAACAGCGGACTTGATGACACCACTGCTGGAGAAGGTGTGGAAAGAGGGCAAAGTACCCGAGGATTGGAAGAACGGATACTTATTCAAACTTCCAAAGAAAGGAGACTTAAGTCAATGTAAAAACTGGCGTGGAATTATGCTTCTGTCCATTCCAAGCAAGATACTAAGTCGCATCATCCTGGAGAGAATCAAACAAGCCCTAGATGAAAAACTTCGTCCGGAACAGGCTGGATTCAGGAGAAACAAATCATGTATTGATCAAATCGCCACTCTACGGATCATCATTGAACAAAGCTTGGAATGGCAGTCACCTCTCTATCTCAACTTCATCGACTTTGAAAAGGCCTTCGACAGCGTCGATCGAGAGGTCATTTGGAAACTACTTCGCTACTACGGGGTCCCATCAACAATTATACACCTCATCCAACAGTTATACGACAATGCTGCATGCCAAGTAATCCACAACGGGAAACTTACGGAGGCCTTCGAAGTGAGGACGGGAGTGAGGCAAGGCTGTCTACTATCACCAATGATCTTCCTGATTGCAATCGATTGGATAATGCGACAGACAACGGCAACCAACGAGGGAACAGGCATAAAATGGACTGACACAAAAGACTTGGAGGATCTGGATTTCGCCGATGATATATGTCTGATTTCCCATAAACTGGAAGATATGCAAGTGAAAAGTAACAAGTTGGCAGAAGAAGCATCAAAGATAGGACTTCACGTGAACATAGATAAAACAGAGATGATGAAGATTCCTAGCCAACATCAACAGCAACAACAACAGACAACAATCAGCATAAGTGGGAAGAACCTGAAAGAAAAAACCTCCTTTACCTACCTGGGAAGCATCGTCTCAACTACAGGCGGAACTGACGAGGACATCAAAGCCAGAATCGGAAAAGCAAGACAAGCTTTCATTACTCTCAAATCTGTGTGGAGGTCAACAGCACTCAGCATCAAAAATAAGATCCGGATTTTCAACTCCAATGTAAAGTCAATGCTACTATATGGATCAGAGACTTGGCGAGTCATAAAGAGCATCTCAAACAAACTTCAGACCTTCATTAACAACTGTCTCCGCTCAATACTCAAGATCAGATGGCCAGAAAAGATCAGCAACAGGGATCTCTGGGAGCGAACCAATCAGGAACCGATTGTGAAACAAATAGGCAGAAAGAAATGGAGATGGATTGGCCATACGCTGAGGAAACCATCAAGTGACATCACTAGACAAGCCCTCGAGTGGAACCCGAAAGGGAGGCGGCGAGTTGGTCGTCCAAGTGTGACTTGGAGGAGGTCATGCGAGGAGGAGATGAAAGCATGTGGACATACCTGGAGCAGGGTGAAAAAGTTGTCAGAAAACCGAAGTCAATGGAGGTGCGCAGCTGAAGCCCTATGTTCCTCTAGGAACTAAAGGATACAATAAATAATAATAACTGTTTTTAAATAAATCTCACATTCTTTATATTGTCAATTGCATCTGCTGCATATAAAATTATGTCATGATGACAAAAATAGGTTAATATAATGGGATGGAATGATTAGAAAGAGTGAATACTATGTGTTGTCACAAACCATCTCAGCTTATGAATTCCTAAAGATTACAACTGAAGAATAAACGATAAATTCGAGCAACCATCACAGCTTATTTTACGAACAGATTTTCCCAGTGCTTCACTTATCACAATCCCAGTTTACTTGGCAGTTGTATAATAACAGGGTTTATGATTTTAGAAACGCATATCATTGAAAATAACGTCAATATTTATCGAGAACATGACAGGTTGGTCTGATGCAATATGTTAGATATAACTCGTACAGATCACTGCATAGGTGCTTCATTCTCGGGATCTCCTAACATAGACATCATAAAATAATGACGATAATAATAATAATAGTAAAATAAAATAAATCCATCCCCTGTATTAACTTTGCTTACATCCACACGCAGGCATATATTCGTGTCAGCTCCGTGTTGTATCAATTTACGAACCATATCAGGATCACCAGCTTGTACAGCTAGAAATAAGGCTGGTAATGGTCGAATTCCAGTATTTGGATTTGCACCACGTTTCAACAATAAATCTATAATATCCATCATTTGTTTCTGTCTAAAATGAAGATTTAATTAAATGACAAGATTTATTGGAATACTGAAAAATTCATATCGAATATGCACATTACAAAAAACATATTTGTGATATTTTGTATGTGATAGTGTGGTGAGAGCAGGCCGTGAGAAAATATAAGCAAGGCTGATTCAACAACCAATCACAGTAAAGTTAACGTGGCAAAATATGATTCGCAGATAGAGAACTCTATTTGTCGAGGAATCCCGAAACAACCAATCAGAAGCCTGCGTTTGTCTGCCTAACTTCTGATAAACAACCAATCAGATGACTGCGCTTGTCTATAATAATGTATGTGAAATATGTATAAATACGTGTTGATTTTCATAATAAAACGATCTGTTGCCTGGCCCTTGTCTTCTGTTGTTACAATAGAACATTTAAGTTATTAGAATATTCCCGCTGATTTAAACACAATTCTGATAATCCTTCTCTCTCAAGTGATATTTCATGATATGCACACTCATGATACCAGATAATGATCGCAATATATCAATAAAGTTTAACTCACGCTATGCCGTGAAATGGCAGAACTCAGAATTCATGGGTTGGCTTGCCATTGGATCGGGTCCCAGTGGCTACTGATTGGCCTACGAGCTCCCTAGCCTTGTAACCAGAAGGTCCTGGGTTCTAACCTCCTCCTTCCTGTGGTGGGTGCGTACAGTTGAACAGTGCCAAAATAGGCTGACAAAACACCTGTCCAGTACTCCTCAGTGGTTTTTCACTGGTTCTCTAACTGATGTCAGCGTCGGTGGCACAGCGGTTAGGACCATGCACATGGTCCATGGTTCGATCCACAGCCGATCCACATCTGATATCAATGGTCGGCCTACTAAATTTAGGCTACCGATATCATATGCTGAAAATTCCATAGTTGTAGCAAACATCCGGTGTAGAATCAAGCTATAATCGAAAATGAAAAATAAATTACTTCAATCAAAGAATAAGAATTATTTGTGGTTGTTCTATCCGTCATCAAAATATTTCCAAAAATTTAATGAATAATCAAACTGTAACTATGATGAGCGGGGGCTGAAAATTAGTATGAGGGTAGTACTGATAAGCTGTCGAAATAACATAGTTGTTAATGTTGAATAAGTGTATTGTAATTACGTAATAAGATGAATAATTTAATGAGTGAACTTTGATTCAAATATGTGCACAGAAACGAAGAAAAGTGTGGAATTATGTAAGAGTTTTAAAGGAACACAAGAGTTATAATGAAGTCAGCAGAAATCAATACAGTTGTTGTCATGGTAGCAGAAGTGGTTGAGTGACTTTCTTTTGTATGCATAACTCCGAATTTTTTTTCAACTGAATAACTAAGGCTTAAAAAGTACAAAAAGGAGACGAAAGTGTATGATGTCTTGGGTAGATTATTCTTGACTCTGTAGATTACTTCGAAGGAGGAGGCGTTTGTTGAGATAGAATGGTTAGTGTTGACAAGGTGTTCGATGATCGCACTCCTTATAGAGCTACTTGTGTAACGGCAGGAGACAAGGGCCAGGAAACAGAGAGTTTTTTGAGGAAATTAACAGATATTTATAGATTTTTATGTACACTATTATCAGCGTTATAGTTAATAGAGAAAAAGAATCTTCTCATTGTTTGTTTTCTCTCTGGAAGTTATTCTGTCATCTCTTTTGGCCGTTTCTGTGAAGGTCAGACCATATATCTGCGAATCGTATCCACCCACGCAAGGTCTGATGTGATTCGTTGTTGAATTAGAGTCTTCGTATCCATGATCATAAGCTAGCCATCAAAAGACATGACATCCACTCCCTCATATCGCCTCACTGCATACAGATAACCACGGAAATCAATTCGACTGGGACAACCGACGTTCAAATATTAGACAGAGGAAACCGTGAGAATGCTAGAGAATTTTTAGAGGCCCTCCTGGTATTCCAGCGAATCACCAATCAATAGACACACAGACATAGACAAAATCTATCAACCGATAAGAAAGAAACCACACACACAAAGGGTCAAAGTTCAAGTCAAAGAAACAATCAGTTCCAATACAAGTAGCCTAGAAGGTGTGAAAACACACAAAAACAACCAATCACGTTCAAGATCACCAGGAGATATGATTAATAAACTCATGGAGAAATCTAAAAGCTCACTTCAAGAAATTGAAGTATGCGATGAAGATGTCGTCTAGTAAAGCGATGAAAGCTTCGCAAACTAACAATCGAGCTCAGAGAACACAACCACATCAAAATAGAGTCTTTGTTCTTGTTCTTTTCTGATGACTAAGGCATGGGATGTAAACATTGATATAAATCGCTGTCTACCAGTTTTGGCTAGCAGACAGCTCTCACCACACTATCACTACTGTACTGTGTATAAGCGCATTTTTCAGCATAAGACTATTATTACTATTATCTTATTCTCGCTAAGCCATATAACTCAAACTTAACTTCAGTGTACAATCATACTTGTACATCAGTAAGGATAAGTAGAATGGAATAAAACAGATGTCCGTTTCTTCTTGTTTTTATCACAGATACTGAACTATACTAAAGCTGCAGAAATTAACCAAGACCATGCAGATGAAATTCGTATCTCCAATAAAGCACTAGATTCACATATACCTTGTTATCAGAATCTGGGCTGATGAAGAACAGGTACACCTGCTGACTGTTTTTCATCATTTCTCCACCAACAACACATCAGTTACTTCAATGGCTAAAGCATTAGATAAATGCGCTTGCTCTGCAGTCATTCATATGTACACATTGTTGAACTAAAGATTACTCAGGATTATCTAAGTGAATATGTCTTTCAAATAACTACAAAGTGATGCATTATGAACTCACTTGACTAAAAGTATAGCCTGTTGATCCAGTGAACTTTCTCTGATAGTCTGTTCTCCATCTGTTTGTTCATCACTTGATAATTTCTTTATTTCTTCTCCTCTGCCATTTCCTACTTCTTCTAACTTATTCGCAGCACTATCATCAATATTTGAATCAATACAAATTGTATGCGAAGCTAAAAAGTAGGGATTTTTTGATAATTCGTAGGCTGCTGTCTTTCTTAACACTGGAGATGTTATTCTATAGTTTTTATTGATTAAAACATCTTTAGAAGCTACGTCGATCAATGTCTAAGTGTAAATACATGGGGGAAAATTTAGAATTTTGAAATTCTAAGAAAGATTTAATGTTATTATCATTTTAATGATCAAGAAATAAATACAGAAAAACTGACACAAACGCCTGACAACCAGTATTATTGTAACAACAGAAGACAACGGTCAGTCAATAGATCGTTTATTGAGGAAATCAACAGCTATTTATAGATTTTTATGTGCATTATTATTGGTTATTGTTGGCAGAGAAACAGTCTTCTGATTGGTTGTTTTCTCTCTCTATCTGAAAGTCAATCTGTCATCTCTTGTGGCCATTTCCTTGAAGGTCAGACCATATATCTGCGATTCGTATCCGCCCACGCAAAGTCTAATGTGATTAGTTGTTGAGTTACGTGAATTGCTGTCTCTACCAAGTTTGGCTAGCAGACAGGTCTCACCACAAGTTTACTATTATTCTCATCATTCTTATTTTATTATCACCCTACTATTGTTTATTAATAACACTGCATTTACATACAGATTTTATAAACACACTTTATTAACTTCCCATTAGTCTTTGTCCACTGTACACAACTGTATTGATCAGTCGCTTTCTCATACTTATTACATCATGCCGACTTCTATCCTTTTTCTAATTTCCAATTAGTTACCTCCTCTAAACTACACCTTACATTACGTCTTACCTTCTCGAGGACAAATTTTGCCAATTTCTGATTGGTCGTCTAATGAATTCTTTGTTAAGTATAAATACAGTAGGGATACTACCCCTAACTTGGGTCCAAAATGGTCGAAAAATTAAAAATTTCAAAAACGCTTCCAAATGATAGAGGAATGCGTGATATGATATGATATGCATGATATGATTATGAACAATAAATTGTGTTCGAAACGTCATCCAGTATACAATACTGTTTCACTGTGTGATACATTTAATAATCAAACTAATATGGAATTACGTAATACCACAGTGCCCAAGTTTTACACATATATTAGAATGCGTGAAACGTGTCTCGGTATCTGTGACCATTGGGTTTTGAGCTAGTCTACGCCTAATAGCACCCAGCTTGGCTGTCTAGTTTATGACCCGAAAATCCTACGGTAAACACAGCACAAGCTATATAGACTATATGAGTGAGCGTGAGTCAAATGGTTCTCATGGCTCGCTTATATGACTGTTTATGGTTTTCTATAGTCTTGGTAGACGTAAAGAAGCTATTTGCATGCTAAATCGGCTGGCAGGGATAACGATTTCATTGAATTTGGTAGCTGTTGGCTTCGTTTATAGGGGCTTGTTGTCACTATAGCGTTGCTATGCGTGCTACTTTTGCATATAATAATACGTTCGGCTAGTGTTGTATGCAAGATGAGTTCTATTGAGCTTGTCTATGCAGTGCATAATTGATTGACGCAATCAATGATCGGCGTAACAGAGCTTACCTATGCGTTATGCGTCGATAGCATAGTGGTTGAGACGCTCGCAGACCATGCACATGGTCCGGGCTTCGATCCCCAGCCACAGACACACTTCTTTACCTCGCTAAACGAGAAATAATTCTGGTAAAGAGGAAAGGTCGGAAATGAGACTAGCAACCCCATCCTGTAAAAATAAACACTGCTACAGAAACTTCAAGCCACTAGCTTGAAACCCTGTGTTCCACTGGGGGATGTGAAGGAAAACAAAATAAATACAGTTGTACAGCTTATGTGAAAATGAATTGTTGAAAAGAAAAAAATTTCTTCGATGTTAACGTCTTTTCCATATTTCACTTAATTGTACACTCATGTAATTCAATGATCTCTGACAGATTAAAACGCGACTAGTCCTCATTTTTGTGCTATGAGTGTATTCATAGTGAGACCGTATCTAACTGCTACATTCCAATTTATTCTTCGTATTTTTACACAAAAACCTGATCAACTTTGTTAAATGATATACTTCGAATACGAATAAGGATGAAATACAAAATATGAAACAATAAATTAATTCTGAAGAATACGTTACCTGTTTAGTTCTACGATCTAGTGACATAGTCTGTGGTCTACTCTTACGATCAGAGGTATATCTGCAAAATACATAAAATAGATGCATAAAGGTAACCATGGAAATGATTGTCTCTTTTGCTTAATATACAGAGGAACACATGTATATATGCATCAGCCCGCTAACTTACCAAATAACCAGTCACAAATTATAGCACCAAAACTAACTATTTCACTTCAGAAATACATTTGTACTGATATGTAGCATGTTATTCAAACGTCAACTCACTGACAGTAACGCTGAGATAACAACTAAAATCTGGAGCTACGTGAACTCATTTTGTCATGGGTAGGTAGCGGTTTAAATAGGAAATAAACAACCACTATATTACATCACTGAACAAGAAACTGTGATTTTGGCTGTTCATTTTTATTTTAACTGTGACTTGTTTACTTCATCAATAGTAATTTATGATATAATCAGAAACAAGATATGAAGTCGATAATAAGGTTACTTCTGTTTCTGCAGAAGTTTCTCTAATCTCAGTATTGTCTAACTGATGTCAGCTCATGATGAAGTCCTCCAACCAATCAAACGAAATCCCTACCAAGCCAATACTTGAAAATTCATCTGATGATCACTAGCCACCGGCCCTGGGATTCTGGTGGGAAGCCATGACCAGTAGGGTGCAGCAGGTTGAGGGGTGAGGCAGTAATTCATTGAAGGAGACATTAAGAAGTGGTCGCCCTATGCCGTGAATTGGCAGAGGTGAGAATGCATGAGGTGGCTAGCCATTGGATAGGGTTCCAGTGGCTACTGAATGGTCTACAAGTTCGCTAACCTTGTAATCAGAAGGTCGTGGGTTCAAACCTCCTGTGGTGGGTGCGTATTGATGAAGAGTCGAAAACTAGCCTGTTAAAACAGTTGGCTATCCAGTATTCCATGCGGACTTCATAACATCAGCTGGACGACATATATGAAAAAGACTGATTAAGAATACCAGCATCAACTGAACTATGGTTGTTTTATCAACCTGAATAAAGTTCGTGAAATGACATTACCGTGGGTTGTTCAAGAAGGATTTTTATTGTTGATTTTTTCAAAGTTACCAAGGGAACCGTGTGTATCTGTCATATCCTCAGTCTTTCATCTGAAGGAATTTCAGTGTAGATTTAGTCAAAAACCGACAGTACTCATGGAACTGTCAACAAACAATACAGCTTCCCACTTTGTTTCTTAATAATCCTCTAACTAGTCTTGGTCTGTGATTTTTTTCCTTTCCTTTACGTTCCCAGTAGAACATAGAGGGAGGGCTTCAAGCTAGAACCAGCTTGAAGTTTCTGTAGCAGTGGTGTTTTATTTTTACAGGATGGGAGGTTGCTAGCCTCATGCTCAACCTTCCCTCTTTTTACCAGTCTTATTACTGGATTAGTGAGGTAAAAGAGGTCGTCTGTGGCCGGAGATCGAATCTGGGACCACATTGGGCGTGATTGGCGATCACTCTAATGCTGTACCACCAACACGGCTGATGCGGATGCTTATTTGATTATTTTGTGTTTAATATAGTAAAAGTCAGCTGCAGAAATCCGTAGATGATATAAGTAAGACATTATATTGAAATCATGACACCAAATCCTCCACCCCACTGTTGAAGCGTCAGTGAGGTGTACCTGCATCTCAGCAAGTGATGATGCTCTCATTGCGACTAACACCCAGAACTCATCCCTTAAAGAGCTTAATAGTTACTCTTTCGGCCTACAGAGTTATCACAGTCACCTCTACTGAGGTGAATACAGAATGTTTTTAGGTGAATTGTTTTTTGTAATTCCAGATTAGTCTAAGTCATCAGAACCAGGTGGTTTTGAAACATCTCAAACCAAAATATGTACAAAGTAGTGATTAGAAGATGTCAAAGCCAGGCAGAATTGGAAAGGCAAGATACACCTTCAGCACCCTAGAATCAGTTTGAAAGTCTTCTACACTCATTGATTAGGCGGACTGCTTGAATCACTGGGCTACCAAAATTGTTTTCTGTTATGTACTGGTCGAGAATTTAATAGTCCTGACGGAAATCAGAAGACCACTAGGTTTTCTATGATACTTCTATTTTCCAAACACAAGGAGAATCAATGTCACACAAGTGTGTGAGAGCAAAAATATAAGAATATCCGGACAAGTGTGTGAAACAAATGTGTGAGCGAATATTCAAAATGAACAAATCAATAGACAGTCTTAACATGATTGATCCATGTATACATAGCAAAATATAACCGACTGTCAAACAAACACACATTATATGGATATATATCATTTTCTACCAAAATGCTTGATTTCATCATCTGGATTTATCATCATTGTTTTAATCTTCCAGTTATATCAAATGACTTGGTCATGAATTTAAGCGCTGATTTAATTTGCTTTCAACTTAACCCCGTGCAATTAATTCTTCGATGAAATGAAGATATACTTCAGATTATTACTTTACATGTAAATGCTTTGTGAAGAAAAAAGTACTGATTTTGATATTGAGAAAGTATAATATTGATAGATTATAGCTCAATAGCACAACATAACAATAAACTGAATGTCAGAAAATTGGAAAAGATTACATTACAAATTCATGAATTTATAGTTTCTACTCCAATGTGAAGTCAGTGCTACTATACGGATCAGAGACTTGGCGAGTCATAAAGAGCATCTCAAACAAACTTCAAACCTTCATTAACAACTGTCTCCGCTCAATACTCAAGATCAGATAGCCAGAAAAGATCAGCAACAGGGATCTCTGGGAGCGAACCAATCAGGAACCGATTGTGAAACAAATAGGCAGAAAGAAATGGAAATGGATTGGCCATACGCTGAGGAAACCATCAAGTGACATCACTAGACAAGCCCTCGAGTGGAACCCGAAAGGGAGGCGGCGAGTTGGTCGTCCAAGGGTGACTTGGAGGAGGTCATGCGAGGAGGAGATGAAAGCATGTGGACAGACCTGGAGCAGGGTGAAAAAGTTGTCAGAAAACCGAAGTCAATGGAGGTGCGCAGCTGAAGCCCTATGTTCCTCTAGGAACTAAAGGATACAATAATAATAATAATAACTGAAGGCCGACCAGAGCAGTAGTAATGACTGGCTGAACTTGCTTCTTCTGCACACAAGGCACTGGTTGTTTGAGGCGAATTGCGATAGTCTGTGCTGTTTGGAGCATGAGGTGCTTCGATCGTTTTGGCAATTTATTTGGCACCCGATAGATGACAGAGAAGGATTCGTCAATGCTGGCTGGCTTTGTGGTCAGTTTGCACCAGATGGTCTAATATCGAACTGTTGATGGTTTTCACTGCCCCTTTTCTTAGCCATACTGGGAGGTGTTCTCGACCACGAAAAATCAAGTTCCTAGAACAATGACGATATAACTTGCTCCACAAGTGCAGTTGAATTGTCAGGTACAATTGGAATTGGCTAGTTTAGGTACTTCATGTTTCATTTAGGAGAATCACCATTGGTCGTGTAGAAAACGTGACTTGTAGTTTACCAGTATTAAAAGTTCTCTGAACCGATTTTCTTAATTTCATCGTAATTATTTCACTTGATATATCGGATTTGAATTGCAGTCGTATATAAAGAGGCTTCCTGTTTACGGATAGTGAGTTGTCCTTTTCCACTTTCTTTGTCATGTGTTTCTTGATAAATTTGTCGGGATAGCTATTTACGATCGAAGTATCATATACAATGCTAAATTCATCTTCAATTACTTCTTCTGAGCATATAGCTGTAACTCTGTGGCTGAGGGTGTTTACTAAATTTCTCTTGTACTTGAGAGGAACGAAGCTATGAAAATGTGCATATTGTCCTGTCCATGTACTTTTTCTATGCAAATTTCTTTTTATGCTATCATATGGTTTTATTATTATTATTATACAACATTCGGATAATCAACACCTGTGTCAAGTCAGTTTGTCTATATGTGTCAGAAACTAGCACTATAAGTCACAAAAAGTATTTCCAACTGCCTACGGGAGAATTTTATCAACAGTTGCCCACTTCGCAGACTCTCTGTTGAAGATCAAATGGCCAGCCAACCAGAAAGAATTAGCGGCAAGAAACTCTGCTGTGGAACAAACCAAACAAGAACCTATTATTCCACAAATATGTAGGAGGAAATGGAAATGGACTGGACACACACACACACACACACACTGAGGGGACAGTCGAATGGCATCGCGCGCTAGGCCATCTCTTGAGTGGAACCCAAACCGGAAACGGCGAGTGGGTCGTCAGCATAAGGTTGACATGGAGGAGATCGTGTGAGGAAGAGATGAGAGAGTTTGATCAGTCGTGGACCCAGATGAAGAGGACAGAAGAAAATAAAACAAAGTGGAAATGTGTTGTTGAAGTCCTATGCTCCACTCGGAACCCAAAGGAACAGTAATACTAATACTGATTAAAAATCAAATTTTTGGAAGTTGTGACCAGTAGGGTGCAGCAGGTTGGGGTGTTGGGGACAAATACTCACCGAAGACAATAGCTAGTGGTAGCGGTATATCATGAATTGGCAGAGGTTAGAATTCATGAACTGGCTGGCCATTGGATCGGGTCCCAGTGGCTACTGGATGGTCTACGAGCTCGCTAGCCTTGTAACCAGAAGGTCCTGGGTTCGAACCCCGATGGGCACGTACTGCTGAAGAGTCCTAAACCAGGACGACACAGTTGTTGAGTACTCCCACCTGGTTTTCCAATGGTTCTCTAACCAATGTCAGCTCATGATAAAATCCTGTAACTAAAAATAAAATCATGAGGGTTTTAATAAACGTTGAACAGACTACTGATGGATATACCAGATATTTTTAGGATTCTTTAATTGAACATTCAAAACGAAATTCAAATATATATCTTACGTGTTAATTTTTGACAAATGCGAATAATTCATCGCTTTCAAATCTAATTGTGTAGCTGATTTCAACCTGTTATCCATATCAGTATGAAAACGAGTTAAACAATTTGTAAAACGTTGAAAACTTGGCAGTGTTGTTTGACTTAAACTGATCGAATCATTTTTAATTTGCACGGGTGGATCTACATTTGATGTAATTTGTATAGACTCTCTTGTTTCACTCGACTTTATCATTAAAGAACGACCTATGGTAGGAGAGAAACAGTAAAGTGAAAAGTCAATGAGACGAAAGCAAAACTATGAAAGCTTACGATGAGAACTGCTCTCTCTCCCTCGTTTGTTAGTCAAAACTAAAGTATATCAAGAAAGAGGTTTTAGCGGATAGATCAATATGATTTGTTCTAGGTATGGCTCACTGGTTAGTGGATATATCTGTACATTATCGCTATACACTATTATGTAACGTAATTCCATACCAGATGTTAAGAGGTGTTAGGCTAAAGAAGCCTTAATTCCCTAGTCCAGTGGTCAAAGGATTCAGTCATATATGTGATCATCTGTTAGAGTCTGGTCATTCAGCCCCACGTGATTCATCCATCAAGGTTATCTACACGCCAAAATCGAATCTCTTCGAAACTTTACGTTTTCTGATGCATAGCCAAAGTTTTAGCTATACATGAACAGAAACTTAAATTATGTGTTCAAAAACGTTTTGTCAAACCCCTTTCTTTACCTTGGTCATAGTAATATTCTTTCTAGTTTTTATTTTATTTTACCACTTGAATTCATTCCACTTCACTTCACATCTTCATTCTTATCGTAATCGTACTCCTAATTTTTAAAATTTTTAGACAACACTTGACATTTTTGATATCAATTCACTTATAAAACAATCTTTAATAATTCTGTAATTTCTCCGCTTCAACTCTACACCTTATAACATTTTAATTATCATTATTCTTATCACTTATATATGTATATTGACTGAGCAATTATTTAGTGCCACTGAATAACCTTTTTCTGTAATATAAATACGACTGTACAGCTTGAAAATGAAGTCGTTGAAAAGAAATTTCTTCGCTGAACGAAACAAAAACTGTGTTTTTACTTATGAATAAAAGGGTATTTTTCGTGATATGCTTAATGGCTTAGTGTTATAGTGACCAACTTCAAAATGGAGTAATCAGCATTTGAATTTCCGAAGGGGCACAACTTTCTCCAAAGCTGTACTTACACCTTGATAATGAATGTCAACGTTAATGGGGTGCAGGCTCTTGACTTCCTGCCAATTGGTGCTTCTTTACGCTTAATATCAAATAAACAGCACACTATAATGTAAAGGAGTGTTTTAGCACTCATCTTAACGACTACATCGCATGCACGATGCAAGCATTTTAATAAAAATACTTGGATCTACTGTCTGTCTGTCTGTTTTCGAAATAAAACTTTGCACCGGTGTGCATCAGTTCAAGTCGCCACACTCCCTCCTTGTACCACACAAAGCAACAGAAGAAAATAAAAAAGAAATGCATAAGACAGACAGTAAACAGAGTTTGAGACAAAGGAATAGTAATAACGAAGAACAATATAGTTTCATCCGAAGTCATAAGGAGTGGATGCATCTGCGCCAGCCATTGAGAACGATTTTGAGCCATATCACCAATTGTTTCCAACCATTGGTTTTTACCATCTCGAAGACCCTAACCAGGAAGTCTACACCTTCCTAAGTGGCCGGTTTAAACCAACTGTTGTGGATTTCATTTACCGACTAGGCCATGTTTTGGTTTGACCGCCGCTGGCTCATTTTCAGCCTGACCCTATGTCAGCTGACATTGCCTGTCGGTCGAGGAAGGCGATAGCTAGACATGCATAAATAACACATGTCGTAACCATCTCATTCGATGTTATTTCACAGCCCCATCGAATCATTTCCCCTTCCTTACCTAGTACTCGAAGCGTAACCTCAATATTGCTCACCTTATTATACCACCTCACACGGGAGATAGAACGCAGCCACCCCTAATCAAAGACAGCTAATCTTCTCATGTCTTTTACTCTCAATGGCTAGGTCTCACAGCCAGCCATAAAGGAGGACGGAGCGGACTGGTGGGCAGTACACTCACCCTTTGATCGATAGCCAGCCGGATATCGCGTCTACGCCAGAAACGGCGTAAACTGCCATGTGCAAAACTAGCCCTCTGTATCCGTGCTGAGATTTCCTCAGAGATCAACCCGTTGACGTTGGCTGATGGTACTTCCCAAATAAGTGGAGCGGTCAACGTGCTCTACCACCACACTTCCTATTTCTAAACTAGGAGTCGCCGTAGTCCATGAGTTCAAGCCATCCTTCTAAAAAATGATAGACACTAAATTTAGTATTATAATCATCATAATTATACTGAAATACAAAAGACTCACGTGATAATCGTATTTTAGCTAAATGCATTCTACGTATCTGTGATAATCTTGCCGCTCGGCGTAATGATATCATGCTTTCTGAAGAAGTTGTTGATAACAGTATAGGCAATTCAACACGATAAACATAATTACGACCAATAGGAGAGGATTTCACATTTTCCACTTCTGTCCCACTATTCGTTTGTTTTTGCTTCTGTATTTTCAACTTCTTCGCCTTGCCGTCATCATCATCATCATCGTCATGGTGATCTGCACCACCAACGTCATTGACATCACCATTAGCCTTACTGTCACTGGCATGCCTTTCATTATCATCTTGTAATGTCTTTGTAATGATGAATAAAATATGCTCTCGTCTGTTCTCTGATTGACTGGCATTTTGACTCGACTGTTCACTTTGTGTCTCTTTATTATTAGTAGTAGTAGTTTTATCCAATTGTATAATCTCTTCGAATAACTCATAATATTTCAATAAGCATATTGTAAAGACAGTTAAACCATCATCAGTTAACTGATTGATATTTGCACCAAAGTCTAACAATAAATTGACCAAATTCATATTCCATGTCAACTGTACACGTATGAGAAGAGAGAGAATAAGGGACAAAACAGGATATGAGGTTATTACAAGAAAACAAAAGAAACACACAAGGCAAAGTAATACAACTGTCACAGTGGGGAGTGCGGGGGAGAACTGTAACCTCACACCTATCGGTAAGAATTCAGTGAAGAGACTCTTTTCAAATTTATTAAATAAGAGTTACGTAATGACATGAATAGTTTGATGATATGTTGACGACATCTTTATCATCTGTGATGACGGTCACGATCTCAATCAACTACTGCAAATATTCAACAAATGCCATCCAGCCACAAAGTTCACTCTAGAAACTGAAAATGAATCTAAAATCCCTTTTCTTGATGTTGAGCTTACAAGGAGAGATGACGGAATTTTAAGAAGGTCAATCCATAGGAAACCGACTTGGAACGGACAATTAACAAGTTTCTACAGCTGGGTACCAATCAGTCGGAAAAGAAACCTAATTAAATCCCTTACCACTCGCGTCAGACGCATCTGCAGCTCCGACACCATGGAAGAAGAACTAAACTTCCTGAGGGAAATCTTCATACAAAATGGCTACCCACCAAGATTCGTAGACAAAAACATCAAACAGAAAAACCAAAAGCAAGAGACATCATCCGTGCCAAAAAGATACTTTATATGGACCTCAACTTCAAAGGAGACCTACTCAGTGACGTCCTTAGAAGGAGAATTTCCACCTCTTTAGGAGGAACATTCCCTGCGGTAACACTAAGAATAGTGTTCTCCAGTCGCCCGCTGATCTGCAGAAACCCAAAGGACAAGATTCCGCACATGACCACTTCTATGTGTATATATCAGTTCACCTGTTGCTCTGGAGCCAGGTACATCGGTCGTTCAACGCGCATCCTGTCTAAAAGGGTCAAAGAACACTATCCAGCGTGGCTACAGAAAGGAAATAATGGCCATATAAGGAGTGCAATAATCGAACATCTCGTCAATACTGGTCATTCCATCTCAACGAACGCCTCCTTCAAAGTAATCTACAAAGTGAAGAACAACCTTCCAAAGACAGTACAATCCGTCTTCTTTGCATCGCAGAAGCCCTAGCCATTCAGTTGGTGGAACCAGAACTAGAACCAGAAAATTATCCAACCACTTCTACTCGCATGGTAACAACTTCGTTGATTTGACCTAACTTTTCTTTGTTTGTTTGATTTGACCTTACTTCTGTTTGTATGCTTATTTTTCTAACAAATTTATTACCAAGCTGTACAATCATATATGTATATATGGGCTTATTTAAGAAATTATATCCGATGAAGGAATTGAATCATAGGTGTGGATGCATAAAATAATAGTAAAAGTAGCATGAAATGCAATTATAACTTAAAATATTTGTAATTATAATCATAGTTATGTGCGTCGGTGGCACAGTGGTTAAGACTCTCGCCGACCGTGCACATGGCTCGAGGTTCGATCCCCTACCGACGCACATCTGATATCTATGGTCGGCCTGCAAAATTTGGGCTACCGATATCACATGCTGAAAATTCCATACATGTACGAAACATACAGTGTGGAATCAAGCTGTAATCCAAAATAAAATAAAAAATAATAATAGTTAAATATTAAGTGGCTAAACAATTAATGTCATATATAGAATAATTCATACGATGGATAGAACTTGGAAGGGGAGTGCAGTTATAGGATGAATAAGCAAATCGAATTAAAATAAAAACGTTACATAATGTTGTGTGAAATGTGATAACATAGAATTTAATGTTGCAAAACAGAAATGATTTAGAATGACAAGTGGAACAAGTGAAATAATACCCGGGGCTATTTCAAAGTGAGAACAGTAATAGTGACCATTGCTATGATAAAGGAAGAGTATACCAAATTGAATAAACGAAACGAAAAATTGGTAGAGCCAAAAAATGTCATTAGGGATTAACATACTTTCATATAAGAAAAGAACTTGTGCACTGTAGTTGAGTATAATTCCATTATGGAATGGAACTTTTTATTTTGATAAAGTCTCACAGTGTTATATAGTAATATTTACTGATGAGTTTTCGAGGACAATTTATTGCTCTTAACCATAACATACCTTCACATTGAAGTTGAAAAAATCCGGATCTTATTTTACATGCTGAGTGATGCTGATCACCACACACACACTTGAGAGTAATGAAAGCTCGCCTTGCTTTCTCGCTGATCCTTGCTTTGATGATATCCTCATCAGTTCCATCTGCCTGTAGTTGAAACGGCGCCTTACAGGTAGGTAAGTGGTGAAGGAGGTTGCTTCTTTCAGATTTCTCCCATTTATGCTGGCTAATTGTAGCCTGTTGTTGTTGTTGCTGCTACTGCTGCTGTTGCTGTTGGCCAGGAATCTCCATCACCTCTGTTTTCTCTGCGTCCACCTGAAGTCCCTATTATCTTTGATGCTTCTTCTGCCAACTTTTTGCTTTTCACTTACATATCTTCCAGTTTATGGGAATCAGACATACATCATCGGTTAAATCCAGATCCTCCAAGTCTTTTGTGTGGGTCCATTTTATGCCTGTTTCCTCTCTACCAGCTGCTGTCTGTCGCATTTTCCAGTCCACTGTAGCTATGAAAATCACTGGAGATAGTAGGCAGCCAGTCAGCTTGTCTTACTCCCGTCTTCACTTCGAAGGATTCCGTGAGTTTCCCGTTATGGATTACTTGGCATGCAGCATTGTCCTACAACTTTTGGCTGAGACGTATAATTGTTAGTGGAACCCTCAAATTCATTAATAATAATGGTTTTCAAGTTCCTCAGCCATTGCAAGAATTTTGTGTACTGACCATTTAAAAATTGTAACCAATTAATTGAAAACTACACCACACCTTTTCTAGTGTCAATCAACGTGTTAAGCAGTTAAAATTTCAGGGTAAACTTCTTGACTGAAACCTAACACAATACTAGATGACTGATTCCTTCTAATTGTTTTACTCTACCATAGTGTATACCCATTATCTTGCTGGATACTGGGGCTAGGAATGTCAAGCTTCGAAATAAAATGACTGATAAATTGCTCTTTGAGACATCTGACTATCCTGACCTGGATACGTAGATGTGGCTTGAAAAGAACAATTCAGCTGGAGACAATAAGTGATAATTGGACGACACATTAGATTTTGCAAACACAAGAAACTGTCACAATTTTATTTGAATTGACAGAAGTTAGGATTCATGGGCTGACTGGCTGACTGGATCGGGTCCCAGTGACTACTGAATGGTCTTCGAGTTCACTAGCCTCTTAACCAGAAGGTCGTGGGTTTGAACTTCCTGTGGTGAGTGCGTACTGGTGGAAAGTTCCAAGAACTAGGACGAAACAGCTATTCAGTACTCCCAGGTGGTTTACCAATGGTTCTCCCACTGATGTCAGCTAATAATGAAATTATCCAACCAGCCAATAGAATATTCTTTCTTGGCACATTTGTTTTTATCATTTAACTACGAAATGTTAACAAATGTCCCATCTTTTGTGAACCCCTCCAAAATTAACTAACAGAATCAGCTTCATTCTCGAATGCCTTGAAGACATTTTAAATCCGAACCGGAAATCCCGTCTTCGTTAGCTCATCAGGAACATGAGAACTCATGAGTGTCTTCATACCGTGCAGATTTGTCATTATGTTTGACCAGTTCGTATTCCATATCAGCTCGATAACAAAAACAAGATAAGCGTAAATGAAGCAATTTTGTATGAATATGTCCACTAGTTTCATACTTGAAATACGAATAAATGTTATGCAGATAAGATGAATGAGTGTTAATCAAAGTAAAGGGGAATCGTAGTAAAGTATTATTATTATTGTTTCCTTTAGTTCCTAGAGGAACATAGGGCTTCAGCCACGCGTCTTCATTGCCCACATACTTTCATCTCCTCTTCGCATCACCACCTCCTTCATGTCTCCCTCGGAGGACAATCATTGCAAAAATGAACACATATAGATAGAGGGTCAAGCAGTGAATGCTTAAAGAACGAATCAATATCTAAATGAACATGAGAACACGGAAAAAGTGATACTACATAAAAATGAAGACAGGTGAAACAACTACCGAGATTTGTTAAAATATACCTTATCTCATTAATGATCTCAATACAAAAATAGATAAGTTCAAGAAGGAGGGAAAAGATGAACAAGTTTCTCCTGTATGTTAGTAGGCTCAGCTCCCCAGTCTTGGAGACTAACTCATGAGTAACACGGATGTGAACGGTTCACACTGATTCGACGGGGTACTTCCAGTCTTATAGATCACTATGGAGTAAGAAATCGTTGAGATCAAATGACCAATGTCAACTAGTTGTTTAATTATTAGTAGGCTGCTCACGGTACCACTCTTCGTGGGCATGAAGAATGGTATTCCTTCACCTTTTTCAACATAAGCCTTGTTGACCGATCGATATACTTAGCTTTCTTAGTCGTGAGTGAATTAGTATGTACACAGAAAAAGTCATGTGTGCGATCTTTCCCTTCAGTTTATTGAACAGTAGTGAACTACTTTGATTGGATACTAGTAACTAGTGTGATGTATCTAGTCCTTTTCTTTGGTGCAGATTCAATTCTATCAGTCAGGTTTGCAAGGTGGCCACAATTCTAGGTAGCTCTCCGGTTCGAATCTCAGAAGCGACATGAGTTCCTTCACTGTTGCAGATATGCCTTGCTGACGAGTGCCAACTACCACAAAACCTAGGTCAAGTAAGGATTCCTGTGACCGACTGCCTCCAACTATCTAATATCATCGAATAGTGAACTATCTTCAAGACAACAGATCTAGGTACATGTGAAACAAGAGGACCTTACTATAGATCAATTCACTTCAAATGTGAAAGAGAAGGTTCATATACATGGAAACTTTTTAAGTCTTAAATTCGTAAAAAGTGGTCTAGCTTCAAAATAAAGAGCACACGTTTAATAAACACAACAACTGTCTACGCTTAAGTAGATCCAGTTTGATATGACCCACATAAAACTTATGGTACGTTGGTGGTTCAGTCGTAGAAATGCTTACCAGGCAAGCAAGTGGTTTGAGCTTCGACCGCCCAGCTGACGCACTCCTAAATCTCGCTCAGCCGCCAGCAGTAATGCCAGTAAAGAGGGAAGTTTGAGCGTGAGGCTAGCAACCTTACCCCGTAAAAATAAAAACCAGTGCTAAAGAAGATTCAAGTCTCTAGCTTTGAGTTTGACGTTCCACTCTGAACGTATAAAAACTATAACAACTGAACTAACAAAACATCAAGATCGGTAATGAAAAAACAATCCATCAAAAATCACACTGAAACGACCAGAACTTGAAGAATTGAATTCATAACAATAAATGAAACGACGAAAACAAACATATTCAATCGTACCAGATACGTTTCATCTGGATACAAACCTGAAGACGACGGTGGTTAAGATTTACCAAAAAAAAACCCAACTTGGAGAACTAAAAACTCCACACATCAACATGCAAATACTTACTGGCATGTGAAATTTAATCGTTTCTAGTTAACATAATTAAAAGATTCAAGTATTAAGTTAGTTTATATTCCAATATCGATCTTACAAACGCACGAGTGACCTTCAGCCGACCAATCAGAAAAATGGGGAAGTTTTGCACGAAAAAATGACGTATATTTACAAGAAGATGCATGAAAACACACTAAATAGATTATCTTTCCCTGAAATGACTTAAAAATACGTCCCAGTTATAGTGAGGAGTATCACCTGCGAAGTTAGACTAGATGACTAAAGATAAGCTGTTTTTGTGAACTGTTTATCTCTCTTATCCTGTGTTGCGTGGTCTTCCCCAAAAGCCCTCGTTTGAATTACTATGGTTTTCAGTAAGAGAATTGACGACTACACACCAGGAAAATGAGGATAATAAAACAAATTAGAATAAATGACATTAACTATAAATCAACCCTGATCGCGACCCTAACCTTAATCCTAACCCTAGTCATAACCATTATCCAAACCGTAATTCTAACCCTAATGCTAATCATAACCCTGATCCTAACCCTAACGAGGTATTAACACATTGTCTAAATAGTACTTAAAAACGTGATCTGGGTGAAATTTGCAGTTTGGTATGTGAATAGCATTGGTATTTCGGCTATGATAATGACAGGTGTCATTAGCCAACGACTAGCATGCTTTCAAGGTCATTGAAGGGTCATTCGCACTACCGGGACGCTATTGTTGAACTTCGCCCTTACCGCAAACTAAATCACTGGAAACCAGGGGCTACTGAACAGCAGTTTCGTTAAAGTCCCCAACTCGTCAGCAGAGGATATCCAGTATCTGGCCACAGATCGAAATCAGAATCTTCAAATTGGCAGTCAAATACGCTGACGAGTCAGTCAGCAGGAATCCAGTTACCTTGAATTTTAAATTATGTGAATTCACAGTATAGTGTTGCTGCAAACCAGGCTCATGAATGCGCAACTATTTCACATCTGAAACCAGTTAAGGAATCACTGAATACCTAGGAAGGAATAAGCCGCTGTTTAGTTCTCCTTGCATTTTCTATAATTCTACAACCAGTGTTCGGTTTGTAACCACATGCACAATGAAATTAATTAAATCAGAATCCCTACAAAAAGACACCCAAAATCTGAATTTTGTTTTAATTTTACTAAATCAAGTGAGTAAATTATTAAAGTGACTGATAGAATTGAGTCTGCACCAAAGAAAGGACTAGAAACGTCACACTAGTTACCAGGGTCCAATCAAAATTATTACACTTTGAATCGATCAGCTTACCACAGCACCAAGTAATCCAAATTGTCCTTGACTATCAGCAACATTTGGATCAACACAAAATTGACTTTCATTCACCTGATTTTCAATTTGTAATAAATTTTTAACTTTATCAAATTGACCATTAAAACAATATTGTATAAATTGAATTGCCAATGTTTCATATCTCCCGGTTGATAAAGGTTGTGTGCTGCTTTCATGTTTCGTTTTTACCTTGTGATTCGTATTAGACTTTTTCGTCAAGGATTTTTTAGATAATTTATTCCATATAGTTGACCAATTTTCAATGTAAAATGTATTGACTGCTGAATTGTGTTCATTTGTGTTCTCTTGAATGTTATTCACCTTGTTACCTATGCTCTGATCAGTTTCATCTGTTGAGGATGTGATTAAATGATGCCACGGTAGATTTACTGTTGTATTGCGTAGAAATCCTTGTAAATGTGCAGTTTTTGTTATTTGTGCACGCATATTTACTAGGCAGACTGTTTGATTTTGTTGAAATTGTGAACTAATAATAATAATAATAAAGCGAAATGGTGAATAAAACGGCTAGCAAATTTATTTTATCACTTGTCACAGTAGAGAAAAACCACATCTCGAAAAGACAGCTTCTGTACCAAAGAAAACTATCTGTCTTCATTAACCTACTATTCAAGGGCGACCAGATTTTGCAATTGACAGCTACCTCAAAGACATTGGTCAGCCATCAAAAGCATATTCTTCTCCGCCACATCTCTTTTTCTCATTTGCCGAACATTTTTGATCCCTGTACCTACGATTAAAGGACGAAATTCTGTGGACTCTACTTCAGACTGTATCCACAAGTTCACCTGCAGCTGCGGTGACACCTATGTAGGTTGAACCAACAGATTGTTTCAATGTCCTCGAAAAGAACATGTTCCAAAATGGTTATTAAAACATATAGAAAATCCCAATGCAATTAATCTGAATAGAAATCCAGCATCATACATTGTAAAGCACTTATTGATGTCAGGTCACAAAACCAATCAATATTAATGACTGTTTCACAATTATTTCACATAAATCTAACTCAAGGTTGGTTTTTGAAGGTGACGGAAGCACTTTGGGGATTAATCACATACAGCCTAAACTGTGTGTACAAAAATCAATAGACTTCAGTCATCGCATACCATAGACTACATGACCTATTTAAATATGATTGGTCATTGGTATGCACTTTTGTTTTTGTTTTTTTGCAACTTCGACCGAAACAAGCTGGATTCAGGAGAAACAAATCACGTATTGATCAAATCGCCACTCTACGGATCATCATTGAACAAAGCTTGGAATGGCAGTCACCTCTCCATCTCAACTTCATCGACTTTGAAAAGGCCTTCGACAGTGCAGCGTCAATCGAGAGGTGATTTGGAAACTACTTCGCTATCGACAATTATACGTCTCATCCAACAGTTATACGACAATGCTGCATGCCAAGTAATCCACAACGGGAAACTTACGGAAGCCTTCGAAGTGAGGACGGGAGTGAGACAAGGCTGCCTACTATCACCAATAATCTTCCTGATTGCAGTAGATTGGATAATGCGACAGACAACGGGCAATGAGGAAACAGGCTTAAAATGAACTCACACAAAAAACTTGGAGGATCTGGACTTCGCCGATGACAAATATTTGTGTCTGATTTCCCACAAACTAGAAGATATGCAAGTGAAAAGCAACAAGCTGGCAGAACAAGCATCCAGAGAAGACAGCACTTCCTTCAGGTGAACATAGATAAAACAGTGGTGATGAAGATTCTTGGCCAACACCAACAGCAACAACAACAGACAAAAATCAGCCAGCGTAAATGGGAGAAACCTGAAAGAAACAACATCCTTTACCTACCTACCTGGGAAGCATCGTTTCAACTACAGGCGGAACTGACGAGGATATCAAAGCAAGAATCGGAAAAGCAAGACTAGCTTTCATTACTCTTAAGTCTGTGTGGAAGTCAACAGCACTCAGCTTGAAAATGAAAATAAGATCCGGATTTTCAACTCCAATGTAAAGTCAATGCTACTACACGGATCAGAGACTTGGTCAGCACGTCATAAAGAGCACCTCAAACAAACTTCAGACCTTCATTAACAGTTGTCTTCGCTCAATACTACTCAAGATCAGATGGCCAGTCAGAAAAGATCAGCAACAGGGATCTCTGGGAGCAAACCAACCCAGCAATAACCAATTGTGAAACAAATAGGCAGGAAGAAATGGAGATGGATTGGCCATACTCTGAGGAAAACATCAAGTAACATCACTAGACAAGCCGTTGCTCGAGTGGAACCCGAAAGGGAAGCGGCGAGTTGGTCGTCAGTGTGGGGGGTGAATTGGAGGAGATTATGTAAAGAGGAGATGAAAGCATGTGGGAAGACTTGGAGCGGGGTGAAAAAGTTTGCAGAAAACAGAAGGCAATGGAGGTGTGCAGCTGAAGCCCTATGTTCCTCTAGGAATTAAAGGATATAATAATAATAATAATAAATAATTTGTTTTTTTTGTTTAACTGAGTAATTCTCATGAACCTTATTTTATTATTGTTAACCATGTTAGTTGTAAAGTGGTTGCGAAGAAACTGCGGAATGACTATATGATCTCGCGAAATTTGTCTTCTTAATGCCTTATTCAAATTTACCAAGGGGACTAGTTGTTTTAAATTTATTTTGTTTATTTTAGAAAGATAAAATATTCAAGGTTTTTAGATGAGAATATGAAGACAGGGTATAATGTGTCTTATGCTAACAAGTCCTGGACTAAGATTTTGTACCTGTCAGGGGTTGTCGAAAGGATATATCTGCAACCTCGACAAAACTAAGACCGACGAGTCCCAAGAAGTTTGAAGCCATCCTCTTAAAATGCACCTCTTTGATGAGTCATGTGCACTGGTGACCACAGTGTAAGCTATACTGATAGGATAAGAACAGCCTCGAGGCTAATGAGTAGATACATGATACTGGCTACTCCCTAATAATTTCTTTTAACACTACATAAAATTCAGTAAAACCCTACCAGGAAAGGATGTCTCTAAGTTCTAATGCGAAGTGGTAGACGGTAAGGCCAATATAAGACAGGGTTGGGATGATGCTATTTCACGAGCCCGCAGAAGTTAGAATTCACTGGATCCCAAAGTAGTGATTATGTTGTCAGTAGAATAGTTTCGTGACCTATATTTTTTGTTTGATTATAGCTTGACTACACACCGTATGTTTGCTACAAGTATGGAACTTTCAGCATGTGATATCGGTAGCCCAATTTCGCAGGCCAACTACTGATATCAAGGATCGAACCATGAACCATGTGCATGGTCGGCGAGCGTCCTAACCGAACAAAATTTATTGTTCATAATCATATCATCAATTATAATCACACGACTTCGATACTTGAGTTTTATAGTTTTGTTTTTCTCTCATATTTGTTTTGGTTGGGGTAGTAGAATTTAAATCATCCGTAGTATTTCCATACAAAGAGGGAATCGCCGAAACCTTACGCAGGAATAAAAGTAGCATTCAAACCCACAAACTCAATTAGAAACAAGCTTTGTCAGTTAAAGGATTAATCCTGCGGAGCCTTTAAAACACAACAATTTACTTCATCTAATACTCTGCCTGCAATGATTGTCAGGTCAAATACATAAGTCAAACTAGTAGAACAGTTGTAGTCAGACTAGTCGTTCACAAAAAATCTAGCAGCAAAATCTAGATTTTCTATAGTTTGGTTTGTAAGGGTTAGTTATGCATACCTTGTAACCGAAAGATCCTAGGTTCGAGTCCCAGTGGGTGCATACAGCCGATGATTCCCAAACTAGGATGAAATAGCTGTCCAGTAATCCGTGTGGCTGATTTTCAATGGTTCTCCAACTGATATCAATCCGTGATCATCTCGTAAAAATCTAGATTATTTGACCCGAATAAGATAAGAAATCTACAGAATAGTTCACCTGTACATAGCACTCACTACATGCAATTACACACAACCATACAATAGGATGGATTGGATAAAATGACAGTTTTAAAATCTAATGTAACAACTGGGTGGAGGAATAGATTGATAACAACGGAAGCTTTGTTTATTGTATCAACTGCAAACACGTGTATCAGGAAGGACTCAATACCTGTCTAGGTAGACATCTGGAAAATCCTACTACCCCGAAGACGACAAATAGGAGAGAACAAAGAAAACGATAAAACTGAAGTTTCGAAGTCGTGTGATCATAATTGATGATATGATTATGAACAATGACAAATTTTGTTTGAAACTTCGTTATCCAGTTAAGAGTAATACTGTTTCACAGACTGTGTGATATATCTAATAAACAAACTAATATAGAATTACATACACGACCACAGTGCCTAAATTTTACACATCTATTAATAAATATTTTAATCTTTCCTAGGTTGCTATGGTAACTAAAGAGGGGAAATTTAACATTCACCTGTTTGACATTCATCATGGATCCATGAGAAACTGTGAAGTAAGCAGAATTGAAAAACGAAAATCGTGAAAAAAACAAGAGTTAATAATCACTCACTCGAATAAAGAATCCTGTTTGAAATTATTCTCATGATGAGTTTGTTTTATTGTGTCAAAGAATGGATTTATCATTAGATTGTTTTTCAAATTATTCCGTTTTGAATCTTTTTCTTGATTGCATTTTTTCTTATCCTTATTTTCACTGGCATTTAAATTATCATTTTGTTGATTAGATTTTAAAATTTGTAAAATATTCTTTAAACCATTGAACTTTATGATAGAGGAATCAATAAATGTTGGTAAACAACGTATTAAATGTTCAAAACTTTGATCAGCGATAAACTTTTCAAATAATGGACTCTTCATATTCCATACTTGAAATTTTGTAGGTAAATTACTGTGTTTTAATATCTAAAATATGAGGGAGAGTTGGGGGAAGGTGAAACATTATTTTTATTTATTACTGCATTGATGAAAAATCACAAAAAGAATATTGTTTTTGCTGATTTACGGCTTTTTAATTTAATATCACGTAGGCGTTTCTACGCACCAGTGGTTCATCGGTGGAGCGCTCGTCGATCACGCACGTGGTTCGAGGATCGATCCTCTGTAGATGCCTTCCTGTGCCTCACTAAGCCGATAGTAAGGTAGACAAAGAGGGGAGGGTGAGTTTGGGGCTAACATCCCGTAAAAAAGTTTTAAAAATAAACCACTGTTTCCAAAAAATTCGACACTCTATCTTGAAGCCTCATGATACACTAGGAACGGAAAGGAATTAAATAAAATAATAATAATAATAGGTATTTCTACAAGACATCAAAATTTCCCATGTGATGTGAATTAAGAACACCTGCTTCTATGAGTTCGATATAAAGCTGTACAGTTATTCAGGGTTTTATATGTACAATGATAGTCCTACATAGGTTGTAACAGAAGAAAATTTTTTGGACGCGAAGAAGAAGATTTGTAGTTCACGTGGGATGATTTTGATATGTGGTTGTGTTCTCTGAGCTGAACAGTTTATTTGAGAAGCTTCCGTTGACTTACTAGGCAACATCTTCAGAGCGTACTTCAATTTGTTGAAGTGAGCTCAATTCAACTGGGACAACCAACGTTCAAATATTAGACAGAGGAAACATCGAGAATGTCAGAGAATTTTTAGAAACCCGCCTGGTATTCCAGGGAATCACCAATCAATAGACACATTGAGAGAGACAAAATTTACCAAATCTCATACAATAAAGGGTCAAAATTCAAGTCAAGGAAACAATCAACACCAATACCAATACAAGTAGCCGAGGTGTGAAAACACGAAAACGACCAATCACGTTCAAGGTCACTCATCGAGATAGATGATCAATAAACTCGTGGAGAAATCTAATAGCTCACTTCAACAAATTGAAGTCTGCTCTGAAGATGTTGCGTAGTGGTGGGGCAATGAAAACTTCACAAATAAACTATCCGGCTAAGAGAAAAAAACTTCATCTAAAATTGACAGTAAATTCTAAACTTTGGTGTCAATTATCATTGAATATATAAATATCTTATTGTTCCCTTGGGTTCCTAGTGGAGCATAGGGCTTCAACTGCACTTCTCCACTTGCTTTTGTCTTCCCTCTGCCGTACTTTTCACCTCCATCCATGTATGTCCATACTCTTTCAACTCCTCTTCACACGATCTCCTCCATGTCACCCACCCTTGCACTGACGTCCCACTCGCCGCTTGCTTTCCTTTCGGGTTCCACTCGACCAATGGCCTGACGCGCGCCATGTCACCCAGCGAGATGCCTCCTCATCAGCGAGTGTCCAATCCACCTCCACTTTCTCCTGCATATTTGTTGGTTGGCTATTGGTTCTTGTTTTGTTGTTTTGTTCCCATAGTTTCCTGTTGGTGATTGTTTCCGGCCCGGCCAACTGATCTTAATTCAGTAGAGAGCGAAGACAGTTAGTTGTTGATAAAGGTCTACAACCAGCTGTTGGGAATATTCTTTGTGACCCGCCCGCCAAGTTTCTGACCCGATCTGTATAGAAGAACTGACTGACTTGACATTTGTATTGAAAATCCGACCGACCGAATTTTGTTGTTGATTCTGGCTGAGTGACGAAGATTTCCAGATCGGTTTCATGGGTTGATGAATGTGTTTCTCGCCTTCTCGATTCTCGGTTTCACATCCTCGTCCGTTCCGACTGCCTGTAGTTGAGACAATGCTCCCTAGATAAGTGAATGAATGAATGAAGTAACCTCTTTCAAATCCCTCCCGTTGATGGTGATTGACACTGTTGGCTGGATGTTGCTGTTGTTGTTGTTGTTGGTTGGTTGGTTGGTTATTTTCATAACCTCCGTCTTGTCTATGTTCACCTGGAATCCTGTCCTCGCCGGCTGCTTCTTCGATCAGTTTGTCGGTTTTCGTTTGTAAGTCTTCGATTTTGTGTGACATCAAATATAAATCATCCACGCGTGAAATCCAGGTCTTCTAGGTTCTTCACGTCGGTTGGTCCAGGATATCCCTGTCTTCTCGTTGGTCACTGTCTGACGCATAATTCAGTCCCCACCACAATTAGGAATATCATTGGTGATAATAACCACCCTTGTCTGACTCCTGTGTTTACTCTAAACGCATCGCTGAGTTTTCCGTTGTGGATCACTTGACATGTGCCGTTGTCTTACAGCTGTTGAATAAGGTTGATGAATATTTGGAGTATGCCGTAGTACTCGAGTAGTTTCCAAATTAGTGAGTCACTATCACTACCCTGGCCGGCCTTCAGTGGAGACTAGAAATTCATGAATTTGGAATATTATCTTTCCTAATTTTTCTGACATTCAGTTTATTGTTATTTTGGTGCTATTGAAGTGTAATCTATTGACATTATCCTTACTGATTCGATGTTATTTAAGCAACATTAATGTTGTTCATAACACATATCATAACACTAATTCATTTGTTCACTATTATGTATATATAACTGTAGAGCCTGATTATGAAGGGGTTATCGAAAAGAGTATTCTTTGTTCAGTGTCCATTCTTTTGTATATCTACTTATATTGATACGTTCGATTAAGAATCATTCTAGCGAAGTGCACACAGTAAGTAATCCCTAAAACCCTAAAGATATCAATCAAGGAATCAATATTATCTACTGCTGCAAATTTCATCGACAATCAGCATGTACTAAAACAGCACAGGACACCTGTATCACAGAATATGCGTGTGTATTCAGATTGGATGCACAAGAGAGGAAGCCCCCTACAGGTATAAACACTCCTTGTCTTTAGTCAAACAAAAAAAACTTCAATGACTTTAAAAAGCATCATTCTACGGGTCTCCATCTTCAACCAGACACAACTCAACAACGTCAATCTGCCAGAAGTAAAGAATGAAAAAAAACACTGTATGGCTGATGCAGATACCCCTTTGAAATTTTCGATAAAAAGAAATTTGTCATCCAAGCATATTTAGCGAATTAACAACACTTATCCTTGAAAAGACTACTGTAGATGGATTCAGACAAAGCAACACTTTCTAAATATCTATTTTGTATAATCTATTTATTTGAGTTCTTTGTCAAGCTTAGCAAAATCCATGATACTTTCGGTTTCAGTGTTCCTTAAAACTATTGATTGGTCTTAGCTTCTCTATCCAGTCAGTGAGTAATCACTCCTCAAAGATAATAGGAAGAGTAGTGCTGAGAATGTGTAGCAGTTTATAATCACACGACACGGTTAATATTGAGTTAAGCTCCTAGATTCAGGCGAATAATTCATGTACATTAGAGTACCATTCATTGACTTTTATCATTGTGTATTCTTGTGCTAACAGTTATTCAACAGTTTCTGATATCCCTTTAAATATTTAAAAAAAAATTGAATATAACTAGCTGACATCATGTAAATCGGCATTTTTTTAAAACAAGATTATTGAGTTTATGCACGGAACAATGTTACCGTGACATGATGTCATTTAAAAAGAGACACTGGAGAGGGGTTCATATATTGAAAAGGGAATAAATGTTTAAATACAGTGGAAAAGGAGTTGCGTAATGAAGACAAGAGGTGGATAAGTTGATGAGTGAGTAACTAATAACTTGCGTAATAATGTGAGATGAGATAAACTCAAATCGCAGAAACAGGCAAAGCTTCGTCAAATAAAAGAAGAGAGAGGTTAAATAAAGCCAGAGATTACGTAATCTTTACAGGATTTCATCATGAGCTGACATTGGTTAGAGAACCATTGGAAAACTACCTGGGAGTACTGGACAGCTGTTTCGTTCTAGTTTGGGACTCTTCAGCAGTACGCACCCAGCGGGGCTCGAATCCAGGACTTTCAGGTTTCAAGGCGACCCAGTATACCATTATGTAATCAAGTTAAAAAGAGAGAGTGCAAGCGCATTCAGTTAGCAAGGTAAAGAAAGACTGATAATTGTTGTATTTTTGTGAACATATAAGTTGGGTTTCAAACGTGTGGCAGCAATTGGTTGTCTAACGGATTTGCGGAGAATTGAACTGTTTAAAAGGATTTCAGAGTGTTCCACCTTATGAGGCGTATTGATGAGATGTGTGACAGTGGCACTATTGAAAGCATCTTCTCTCTTGAGATGTAAGCGTTTCTATGCATATTCAGAAGGTCGATAATGTGCGTATCTTTCTATTCTTCTAATGTAACTGCTACTGCAGATATATGTAAACTTCAACACACAGACAGGGTTAACATGAAGGAAGTATCTGTCGAAACAGTATGCTGTCCGATAGACGGGAATCAAATTAGCTACAGAATGGGTCCTAGTTAGTGAGGTATTAAGTCTCCCCTTTTGACTATCCCTGTGATATTATCATCTTTAAATACGATATATATATATATATATGTATATATACACTCACGTTCAGTTAAATTCCTTCTTGATTTAACCTTTGATGTTGAACGTATGCAAAGCTAGTTGACAGAAGATTTGAATCTCGATTAGATCCCATCTGATATTCATTGATAAATCCGACTGTATATGTAGCCTGGGGCAGAAGACGTCCACTTCCTTGAAGACTTTTTATCTCTTCAACTAGTTCTGAAATTAACAGCTTTACAACTAAACTTTTCATGTCATGGCTGACCTTTTTTTAGCGTCTACAGAAATTTATCAGTATGTGGAAGTTATTGTTTTCTGACGTGTGCCATTGGTACAGCGGTAGAATGCTCACCAACCACGCCTAATATGGTCCATGGTTCGATCCCTGACCATAGACGCACTCCGCAAAAAACCTCGCTAACCTAGTAATTAGATTGGTAAAGAAAGAAGGTTGGGCGTGAGGCTGGCTAACACAACCCCAAGAAAATATATTGCACTGATTAAGGCACTCTACTCGTACTCATACAGCCAGGTCAGGGCTTACGGCGAGCTGTCATCTGAACTGATGACGACCAGTGGTGTCCGTCAAGGATGCCCATTATCCCCTTTTCTATTCAACTTCATCATAGATGTGTTAATGGACTTAACCCTAACTCACTTCAGCGACTCAGGGATTGACTTGCTACCAGGGTATGAATAATCTCGTTGACTTAGAATATGCAGACGATATAGTCCTTCTAGGCGAAGACGCTGACGAAATGCAGAGTCTTCTAAACACCTTGAGCCGCAATCTACGAATGTTTGGCATGCGATTCGCTCCCGCCAAATGCAAGATGATGTTACAGGACTGGACTACATCGACGCCTAGTTTAAAAATAGGACGTGAAGTGGTAGAGCACGTTGACCGCTTCACTTATTTGGGAAGTACCATCAGCCAGTGCCAACGGGCTGATCTCTGACGAAATCTCAGCACGAATACAAGGGGCTCGTTTCGCATTTGTTAGTTTACGCCGACTCTGGCGTAGACGAGATGTTCGACTATCGACCAAAGGGCGGGTGTACTGCTCATCAGTCCGCTCCGTCCTCCTTTATGGTTGTGAGACCTGGTCACTGAGAGTGGAAGACATGAAAAGACTAAGCTGCATTTGATCATAGGTGCCTGCGTTCTATTTCCCGTGTAAAGTGGCATAATAAGGTGAGCAACATGGAGGTTAGGCGCAGAGTTCTAGGTAAACAGGGGAAATCAATCGACGAAGTCGTGAAGCTACATCGACTGAGATGGTTAGGACATGTGTTACGTATGCCAAGTCATCGCCTCCCTCGACGAGCTATGTTAGCGGATATAGGGTCAGACTGGAAAAAAGCTAGCGGCGGTCAAACCAAAACATGGCTTTACCAGTCAATGAAATTCACAACGGTTGGTCTAAGCCACGTAGAAAGGTGTAGACTTCCAGGCTGGGGTCCTCGGGACGGTAAAAATCTATGGTTGGAAACAATTGGTGACATGGTTCAAAACCGTTCTCAGTGGCGCAGATGCATCCACTCCCTGTGACTTATGATCTTCAATGAAACTGTTTTGTATTTCTTTATTACTCCTTTGTCTCACACCTGTGCTCACTGTTTCTATTATGCTTTTCTTGTACTTTCTTCTCTTGCTTCGCGTGCTACACGGAATGTGGCGACTTGAACTTCCGCACATTTGTGCAAAGTTCTATATCGAAAACAGACAGACAGACAGATCCCGTAAAAATAATAAACACCACTGCTACAGAAACTTCAAGCCTCTGGCTCTAACTTGAAGCCCCATGTTCCACTCGGAACGTAAAGGAATAAAAAAAGTGTAAACCGGCAGCCCACAGAAATTTACATCATATACTACTGATGAGGAGAATGAGTAGTTCAACTGTCAGTCTTGTTATTAGTTGGTAATTGTTAACACGTTATATTAAAACTCAGGTAATTTGAATTCTAGGAAAAATATCCGTTTTAAATCCAAAGTGGAACACACTTTCTACTTGAAATTATACCATAAAATGTGTAAAAACTTATAGTGTGTGATGCAGGTAAACTGATATTTAGTTGAACCATGTGGGTGAAATTCACTACGTAAGCACAAATATGCATAAATTATCTTGAAAACCTCTAAAAACAAATTCTTAAAACTATAACAGAAACTTGATAGTCTGAATATCCTTTTTTGAATTCAACATTCAAGAATATGTTTTTTCTGGAATATTTGTAGTATTTGTTGTACAAATTCAAAAACTTCGCGCGTCACGAGAAGCTTTTTCAAAAGGCTAGTGCAGACCTCTATCAACAGTTGCCGCCTTCGATAGCTCTATGCTGAAGATCAAATGGCCAGCCAATCACAGAGAATTAGCAACAAGAAACTCTGCTGTGGAACAAACCAAACAACAAGAACCTGTTGTTCAGCAAAAATGTAGATGAATCGGGCATATACTTAAAAAATCGTCGAATAATATCTCGCTCCAGCCGCTGGGAAACGAAACGACGAATGGGGCGTGTGTTCAAGGGTGACATAAAAAAGATCGTGTTAGGAAGAGATTAGAGAATATAGGCAATTGTGAGGCCAACCAAATAGGATCACATAAGACAGGTCATAGTGGAGACACGTTGTTCTACTCGGAAGCCAAGGGGACAATAATAATAATACAATCTAGCGTATTCGCCTTTTTGGTAAACATGTGGCGCTGACACCTGTCAAGTGTAAAATGATTTCTGAAGGTTGATCTGCGTTGAGAAAAAAGACAGTTCAAGGATAACAACCGTAGTAGTTAAGCCTATTGGCAATATAATCATTTTTATGGGGATCACACAGCCTCCGTGATCCGGTTGGTGTGATAAGATTTCATCTCAGACAAAAGAAGGCTATGTGGATCTTCATTCTAACAAATTCCTAATAATAAATATTTTTTCCTTCACGTTCCCAGTGGAACATAGGGCTTCAAGCTAGTGGCTTGAAGTTTCTGTAGCAGTGTTTATTTTACAGGCTGCGGTTGCTAGCCTCATGCCCGACCTTTCCTCTTTACCAGCATTGTTTCTGGCTCAGCGAGGTAAAGGAGTGCGTCTGTGGCCGGGGATCGAACTCCGCACCATGTGCATGGTCGGTGAGCGTCCTAACCGCTATACCACCGACGCACAACAAATTCTTAGCATTAGTGAAAAGTATTCGAATGTCTACTCAGCAATGAGTTATACATTGTGATACAGTAAAGTCACTGGACATGAAATTTTTGGAAATGGCAGCAATTTTTCAACCGGTAACTAGAAATTCCATCATGGATAAGATTTTATTTTGATAAATCACACAGTGTTGTATAGTAATATCAAATGATGTCCACATTTCAAGCACAAACTATTGCCACTCATAATCATATCAAGTCACTCACTCACACAACTTTTTACTTCATTTATATACATGTGTGGAATTGATTAGATATTTGAATAAAAATCAATATGAGATAATGTACATTCAGAAATAATAATAATATCAGTGTTATTGATGAATTACAATCAGATGGGAAATAAGACGAGTATTTCTATAGTCAAAATAAGTAACTGATTAGAATGTTGTGATGTGCTTGAATTGAAACAGAATTTTAAGATTATTTATTATCCTCTTCTGATTTGACCGGCGGTAATAATATCTTCCATATTTCTGGTATTTGCATTGAGTCACTTCTATTGCATGTGTTGGGTGTAGACTCGATGAACCAGACAGGATTCAGTAATCAGCCTCTCTCTCTCTCCACCTATCTAGATTACTTTTTAGAATTTTAACCCTCTCCAACCTATTGTGTGGTTGTTTGTTAATGCGTGCAGTGCAACTGCTGAGCTTTTTTCTAAATTACTTATCTTCTCGAGGTCAACCATTCTTACCTTAGCTAATTCCATATTAGTTTGTTTATTAAATGTATCACACAGTGAAACAGTATTATTTACTGGATATCCAGTAAATACATCCAATAAACAAACTAATATGGAATTACTTACTACCACAGTGCCCAAGTTTTACACATATAATAATATTTCCCTTAGCTAAATTCTTATGTTCTGACAATCTGACTACCCCCGACCTACTAGTGAGTTCAGGATCTGCAGTTAATTCTTTTTTAACTGCTTCTAAGGCCATATTGATTGGTATATTGGTATAAAGACTAGTTATATCAAAACTAACCATTGTTTCATCATTCTCTAGTTGAATATCATTTAGTTTATTTCTCATCTCATATGAATTAGTTAGTCTGGAGTGTGAGCGATTTCTAATGGGGCATAATATTAGAGCTAAGTGTTTTGATAAATCACATAAGTAGGGGTATTTCTGAAATCTACTATTGGTCGTATAGGGTAAACGGGCTTATGTATTTTAATAGTACCATATATTCTACTAGCATTATTATTATTAGGTATTAAATTAAACCATTTAGACTCACCCAGTGACGGCTTCATTCTGCGTCACTGGGTAAATTAGCTATGTTAGATTGTAAAATAAAAAGAATAAAAGAAGGCAAACTACGCACTAGTGTTTATAAAAAACCAACTCATTCTAATAGATATTTAGACTTTAATTCGTCTCATCCATTAACTGTTAAGGCAGGCTTAGTTAAGTGTCTAACAAACCGAGCAGTATCATTAAGTAGCACAAAAAAGACCCAAATGATGAAATAAAATAGATAGAAAAAGCGTTCGTGTTGAATAACCATCCTTTAAAATTCACTAGGAAGATCAGTAAAGGCCAAAACCAAAGTAAAAATTTAAAAAATTGCGAAACTAATAATGATGACGTAAATAACAGAGAATCTAAGTCATCCACTGTTATACCATATAAGGAGAGAACATCTCAGACCCTCTGTAGGATTCTTAATAAAGCCGGAATTAGGGTGACATTTAAGCCTACAAACTCATTCAGGTATAAAATCTCTGTAGGTTAAAGGACCCTTTCGGCTGATCCAATTAGACAAAATAATATAATTTACGAAATACCCTGCAATGACTGTGAGGTGAACTACATATGGGTCATACTAGTAGGTCAGGGGTGGTCAGATTGTCAGAACATAAGAATTTAGCTCAGGTAAGGGGCTATCGAAAAGAATATCCTTTGTTCTGGTATCAATTCTTTTGAAAAATATTTTAATGGGCATTTTTAGTGAGTTGTAATTAAAATCATCATATATAACTTGAAAACACTCATACATAAATGTACATATGCATACACAGGACTTCGTATATAATAGACCAAACACCAACTTACATTCTGTATAATCTCTATTAATAAATCCTTTGAAGAATTCTTATCATAACTGTTTAAAATTGACTCATTTGTTTCATGTATACGTCTGTCATCATAATTATAAACATGTTCATTATGCAATAGCTGATAATCTCTTTTCACAGACTTTTGATACTGAAAATTTTTAAACATTAATTCTAAATTAACTAATTTATAAAAATTATATTGAGGAAATTGTTCTGAGAATTGAAATTTTCCAGTTTGTTTCTTATTTAGTACTGATTTACGTAAACGTATTAATCGATCATTTTTCCAATAGCCAACATCAATTTCAATTGAAGCTGATGTCATCATTGTTCTGTTTGTAATCAAAACACCAGGACCATAACGTTGATCTTCTAAGAAAAATCCCTAGATAAATAAATAAGCGAACAGAATGTAAACCATTGTGGTTTGTGCAGATAACACTAAGATATGGAAATGCTCAGAAAATCTATAAGTATGCGATGAAGATGTCGCCTAATAGGACTATGAAAGCTTCGCGAATTAATTATCCAGCTCAAAGAACACAACCACATCAAAATCATCCACCTGATATATATATATATATAATTTCTTAATTTGATTCTTAGAAGAACATAAGGTTTCAGCCGTGCGTCTCCATTACGTTCGGTTCTTTGCCAGAGTTTTCACCTGGCCCCAAGTCCGCCCACATGATTTCATCTCCTCCATGTCACCGTCGCACTGACGACCAACTCGTCACTTCCCTTACGGGTTCCCCTCGAGTGATGGCTTGTCTAGTGATGTCACTTGATGGTTTCCTCAGAGTATGGCTAGCCAATCCATACCTCGATTTCTTTCACAATCGGTTCCTGGTTGGTTCGCTCATTGCCAGAGATCCCTGTTGCTGATCTTTTCTGGCCGGCCATCTGATCTTGAGTATTGAGCGAACACAGCTGTTAATGAAGGTCTGTAGTTTGTTTGAGATGCTCTTTATGACATGGGGCCAAGTCTCTGATCCATATAGTGAGTAGCACTGGCTGACTTCACATTGGAGTTGAAAATCCGGATCTTATTTTCCTTTTCAAGCTGAGTGCTGTTGATCTCCTCAAAGACTTGAGAGAAATGAAAGCTTGTCTTGCTTTCCCGATGATCCCCGCTTTGATATCCTCATCAGTTCCGCCTGTAGTTGGAACTATGCTTCCCAGGTAGGTAAGGGATGTTGTTTCTTTCAGGTTCCTCCCATTTATGCTGATTGTTGTCTGTTTTTGTTGCTGAGCGACAAATCTTCTCCATCATATCTAAATCTTACGAGCGGAACACGCTTCTTTCTGTTCAAAAGCAGGAAGACTTCTCCAAAAGGCAAGGATCTACCAGAGAACAATGATTCTTTCTTCATGAGTGTCTTCGTCATCAAATCCTGCCGACCAGTGTCAGATACAAACCACCAGGCAACTACCTGATGGGATGGAAATTTGCCGAACACAATGTGGAAGATAAATGGTGAAATTAATGATTACAGATACACATTATCGGATCAACAAATAATAGATGCCCAAAAAGAAAAACTAGAGAGAACCCTCAACCAGGAACACCTGTCAACACTGATCCCCACAATTACATTGTCAAGTAGAAGACACGAAGAACAAAGACGAAAAGTCCTCAAAACCAAGCTAGCCAAGATTTGAAAGCAACAACCAGACAGTACACCCACTGACTGCGTAGTCAACCTATTAAAACAACCACTATCAAAAATGGAACAACAACTACTACAAAAAGGATTAAACTACAACACCGGAGATGCTTCGAAAACTGATTTCTTCGCTGCCCTTAAATCAATACTCAAATCATCAAACTTGAACGAGGAAACATAGAAAGAGATACTCCAAACAATTGTACCAATGGTCAAACAGAAAAAAGAACACACAACTCAACTCTCAAGAACTAAAGGCCCACAAAAAAGCTGAAAAATAGAAAGGACATCGTCATTCTACCGGCTGACAAAGGAAGAACAACAGTAGTCATGGACAAAGAAGAATACAGCAAGAAAGCTGAAGAACTACTCAAAAAAGAGGATGTATATCAACAACTCCCAACAAATGCCATACAAACATTAGACAACCGCAACTAAAGAACAGTAAACAAGCTCACCAAAACCGGACAGATCACAAAACAAGACCAATGGTAAATGAAATCCAGTGGACTAGTCCTACCCCGATTCTACGGCAGACCCAAAAAACACAAGCCAAACATCCTGTTACGATGAATTTTATCACTCTCAGAAGCTCCAACATATAATTTATCCAAAGAAAACTAAATCACCGAACGGAATCATGTGATCACTCCATCAACTCTGCTATCCAATTTCTAGAGAAAATCAGAGGCATCCAAATAGATGGACAAGAAATAATGATATCCTTCAACGTCACAGCATTATATACCTCAATCGGACGAAAGCTAAAATAAGAGACCATGGAACAATTACTCACCAATGACGAACACCTCTCACAACAATCAAAAATACAACACACAAGCTGGATGGAATGCATAAACCTATGCCTAACAACATACTTCCAATTCAACGGCAAAATATATAAACATGTCAAAGGAACACCCATGGGATCGCCAATATCAGGTTTGATTGCAGAAGCAGTGATGCAAAGGCTCTAAAACAGAATCCTACCAAAGATCAAACCCAAAATTTGGGTACGTTACGTAGGTGACACATTTGTAATAATCAAAAGAAACGAGTTAGATAAAACTCACAACTTAATAAACAACGTCTTCTACTACATCAAATTCACAAGAGAAAAGGAATACGACAACCAAATCCCATTTTTGGACGTCTTAGTCAAGCGAACAAATACAGGGGAATTAAAAACTCGAGTTTATAGGAAATCAACTCACATAGACCAAATCCTGAATTACAACAGCAACAATCCAATAATGCACAAAAGGAATTGCATACAAACACTATTCAAGAGAGCAAGGACTCATTGCAGCACTTCCACCTTAAGGAAAATTGAAGAAAAATATCTCATGACATCTTCCAAAAGAATGGATATCCACGGAATTTCATCAAAAAACATACACCCCTAAGCCAACCTATCAAACCAAAAAGCCCCCAAGGAAAGCACAAAGAAAATCGCCCTACCATATATAAACTACATCTCAGAAATCACTGCAAGACTCTTCAAACCTTTAGGAATTTATGTCGCACACAAACCAACAAAATCACTTCACTCAGTTCTAGGTCAACCAAAAGACTCAATAACGAAAGAAAATAAAACCAACATCGGCTACAAAATAAATTGTAACAACTGTGAAAAACACTACATTGGCCAAAGTGGACGTCCCCTTCGTCTTCGTATCCATGAGCATAAACTAGCCGTCAAAAGATATGATATCCACTCCCTCGCTCATATCACTTCATACAGACAACCACGGACATCAATTCGACTGGGACAACCAACGTTCAAATATTAGACAGAAGAAACAACAAGAATGCTAGGGAAATTTTTAGAAGCTTGGCATTCTAGTGAATCATCAATCAATAGACACATCGAGATAGACAGAACCTGTCAACCGATAAGAAAGAAACTCCACACACAAAGGTTCAAAGTTCAAGTCAAAGAAACAATCAATTCCAATAGAAGTAGCCTTGAAGGTGTGAAAACACACAAAAACAACCAATCACGTCTATGTTCACTAGAAGAGATTATTAATAAACTCGTGGAGAAATCTAAAAGCTCACTTCAACAAACTGAAGTATGCTCTGAAGATGTTGCCTAGTGATGAAGCAATGAAAGCTTTGCAAATTAACTATTCAGCTCAGAGAACTTAACCACATCAAAATCATCCACCTGAGCTACAAATCCTCTCCATCATATCTATATTCTTTGACTAACCTTGATTGCAGAACATTTCATGCAAACAACATTTAAAATTAAAAATCGTTCACTGTATACATTCATAAGTGACTAAGATCTGACGTATGTCATATACCTAATCCTTATGGGTGGTACTAACTAAATGTAGCCTCCAAGCTATGGGAATCATCACCACGGGTATACCACAAATCAAACTAGACAAACTTATTACTTATTCCTCCTTGATTATCAAGAGCTCTGTGATTAGCGTTAGTTAAAGATGCAAAAAGTATGCAAAATAAGGGAAATAATCGAAAAAATACACCTAATTTCCAAGAGTTGGTTTGTAGGCATTTGATCTGTTTTCAAGTGTGACATCAGTTAGAGAAGTTTGGAGTGCTGGATAGCCACATCATCCTAGTCTCTTACATATCAGCAGTATGCACACACTGGGGTTTGAACCAGAAACTCTCCAATTACAAGGCAAGCCAATGAGGTGACACATTTGTAATAATCAAAAGAAACGAGTTAGATAAAACTCACAACTTAATAAACAACGTCTTCAGTGACATCAAATTCACAAGAGAAAAGGAATACGACAACCAAATCCCATTTTTGGACGTCTTAGTCAAGCGAACAAATACAGGGGAATTAGAAACTCAAGTTTATAGAAAATCAACTCACACAGACCAAATCCTGAATTACAACAGCGACAATCCAATAATGCACAAAAGGAATTGCATACAAACACTATTCAAGAGAGCAAGGACTCATTGCATCACTCCCACCTTAAGGAAAATTGAAGAAAAATATCTCATGACGCCAATGAGACCTGGTCTGCTGGGGTCAGTTGAATTCCAAACTCCGTTGACTCGTGATTTTAGCGTGACCACCAGCCAATTTCATCGGTGAACACGTTTGTCGTCATACCCGACCTGGTCGTGTGTTCAAAACCCAGTGTATGCAGATGGATGACAAGTCGCAAACTAGGACGAAACAGCTGTCCAGTTCTCCCGGGGCCAGTTTTTAATAGTTCTCTAACTGATATAGCACTCCTTAGTCAAACTTGAAAATACACTTGAAAAAAATATCTTATTTTTAAAAGAGTACTAACCTCATAAACTGAACCATTTGAATATCGCATAATTCCATATCCTGATCTCTTATCTAAATAAAATGTTCCTAAATAATGCGATCCATTAGGCCATACATAGAAACCGTGACCATGTTTTTTATCATTGAAAAATGTACCATAATATTTCTGAAAAGTAAATCAACAGATACGAGTGAAAAGAATAACTGTAAGGATTAAAGAATAGTTAGTATACAAATGGTGGATGGTGGCTAGCAGTGGAGTCCAGGATGCGCATTTCGTCCTATTTGGGACTCGTCAGCTGGATGTACCTGCATTTCTCAGTGAGTGATGATGTTCCCACCGAGGCTCGAACCCAGTACCCATAGTTTCAAACGCCAAAGCGTTATCCACTAGACCACTTGGGCCACGAGAGCCACCTCTTGTGCAACGGGTCATATTAATTATTGAATTGAAGATAAGGGTCCAATCAATCGACGGGAAAATCAAAAATTCAATTCAATAATTAATATGACCCGTTGCACAAGAGGTGGCTCTCGTGGCCCAAGTGGTCTAGTGGATAACGCTTTGGCGTTTGAAACTATGGGTACTGGGTTCGAGCCTCGGTGGGAACATCATCACTCACTGAGAAATGCAGGTACATCCAGCTGACGAGTCCCAAATAGGACGAAATGCGCATCCTGGATTCCACTGCTAGCCACCATCCACCAATTGCATACTAACTAAATGCCCGGACATCGTCGAAGCATCTGCACAAGAAGCCGACATGTCAACCTGAGACCGAGCACTTCGGTCCAATCAATCGACGGGAAAATCAAAAATTCAATTCAATAATTAAAGAATAGTGTTGGATTTTTTTATTTAAGTAGAACACTTTGATTAATCTCTCTTATATCTACAAATTCTTATAGTAAGGCGGGTGTTTTGTAGGTTTTTACGACCCTTCAGTACTGTATGCTAACAAATCAATAAAAGATACTTTTGCTCAAATGTCTTCAGTGTCTACAGCTTTACAATCACAGTTCTATTCTTCTTTTTCACTTTACATTGTTGGGTAATTGATTACAAGCACTACATAGTAACACTCGTAGATGGATGACAATTTTTTTTACAAAGGCGGTCTGCTTGAATCACTGGACTGCCTGAATTTCTTTAATTCTTGCTGTTATAGTCACTCAATGACATCGGTTGGAGAACCATTAGAAAACCTGGGAGTACTTGACAGCCAGCTGTTTCGTCGTAGTGCTTGGGACTCTTCTTCAGTATGCAACCACCGGAGTTCGAGCCCAAGACCTCCCAGTTACAAGGTTAGCTGGTAAACCATTAAGCCACTGGGATCTGATCCAATGGCTAGTCAGCCAACGAATTCCAACTTCTGCCAATTTCACGACATAGCGTGACCGCTAGCCAATGTCTTCGGCTAGTATTTGTCATCACACCCGACCTGCTGCACCCTACGGTCACGAACCCCAGTGGATGCGTACTGATGAAGAATCACAAACTGGCTGCCCAATACTCCCCAGTGGTTTTCCAATGGTTCTCTAACAGATATAAATTTGATTTTCTCTATGTCTAACTACCCTAGCCAATACTTCTGAGTGAAAACATATGAAACTGCTTTGGTATAGCTGTACAAAATGACATCGGTGAACATAATCTCTTGTTCGCTTTACTATTATTTTCTTACACCCCAACAGACTTATATAAATCACTGTGCATCATTACTACCTCAATCTAACTGGAAAGCACTGAAAAAGAAATTATATAAAGATATATATATTTTATAAGTCTACGCAGTTATTTATACTCTAATGAGCATTATACTTACCTATGAAGCTTCAGTATATTGTTCTTAATCGACTCAGTGGTACAATACTAGTCAACTCTAAAGTGATGCATTTTTTTATCAGCCAAACGATGAAATAAGGAACTACTGTCTGATGCATAATCAATTTATTGCTTGTTTATTTGTGTAAAACTTGGTTGTATTTTACTACCAGGTGAATATAGTAAAACTCAATTAATTAGTTTGATTGGACATTAGTAATTAGTGTGATGTGTCTCGTCCTTTCTTTGGTACAGACTGAATTCTATCAGTCAATTAGGTTTGCAATGTGGCCACCACACTCCACTAGGTAGCTCATCATCACGGTGAACACTGATTTGATGATATTAGATAGTTGAAGGCAATCGGCCACAGGAAGTCTTACTTGACCTAGGTTTCGTGCTAGTTGGCACTCATCAGAAAGGCGTATCTGCAACCTTGAAGTAACTCATGTCCCTTCTGAGATGCGAACCTGCAGTCAGAGACGTTACCACTTAGCTAGCTATTTGAGCTGGCTCGCGATTGACCTCCAGTAGGACTGTAGCAGGTATTTCTATTGGACACCATTTACCCGAGTACTATCAGACGAAACAGTAAACACATTAGAATCTCCATGTACAAACCGTCTAGTTTCTATTAATTCACATTACAATGAGGTCACTATTCAAATAAATCAGAAAATTTTTATTTCTTATAGTCCACCTCACCGACTAAACTGATTCATAACTGTGTATCAGGCTTTTTTATGAAATCTATTCGAAGAGGTACACTACACTACTACTACTACTACTACTACTACTAGGCACTGAATTTTCGTAATTCCCTTATCTTTAATAACTCTAAGGAATGTTTTTCTATAGTTTGGTTTGTAAGGGTTAGTTTTCTTTTGTTTTTACGAGTTGATCACGGATTGATATCAGTTAGAGAACCATTGAAAACCAACAGAGAGTACTGGACAGCTGCTGTTTCATCCTAGTTTGGGAATCATCGGAAGTACGCACCCACCACGTGAGGTTCGAACCCAGGACCTTCCGGTTAACAAGGCAAGCTCGTATACCATTCAGCCACTGGGACCCGATTCAATGGCCAGTGCATGAAATCTAACTTCTACCAATTCGTGATTTAGCGTGACCCCAACCATTTTCGTTGATGGGACTGATATCAATCCGTAATCAACTAGTAAAAACATAACTAACTCCTACAAACCAAACTATAGAAAATTAATCTGATGCTTACTAGTGAGTAACTTGCTACAGGATGGAGTTTCCTGGAGTAACTTCTAGTGAGAAGTCGTGACCAGTGAGGTCCAATTAGATGCCACGTGTGTGGATGGATGTCCCACCAACGACAATGGTTGGGGTCACGCTAAATCACGAATTGGTAGAAGTTAGATTTCATGCACTGGCCATTGAATCGGGTCCCAGTGGCTGAATGGTATACGAGCTTGCCTTGTTAACCGGAAGGTTCTAGGTTCGAATCCCAGTGGGTGAGTACTGTCTAAAGAATGTGACAGATGTTAGTTGAACAGGTAAAACGAATGAAAATACAGTTACCAATGTATAGAAAAATATATATCTGCATAGAGTATTACTCACTTCCCCATTATCCCACTGATAACAACCCCATGCATTCCGCTTTCCATTTAGAAAATCACCATAAAATAAATCACCATTTGCCCATTCTTGTGATCCTTTACAAAAGTCTTTATCTGTTACACAAAACCTTCCGTCTAAGCAAACTTGATCAGCACCATCATCGTCATCGTGATCATCATCCTTAAAATAGTTGTCAACATGTCTGTTGTACGCATAATCAATTCTTTCCTGTGAAATGTCTTGAAACTCATCATTTTCATAAGATTTATCTTTAGTATAAAATATATTTCGATCAATATAAACAGCCATAGAAACAGTAAACAATACTGAATGAATATAGCTCAGAAATTAGTCATAAAGAATACCATTTTTAACTGAATTTTTCTCACCAGGAATTGTGGATATCTAAAATAACAACCAAAACAAAAATCATTTGAGGGTAACATTGGGTAAAAGGCATGCTTTCTGAAAAATTCTAATCATGCATTGTCTGTAAATTCAAACTAACCAAGTATAAAAAGAAATAAATTCCCATTTTAACAGGAAAATTCCTGTAGTCCTTAATTCTTTCCTTTTTGTAAACTATTAGCTATTGTCTCAGACAGTACTGTCAGGACATTTCGATTTTTCAAAAATAATCTCTATAAAAGTATTTTTCTGAGTCATCTGAGAATTGTATCAAAAATAAAGGTGTCAATGATAAGACATACATTTCGATTGACGGTGTAATTATTCTAGGCTCGGACTATTAAGTTGTTCAGCGATGTTCTGACTGAACATTCATTAATTGACCTGTATACCAGTCAGTGTTGTACATTTCCTGAACTCTGTCCCATTTCAGTGGGTTTACACTCCAAACTCCAGTATCTTTAGGCAGAGATTTCGACTTCCTTGTAAGTTTAATCTGAAATATTATTTCTCCAAAAGAATAATAACACTATTAAAGCATCTACAACCTAAGCATTCTAGTGTTGCTATCATGTCTATTTTAATCCCCTTATTTCTACATTTACATAGTTGAATTAATGTCCATAGCTGCTGTTTAATGACAGCGATTTGAGAGAAAACCTCAGTGAAGCCTATTTGCTATATGGTGTTCTGAAATTTGAAGCCAAGAGAATAGTTTAATCCGCCTAATTTTGTCGAGTTTGGGATGAAAGTCAGGTCTCCACCTCAATTTAATCGACTGTGAAAAGTCTTTTAGCAGATAGCGTTGATCGAGAGGTAACTTGGAAACTACTTTGGTACTTCGGGGTACCGCCAGTATTTATACATCTCATCTAACAGGTGTACGATAATGCTGCATGCAAAGTAATCCACAACGAGAAACTCACAGAATCCTCCGAAGTAAAGACGGGAGTAAGACAAGCTAGCTGCCCGCTACTATCTATAATGATTCTCCTGATTGTGGTAGACTGGATAATGCGACAGACAGCGGTGGGAAACGACGAGACAGGCATGAAATAGACCCACACGAAAAACTCGGAGGATCTGGACTTCGCCGATGATATTTGCCTGATTTCTCACAAACTGGAAGATATGCAAGTGGAAAGCAACAAGCTGGCAGAAGAAGCATCAAAGATTGGACTTCAGGTGAACATAGAGAAAACATATGTGATGAAGATTCCTAGCCAACAGCAACACCAAAAACAAGAGAAAAAATCAGCCAGCATAAATGGGAAAACATGAAAGAAGCAAACTCCTTCACCTATCTACCTACTTACCTACTTATTTACATGGGAAGCATCGTTTCAACTACATGAGGACGAAACTGATGAGGATATGAAAGCGAGGATCAACGGGAAAGCAAGACATGCTTTCATTACTCTCAAGTCTGTGTGGAGACAAACAGCACTCAGCATGGAAAATAAGGCCCGGATTTGTAAGTGAAGTCAGTGCTACTCACTATACGGATCAGAGACTTGGCGCCTCGTCACGAAAGCCAATTTGAACAAACTACAAACCTTCACCGACAGCTGTCTTCGCTCGATACTTCGTTCAAGAGCAGATGGTCAGAAAAGATCAGCATCAGGGATCTCTGGCAATGAACGAACCAACTCAGCAGGAACCAGTTGGGCAACAAATATGGATTGGCCATAGTCTGAGAAAACAAATCATCAATTGACATCAGACGCCATGCCATCACTCGAGTGGAACCGGAAACGGAAATTGCTAGTTGGTGGTCATTGCGAGGGTGACATGGAGGAGGTCATGTGAAGAGGAGATGAAGGCAAGCGGGTAGACGTGGAGCCAGGTGAAAACATTGGTGGAGAACTGAACGCAATATTTATTTTTTTTATTTCAGCTTGATTCCACACCGTATTTTTCGGTACAGGTATGTAATTTTCAGCATGTGATATTGGTAGCCCACATTTTGCAGGCCGACCATGGTGCGTCGGTGGCACAGTAGTTAGGACTTTCGCCGACCATGCGCATGGTCCAAGGTTCGATCTCCTGCCGACGCACACTTGATATCTATGGTCGACTAGCGAAATTTGTGCTGCTGATATCACATGCTGAAAATTTCATACCTGTACCAAAAAATACGGTGTGGAATCAAGCTGTAATCAAAAATCAAAAATGGAAATTAAAAATTAAGACTAGATATCAGGTGTGCATCGGCAGGGGATCGAACCCCGGGCCATGTGCAGGGTCGGCGAGAGTTCTAACCACTGTACCACCGACGCAGAGAGACATAAGGCTTAAGCTCTATGATCCTCCAGGAACCAATTTTGTCGTAAACGAACTTTGGTTCAAAAGCGATGGTTTTAATCGAATTTCTTCTCAGACCTACACTGGCTGTACAGTGAGACGTGAATTTCGCACGGCTCTGTAGAATATCAACACCCTCTGTACTATGAATTCGTTAGCCTCACTGGTTCTGCTACTTTTGCCAGTCAACCAAATAAACGCCACAAAATGTTGTATTCACGTCAAAAACGTTTAGTTCCTTGTGTGCAAGATGCATAATACTTCCACTCAGCCAAAGTGATAGTTAATTGTCCCTGTAAAAAACAACTTGGAAACTTCTATTAAGAAACTTTTGTCATAACCTAGACCGTTCTTTCATATTCAACTGATTGCCACTGTCATACACTTCTCAAATATTTTCAGTAATTCTATGATAGCAGATTGTTCTAAAGTGTAATCAGCTGTAGAATACACAGTAAATTTGTCACATTCCTTTGTAACAGACGAGAATTTTGAAATATAGATCACATGATAAAAACCCTGATATGCTGTGCATGTATGTAGGTTATAATTTAATTATTCTCCCGGGAAAATTATGCTAATATAAACATATGGGCATATAACCATGTGTTCCTAAGGTAACCATCCAGACACTCATCGCAAAAGTTTCCAAAAAATGCAAATAATGGCAATAATAAAGTTCTTTACGGTTACACAACCTATAAATACAAGAATAATCTGAAAAATTCAGGAATAAATTATTGAAATTTGTAAATCTGCGATGCGTTGTTATGACTGTCTAGGTCGAACAGTAGTCCAATATCCAATATTGTCTTCAGATTTCAGATTCAGATTTATTGGTTGAGGATAGAAGGCATGAAGTGAATGTCAATCCTTTTCTAGTAGATTTCTGGGGTTGTCCAAACCCTTCTTGAACGAATCAGTTGAGGTTGCAGGCAACACTTCTTCTGGGAGTCGGTTCCAAGAGTTTATGACTCGATGTGAGAACCAGTACTCGACAGCAATATGATTTCTCCTTGGCTTTTGAACTCTCCTGCTATGTCCTCTAAGGTGTTCCAACCATCTGGTAGGAAGGTAAAGAGAGAATAGGTCAGGTCCGTAGTCATTATTTAAAATTTTAAACATTGTGATTGTAGCGGTAAATAATTCCCCAAAATTATTGACCACAGCAATCACTCATTGGATGCTGACCACCACTGTTTAAGTCGACTTGTTTAGCTGAAGGCTTCCGGTCAAGCATCCCCGCCATTTGGTACCTCGTCGTGTCACGTGCACGATCACTAGCTAGCTAAGCGTTTGTCTGAAGGCTTGTTTTGGTCCCTAAATATATCTCTTGGTTTGGACGATCAAATATTGGCTTTTGCTTTGTCTTTGGTACGCGAGAATAATTAGGAGGTGGTGTAAGATAATTCAGTCGAAACCCCCTAAACTGGTGAGCCCAACCGCGAACTTCATCCACGATAAATCCGCAGATAACCCCGGTGAGTTCGTTCCATTTTGTATTTGTTCTTGTACCATATATTATTCGACATAATTTTCGTCATGAGTGATCTTAGTCCCAAGGTCATCCGTATCCGCTCAACTCCTAAAACCATTCAGCTCGTACCATACTGGCCAGATAATGCTGAAACGTGGTTTCTGCTAGCTGAAGCAGATTTTTGTGAGCATGGGATAACCGATCAACGTTCACAGTTACTTGCAGTTATTCACGCCCTACCGCGGGAATTCAGCAAGTACGTAACATCACAGATGTTCAGTCCCGAGGTAAGTAACTCGTACGAGTTGCTCAAAGCATCCCTCCTCAGGAGAAACGTTCTCACGGACCGACAACGTCTAGATGAATTATTTCGTAACATCGAGTTAGGAGATCAGTCAGCCGTGAGCATGCTGACAAGAATGAAAGAAATCGTCGGGCAAAGTCAGTTCGACGAAGGACTATTTAGAGAACTCTTCTTATCCAAGTTGCCACAGTCTGTACAGACCGTACTTGTGACACTTCAGGGTACTGTAATAGAGGACTTAGCTATTACTGCAGATAGGATTCTAGAAATAACTAAACGGTCTGTTCCCGAAATATGCTCGATGACTAAGCAGACTTCGAGTAAGGATCCTGCAATGATAGAGTTATGCAACTCCATCCAGCAGATGTTTAGGTCGAACATGCATTCTAACTCCTCCGACCGTCGTCCTAAATCTCCTCAACGCAGGAACTCACGTGGTCGATCTAAGTCCAAACCACGTTCACTGAAAAACCCTGACTGGTGCTGGTACCACAACACCTATGGCCAAGAAGCGAAGTGTTGCCGTAAGCCTTGTAACTTCGGAAATGTCTCAAAGTCTGTGGGAAACTATCCCGCCGGCACGCGTTAGCGGCAACCGTCGCCGGTGGCACTAGCCGCCTACTTTACATCCATGATGTGATAAGCCAGACTCGATACTTAGTCGACACAGGCGCCGAAGTCAGCGTCCTTCCTGCTACAGCAGCAGATCGACAGAAGGAACCTACCTTCAACTTACAGGCTGCAAATGGAAAACCAATCGCAACCTTTGGTAGGAAATACGTCTATCTGAACGTAGGTTTACGCAAACCTATTCGGTGGATTTTCCTTCTCGCTGACGTTACAATGCCCATCATTGGCACGGACCTACTTAATCATCATGATTTACTCGTAGACGTCCGCCGAAAACGACTGATTGACAATACTACTAGTCTGTCTATCAAAGGCATCAGCTACATAGGCCCTAGTTTGTCACCCGTTAAGATAAAGGCAATCCTTGATCCAACTTTTCAACCTATTGTTGACAAGTATCCGGAACTTAATTGCCCGTCGAACGACCTACCGTGCATAACCAGCAATGTTATGCACCACATCATTACCACAGGACAACCTGTGACATCTAAAGCACGACGATTAGCTCCTGACAAACTGAGAATCGCCAGGAATGAATTTGACCATATGCTTACCCTTGGCATCATTCGACCTTCGAATAGCCCATGGGCATCCCCACTTCATATGGTTCCGAAAAAGGATAGCAATGATTGGCGACCCACCGGTGATTACCGGCGAGTGAATGCCAAAACAACCCCTGATTGCTACCCGTTGCCTCATATACACGACTTGACGGCAACCTTATCCGGCGCGACTATATTCTCCAAAATCGACTTGGTTAAAGCGTATAACCAAATCCCGATGGCAACAGAAGACATCCCGAAAACGGCTATCATTACGCCTTTCGGACTTTTTGAATTTCTACGTATGCCATTCGGTCTCCGGAATGCAGCCCAAACATTCCAACGCTTCTGTCAATGGAGTTGAAGATTGAACGATCAATTCTTGGTTGTTTGCTCAAAATCAACTTCCTCGATTTTCGCGGAGGCATCAATACGACAGTCATCGTCTCATCGGTCGCTGTTCAGAAAGAAGAGTGAAACATCGTCAGAAGTAACATAACGATTTATTATTGTAATATTTGTTTACAGACCTTAGTTGCTTAGTTCGTTCATTCCTTTTATATGCTGGTGTAACAATAAAGAAATAACAAGCAGCAGATCGGTGTTTTGGATTTTGCGTCCGTTATCACTAAGCGTTTCTGAAACTCAAAGGAACAGCGTGGGCCCGAGCGTAGCGGGAGCTGGGCATTAACGGTTTATGAGACGTGATTGACAGTTTCTGACGATTGAAACAGATCTGGCGGATTCAGAGAGTTGGTGAAAGTTTGGATAGTCGCCGTTCATTTTTCCTGGTGCCGGTCAAGTCCTCTTTGAACAAGCAATATCTGGAACGTTTTTGGAATTGGGTCAAGTTCAACAATGCCTGGGTCAAAGAAGGGACAGAGTGTCTTGGATGCAAACAGGAAAGTAAGTCATGGTGACTTGTCCGTTAATTGTAACGATGTGTCTGATGTTAAGCATGACATGGTTGATGTTACTGTTTCGCCGTTCAGGGATAATAGGAACATCAAACTCCCTCAATTTGAACCACGGTGTTTCGATGGAAACCCAGCTGATTATTTACAATTTGTAAAGGAGTTTGAGATCATGTTGAGTAGTTTTCTATTAAGTGATGAATTGAAGTTAATGTATTTGATGAGATATTGCACTGGAGATGCTGCAAGAGCTATACAGTGCTGTAAGTTTATGAAGCCAAAAGAGGGCTACTACGAGGCTATGAGCATATTACGTCAAAGGTTTGGAAGACCTTCGATGATTGCAGGGAAATTATTCGAGGCTGTTAAGGGTAATGGTGGTCAATTACAGGATGACTCCCAGGCACTCACTGAGTTTTTAGATAATTTGCTAATTTACAAGAATGGAATGATTTCGATGAATCGCATGAGTGACCTCAACTCGAGTTTTATACTAGAAGTAATAGCAAGACGTCTACCTACTCGACTGCAAAGGAAGTGGGTGAAGATAAGCTCCCGTATGGAGGATGAGGGTATCGAGCCAAAGTTTGATGATATCCTGAAACTGGTAAAAGATAGCGTCAATCAATCTATGAGCAAGTTTGCCAGTCTATTACATCTCACCCCTAGAATAGAGCAGTCTGAGGGTAAAACGCAATCATTGATGACGAATAAGCCTCAGAGAGGTGGATATCGAGAAGGCTCCATGATGTCTAGTAATGCATATAGACCTAGTGAGTGTAACAGGTTTCGTAGTACATCCTCAACAGATAAGTTACAAGATGCAAGACAAACACGGTTGTGTTTTACACGTGTGCAAGAGGTGCATACAGAAGTGAACTGTGAACCAGTGAGCAAGTTCAGTGATAAGCTAAATGTAAACTCCAGGCCTGACTCCGAATTGTGTGACGATAACGTTGTTGTGAAGAAGTCTGTAGTTGCAACTGGTAAGCCGTTGTTGAATAGAGTGTCACAGAATAGAGTTACTGCTTCAGAGTGCAGTTCTGACTCCGAAAGTTTACAAGGTATTACTAGTCAGAGTGAAGTTATAAAACCTTATAGGATTTTTGAGGAGGAACCAAAATTGTCTACTTCTGTTATTAAAGAGTTTGAAAATGATGAACTTGACGGTAAATTGAATATTTGTGGTAATGATCATGATAGTGCAGATTTGTCTTTGGTTGATCATTATGAGATGCGGGATATGCCTACTACTGCTAAGTTAAATAAAGGTTCTGTACAACTACAACGTGAAGTAGAAATTAATGCAGGTGCAGTTGCAGAAGGCATGCATACTTGTGAGACCGTCAGTGTGATTGATCAGCATGTAGCCCACCTATCATCAGATGCTAGTGCTAAACCTGAGCTGATAGTAAAAGACAGCAGTGGTGGTGGTCTTGCAGGTAGACAAGTTTCTGAAAGCCGAGCAACAACAGCTTTTGATCCACCGCTAACTTCATCAACTGATATCAATCAGTCGTCGTTGGTGCTGTCATCCACAATGAAAAAGACGCCCATCAACTCAAGTATCTTTTGCAATGACTATGATAGTATTGGTGCGTTTGAAAAGACGAAAGATATTGCTCAGTTTAGTGAGAATAAGCCAAGTGTAAACGAGAGAGTAATTGTTAAATTGACTTGCACGAATAAAGGCATTTCTAGTTTCAAGTTACTATTTGAATGTTATTATCTTTGGTGTAAATTACTCTGTTTTTACACTTGGTTGATGAGATATGTCGTGTGTTTGTTGGTCATCTATATTCTACGATACAATGACATGGGCGTGTTGCCGTTCAGATTTGAGGATATAGCTGATAGAAGGAAGTTAGCAAATGAACTCTGCG